GGCGGAGTCGGCGGCGCGGCGCAGTCTTCGCGCGGTCTTCGGGCGCGTGCGCGGCGCGGTCTTTGGGCGCGGTGCGGTTCTCGGGCGCGGGCGCGGTCTCCTGCCAGGTGTTGTTCCTCCTGCCGGCGCTCCCCCCTGCAGCACTTTGTAGCCGCCGGCCACCCGACGCCCCACCCCGTCCGGGCACACCTGCCACGTGTGCAGGGGCGTGGCAGGGCAGTCAGGTAGCGGCGGAGCCGGCGGCGCGGCGCAGTCTTCACGCGGTCTTCGGGCGCGTGCGCGGCGCGGTCTTTGGGCGCGTGCGCGGCGCGGTCTTTGGGCGCGGTGTGGTTCTCGGGCGCGGGCGCGGTCTCCTGCCAGGTGTTGTTCCTCCCCTCCTCCCACTTCATCAACTATGTTGGACTCGATGCCCTCCTTAACAAAGAGGACCACCTCCCCTCCTGTAAGCCCTTCCTTTTCTTTCCCTTATCTTACCTTAGGTTATTCCTGAAGTTGTGCCCAACCCATTGCGACCCCATGGACAGCATTCCTCCAGGCCAGGGGTCTCAAACTCAACTTACCTGGGGGCCGCCGGAAGTAGAGTCTGGGTGAGGCTGGGCCGCATCAAGCATTCCACCACCCACCACGGTGGGGGTGGGCTGCTCATCCCGCGTCAGTCGCTCCCGGAGGCCGGCCCGGCACTGCCGGTGCTTCGAAGGCCGCAGGGCCCCTCCCCCAGGCCCCGCCCATCCCGGCAAGTGGCCCCGAGCCACAAGTTTGAGACCGCGGCTCCAGGCTCTCCTATGCTCCACCATCCCCCACCGACTGCTTCAGTGACTCCATCTAGCCACCCTCTGCCGTCCCCTTCTCCTTTTGCCCTCAATTATTCCCAGCATTAGGCTCTTCTCCAGGGAGTCCTTCCTTCTCATTAGGTGGCCAAAGTATTTGAGTTTCATCTTCAGGATCTGGTCTTCTAAAGAGCAGTCAGGGTTGATCTCTAGCACTGACCGGTTTGATTGCCTTGCGGTCCAAGGGACTTGCAGGAGTCTTCTCCAGCACCACAATTCAAAGGCCTCACTTCTTCAGTGCTCAACCTTCCTTATGTTCCAGCTTTCACAGCCATACATTGCAACTGGGAAACCATAGCCTTGACTATATGCACTTTTGTCGGCAGGGTGATATCCCTGCTTTTTAGTATGCTGTCTAGGTTAGCCATAGCTTTCCTCCCAAGGAGCAAGCATCTTTTAATTTCTTGACTGCAGTCCCCATCTGCGGTGATGTTGGAGTCCAGGAAAATAAAATCTGTCACTACCTCCTTTTCTTCCCCTTCTATTTGCCAGGAAGTGATAGGACCGGATGTCATGATCTTAGTTTTCTTGATGTTGAATTTCAAGCCAACTTTTGCGCTCTCCTCTTTCACCCGCATCAAGAGGCTCTTTAGTTCCTCTTCACTTTCTACCATTAAATCAACAAAAAATCAAACACACAAAATTTCTCAACTCATAGTGATTGAATAAAGTTAATATACAGCACAGCTGTTCAGCTAAAAACCATATTAAAACAAGTGGTCCTTCAAAACATCTTGTAAATAAAAAGGTTTTCACCTGGTGCTGAAAAGAAAACAATGATGTAATTTCGTGGGCCAGCCCTCCTTATCAGCGGTGCTGCCCTGTTCTGAGCCAGCTGGAGTTTCTGGCCACTTTCAAGGCAGCCTCATGTAGAGCACATTACAGGAATCCCGGCGAAAGGTTACTGGATCATGGATCACAGGACAGGGCTTTGACAAGCCAGTACGGCCAGGGACCGACAAACAAGGGGGCTGCCCCAACGCTCTGGCTGAACGAGGCAAAACGTGTCTGCTGAAGCTGGACAAGCAGCTGCGTCAAACACCATCGCATGCGGAGCCAGAGTCAGAAAGGCACTCACAGCAGAAGTTTGCAGAGCCCTCGTTCCTGGGGGCAGATTGTAGCAGCTCCTTTTTAGGTGGAAGCAGTTCAGGTGGGTGATGCTGCACCAATGCAGCAGTGGCAGAAAATAACACCTACTGCACTGGATCAGTACCAGGGAATAGGCCTTAAAATGGGCTCCTACCGATCTTTCATGAGCTGCAGCATACTAGCGATGGTTGTCTTACTCTCCATGGTAGTATTCACATACTGTATTCCTACAGGGGCAAGGCAGAAATTGCTTGGCTTCTCTTTCAGTACTGGTCTCCTCCTTTCCACTCTAAAGAAAGGGAGTAATTGTTTGAGAGGGAGCCATAGGAATGTCTTTGTTTACAAACCAAGGGAAAGGCAGGAGGCCAAAGTCTAGTTTCTAAAGAAACAACTCCTGTTATCAAAGCAATCATCCATGCTCACTCTCTCTCTCTTTGAAGTTAGAAATTAGATGTTACTGGTTTCACTAATCTCTCTGCTTATTGCTACAGACCAGGGTGTATGCATGCAGCCAGTGTCAGCTCATCCAGGCGTCACTATAGCCTTATGTTTCATCTGAGTAATAAAGACTTCAGTGCAAGTTTCAAATATATTTTCTGAAGGCCAAGTAGGGAAATGGCAGCTGGTAGTTTTCTCCCTGCTTAACTGTATCATCAGTTCCCAATTTTAAGCAGTGAGGTTGAAGCTGCCCTGCAGAACTCAGGTCTTTGGACTGGGAAGCGCCGAAGTCTTGCAGCATCTTTGAAAATCTTGCTTTATTGCAGGCCTGCAAGCAGAGTGTCATCAGGGGTCAGGAACCTCTTTCCACCCAAAGGCCAAATTCAATTTCAGAGACACTTCAGGGGGTTGTACTGGAGAGGGGATGCAATGCAAAGGGACAGGGTCAAAATACAAAAATGCCATCTTCTTCCCCAGCCCCAGCCCAGTGCCCCTCGAGATGTGTTACACTGCGACTCCCATTTCCCCTAAACAGCACTGGTTGGGGTGGTTTGGAATTGCAGCCCAACACATCTGGAGGTGTTGGGCTGGTGAAGGCTGACCTTGCTATAAGGTGGAGCTTGCCAGCATATACGTAGAAGTCCTCCAGTTGCAATGCAGCTGCTCAGCATCCCGCCAGATATTTTTGGACTTCATTTGAAAGCAAGGGGTTGCCGCTTGTGGCAGTGCCTCCCATTCCCCAGTGAGTCACCAACCAGAAGAGCAAGGGCAGGTGGCACCAAAACCCACATCTCTGAGCGTTATTGAAAGGGTTTGGTGAGAAGCAGCTGCTAAATGATTTGAGAGCCCTGCTTTCGATCCATCCCTCGCAATGGTGCCTCAGAGACTTGAGGCAGGGCAATTAGATGGCAAGACAGATTGACCTCCACATCTAGAAGCTGCCTGCCGATTACTCCATATCGGGTGGTTGTTAAGCAGTCGGATCAAGTCCATGCCACCTTGGCCATGCTGGCTGGGGATATGGAAGCTGCAGTCCAGCATACCTACAGGATACCGTATTAGGGAAGGGTGTTGTATGAACTGTTTGACTCTTTTTTTAAAAGTACTTTTACAGCTTTCTACTCCTAAAGTGGAGGAGAATTTTGAAAGCACAACCAGTCAGCTTGACTGCTGACCTATTACAGCAGATTTCTCCAAATCCATTTTAATGATGGATTTTTGGCATCCTCCTTTCCACTGCTTGCAGTTAATATGCCTTTCAGAGCAGGTCACCCCATATTTTTCTGGTCAGTTGGAAAATCATTTGTATTGTGTAACAAACTCAAACATTCCATAAAGGGCCTTCAATGTGCTTTCTTCTTTGCTCTCAGGAGGCATTTTCCTATGTGGACTGTCAATGCTTCTTTTTTCCTGCTTCTTTGCAAAGTCGTTCTAAATTTGCTTAGATTTCTTAACCAGAGACTTTTCAGCTGGTCAAATAAGTCCCATCTATGTCAGCAGGTCTAAGGTCTGGATCCATCCCACTGAATTTCACAGCATGTTGGGAAACTGGTGATACATCCTGAATCAGGCATACCCAACTATAGAGGCAAAACCGACTCTTTTTTATGATATTTGACCTAGTCAGTTCCTGATAGGAACCAGCTTCAGCCTAAGAAGAGCAGGAGCTTGATCAGCTGGTCAGGTGTGTCCATGAGCCTTGTTGTCATCAAATGACAAGGTAACAATGTTGACAAGGTAAATGGCACTTGTGGAGGTGGTTGTTCTTGGTCTTGCTTCTATGGTCTGAGCAGCATCCCAGCATTCAGAATCAAGGCTGCAATGCTTATACATGCTGCGCTGGGAATTAACGCTGCAGAGCAGAATGGAACTTCCTTCTGAGTGGGCTGCACTATAGGATTACACTGTAAGTAGGGGAAGGTTTTCTTGGGATGGAGGTGCCTTGCCTTGCCTGTATACCTTTGGCTGCTGTAAAGGCACAGGAGCTTGCAGTGATTTAAAAAGGATGATACAGCAGAGCTGGTTTAAAAGCAGGCACCTGTCCCTGCTAGACTGCAGAGGCAGTCTGAGGCTTCAAAGTGATGTCAGCTTACTAAAATAAAGAGGAGCTGGATTACATAAGATGTTACATGTGTGATCCTATTTGAATATCTTTTGTTTCCCCAGACAAAAATCAGCTCTGTGGGAAAAGTCTGAATGCCCAGGTAGAGGTGAGCATTTTCTTTTTATCTTTCTCCTGTACCATTTTTTCCCCCAGCAAAAATATCTGTTTAAAGCTGCTGTTTCCTCATGAAAAGAACTTGTGCCCATGTTCAAGTTTTCCCCATGGCAATAAGGGGACCTGGTTGGCATTCTTTTTGGTAAAATGCTGTGTTAAGAAAAAGATTAATTCTTCTACCACAGGCCCAGTCCAGAACTGGAGCCCTCATAGTGGCTTGAGGGGGGAAAAACCTCTGGGATATGAAAGTGAGTCGCACATTTAACATTAGATCCATTGAGCTCACTGGGCTGAAATTCTTTGTAAACACGTGAAGATTTGTGCCGATCCTCCCTCCCTCTGCATCTTATCAGCTCGCTCACATGCCCATCCCTGAATGAACAGCTCATATCAGAGGCCTGCCTTGCCACCCACACATGTCTTGCTAGAGACTAGGAATGTGGAAACTCCCTGTCTTTTTAACCCTGCTGGAGGTCTTGGCAAAGGCACAAGAGTGCAGGTAAGTTTAACTTCCTTTCTGATGACTCTCATCAGTCTCCAGCCCAGCATACAGTGGTGCCTGTGAGACAACTTTCTGCACTGTGTACCTGTGTAGATCCTTGGCATTGAATAGGGGAGACCTAAAGAACCCCAAAAGGAATATCACTCTGCCAGAGGAGTTTTGTTGGCTAAAGCCATAAATTGCACACAATCATACTATGGCATTCATACTATTGCACGTGTAGGATTGCACACATGTATTTTTGACACGCAACACTATCCATCAGAAAAAGGTTCCCCGGTACAAAATGTAACATGCCAGATGGCCCTAAACACAGTTACATTCTATGCATTTCCAAGTGGCTCATCAGTCCATTGCAAAAAGAAAAACCTCAAACAGTCCATTGCAAGAATGGCTTTTCCTCCCCCAAGGGATACACAATGGCATTTAACGTGTCTGACCAAGGTGGCATAACCAGATATGAAGGAAGAGGAGGCTCTGCCAGGTGCCTTTAATACAGGGTTGGAGTTAGGCAGAATTTTGGCAGCTGCTTCCGCTTCCTCAGAAGGGCCAGCTGTAGCTGCCACGATTCCTTACGTGGCTACCAAAGTCATGTAAGGGGAGAGCAGGTGTGGTGCGGTGCGGTGGGGTGGGGTGGTTAGAGTGCTGGACTAGGGACCCAGGAGATCTGGGTTCTAATCCCCACTCAGTCATGAAGTGCACTGGATGACTCTGAGCCCGTCACAGACTCTCAGCCCAGCCTACCTCACAGGGTTGTTGTAAAGCTAAATGGATTATGTAATCACCTTGGGTTTCTCACGAGAAAAAAGGTGCAATATAAATGCAATATAATATAAAGTTAAAAGAACTTGCTCACCTTTGTACATGATTATCATATCTCTGACAAACAGCTTAAGGATAATTTAGCATATGAGTCAGAGACAAGCTCAGATTTGCCATTAAATGTACACCCAGAGGCGCATGTAGGTAATTTTAGACTCTGGACTTAAGGCTTTTATGGTGGGAGTGGTACTCTTTAGGGTATAAGGAATATTCTTCCACTCATTTAAAAGAGTAATACATAAGCCCTTCTGGATTTGGGGGCCCTCCTGCTCCAGAGTAGGACCTAGTCCTTGACCACAAAGTCCTGCCCTGGGAGGGATGTCACAGCGAGTGGCAGCCAATCACACTTCTGGGGTGAGTGTACCTTCCTGGCACCTGGTTTGGCAAACATGTGTTTGTCCCATTTGTGACTTCTCATTTTGAGTGTAAACTTACAATATCTTAGACGTACTCCTAAAAATGTAGGATGTGAAATAGCCCTTAGAAATTAGCTAACTCATGGCAGAGAGAGATGTGATATAGCACAGCGCAGTCTTCCTCAACCTGGTGCCTTCCACAGTAGACCATAATTCCTAGCATGCTTTAACCTGGACATGCTAGGAGTTGTAGTCTGACCCATCTGGCAGGAACCCTAGCATAACCCAACTGGAAACATGTGTAAGATTTTAAAAGTAGGTTGGGCATCCAAGAACCTTTCCCCTGTGTGGAATCTCACCCCCAAAACAGCTATTTAAAAGCCATTTTTCCATCATATGATGAGTAACATTTGGTCATGATACCAACGGGGAGAAAAACAGGGTTCAAATGGATGCTGGTGGTGAAACTCAGCAAGTTCCACATTGCAGTTTAAGTTTTTTTCCCCTAATGCTGCTTGGTAGGGATTCAGTAGTTATTCAGTCTGGGCACCCAAATTTGCTGCCGCCGCTGCCGCCATTGACTCATGCCTAGTCTGGCCTGCTGTTGCATGAGTTTCAGATGTTAGGAGGAGCACAAGAGACTTCCCATTGAAAGAGGAACTTGCGTGAGCGTCGCTCTTAGTTTTTACTTGTTTCAGACATCGCTAGAAATGATTTGGTGATGAGGACACAGTGAAAAAGTGATTGAAGAAAATGCCCCCACCACACATGCACGTAAGCCTTGATGGGCGCTAGAAATCCTACTCCTTCCTAGTACCCTTGAGAGGTCTATAAAAAAGGAAGATCGTGGCTCCTTCCTTCGCCTATGCACTTTTTGCTTTTAGGCTGAGAGTGGTAAGAGGAGGCTACCGGCTTCTGCTTTGTAATATCTGTGATACGATGATTCAATCCACTGCTGGCTTGTGGCCAAATGACACTCACTGCCCTGCAGATCTGCTCGCCCTCCTGATGTTTTCCTAGCCTGGACTGATAGGTGGGACAACACCGGCTTGTTCTATCTCTGTCACTGTTAGCCAAAACTAGTGAGGCTTCTTGAGTTACCTGGCAGCAGTTTCCATTTGCATAGGTTTCACTCCATTTATCTGCTTAGAATTTCCAGCTACAAAATTATGCCTTCTTCAAAACAAAACAAAAAAATCCCCCACACTCTTTTTTCAACCCCCCCCCCACCAATATTAGCTACACCTGGGGTTGGGCAACTTGTGGGCCGGAACATCTGGCTAGACAGTGGCAAGGGATGAGGAGAGCCATCATTCAAAACCAAAAACATGCATTGCATCGTGGTTAGAGGGCTGGACTGGAACTCAGGAGATCTGGGTTCTCATCTTCATTCATCCAAGAAACCCACTGGGTGACTTTGGGCCAGTTACTGACCCTCAGCCTAACCTTGCCTAATCTACCTCACAGAAATGTTGTGTGGATCAAATGGAGAGTGGGATTATGTAAGATGCCTTGGGTTCCTTGCAGGAAAATAAGCCAGGATTTAGAGAAAATAAATGAAGACATCTGGAGAGCTACAAGTAGCCCACCCCGACCTTCCCCACATCTTGATCTGGTAGTGGTCACACTATCTCATATGCAGGGCCTCTAGCTAGGGTTGGAATGGGCCCTGTTGGAACTGGTCATTCCAGAATCAGTGGATTTCCTCTCGTGCTCAGCCTGGTCCTACAAAGTGATCCAAGAGTCTGTGAATGCTTGCAGACCCCTGATGGCGCAGCTGACAACCTTCCCCAGCCACCATTCCCAGCAGCCAACCTTCTTCCCGGCTTGTTGTGGCCACCAGTGGTGGCATGCAAGCAGGAAAGGGGTGCAGTGACCAGGCAACCTTCTTCCCCATCCACTGCTGCCAGCAGCAGTGGCGAGCAGAGAAGAACGCCACATGGGTCCAGCTCCTGCGGAGTCCCCCACAGACCCTGGGCTCGCATGCCAGGAACTTAGGTTCTGGGCTGCTGCAAAGCGGACTAGAATCTGGAAAGCCAAAACCAGGGAATCCTGTGGATTCCCCACACAATACCGATTCCTTGCAAATCCCTGTCAATAGCACAGTGTTGTAATTTGGTCTTAATGGTTTTTATGCCCCTGTTTAGCTGGCAATGCACATCACTTCGCTTGCTTCAAAGAGTGACATGGCAGCTCTGCCTTATTTGGCACCCTCCTACTCATTCTGCTGGGCAAGGCCCTAGACTTTTGTGCCCAAATCGTGTCCTGATGGCACCCGGTGACATAGTCCATCTGCAAGCCAGATGGTTTCATAAGTGTCTGGCAGCTTGTTCATTCAATCTGACATAACCTCCAGGAACTGGTTGCTTTAGCCCTGCAATCACTAAGGCAGAGGTGTTGAAATTCTTGCAGCCCGAGGAGGGCCTGATTCCTTTTCAGAGAAGCTATAGAGGGAGGTTAAAACCAGAGGGGTGGGGCTAACACACACACACACAAGCCAGCTTTTGCTTAAAGCATTTCCTGCCTCTAACTAAGCCATAGGAGGCATTTCAACCTTTGAAAAAGTGAAATATGGTGCAAAGGCTAGGAAGCCACCCAGCTCTTGGGCTGGGGGTGACTCTCTGGGACTGAACCCGCGAGAAGGCTGAATTTGGTCTTGGACCTGAGGTTCTGCACCCATTTCAGGGGGAATGGAACCAAACTCCAAACAAGTAGATACATCTTATTCCTGGACTTGTTTTTATATGTATCTTTTATTCAACAAGCTTTGAAGGCCCTGCTCAAAGTGCACTGGATGCACAGCTTGGGGAATATGGCTGGGTTTGCACAACATGCTGAACACCTTGGGAACTTTAACCTTACAATGTGGATGAAGTTCCTCTGCGGCTTGCGGCCGGCCAGCCACAGCAGGGCTTGTGAGCCTTCTCCCTCCTTTGCCTCCCTTCGTCCTCCTGCAGTACCCAGGGGATGCTGCAGCAGCACTGAGATGTCCCCTGAGCTGCAGCAAGCCTTTTCGCACTGGACTGTTGAAAAGGTGCCTTTGGGGCAAATGAAGGCAGCCTCGGACCACGCAAACCCCACCGAGTCTCCCGCAAATGGTGCTTTCCATACGTGCCAACTTCAAAAAAAATCTGGAAAAATAGTTAGCGATGGATTACAAGGCTGCAATTTGGCATGCACACTTAACCGCATGGACACAGTGCCTTGGCCAGAATTCGAAATTGTAGCCCACCGCTAATTATTTTGTAACTTCTTTTAAAGGTGGGGTGTGAAAAGCATTATTTGCTGCTAAATCCTCAGAGTTCTTGGAGGTGCTTGGGTAGCCCTGGGCTGCCCTCGCTTCAAGTGTAGATAGTGCAGGGGCATAAGGGACTCCTGGAGAAAACCCAAGAACCTGTAAAACGAGGAATGGTTTAGGGGTATCCCCTAAATTCTCTTCCCCCTCTGAACAGCATCTCCAAGGATTTTGGGGGTACTAGGAAGACCCAATTGTCCCCTTAGTTTTGCCACAAGTGGGTAGCACCTCAAGAAGTGAGAAAAACCTAGGGAGAGGGCATGAAGCCTGTAATCAAAAGGCTCGGGCCTGCCGCCCACAGAGGGGTTTCTCCAAGTTTTCCTCTGTGATCAGGGAGGGAAGAAGAACTTTGGTAGTTGGAAGCACCTGGGAAAGATGATAACTTGCTAGTCCCTCAGCTTGAGGGTCAAGCTTTTCTGCCACTCCATGGCTTATTTTGTTGTCTGGGTTTAGACAATACAATAAGCTATGGCAGATGGAGCGGAAATGAGTACAAACCTGCCCACGCTTTTACAAGGGTTACTTCACCCATCAGAAGGCAGCAAACCTAGTTTTGAAGCTGAAGGTCTTGGACCAGAGTAAATGCATCATTCCTGCTTCTGCAAATAAATCTTCTTTTCATTCATGTTTATGTGCTTCAGTGTACAGGGATCCTGTACTTGTGCTGGATACTGGTTGCATGTCTGTTGGGAAAGTGAATAGTATTTTATTAAAGAGGACGTGTTTCAGTTGAGGGAGCTGAAAAGTTTGGACACATTTTTCACTGCACTGCCAATAACAGTGGACAGGGCAGCTTAAAAATAAAACATCAGAGGGTTGTTTTGGTTTTTTTTTTTTTTTTTTTGCAAATACAAGCTTTCAGCAATTCTCATGGGAATTAAGGTCATGTCCAAGTTGAACTATGCAGAAATGCGTTCAGTTCTTAGAATCCACAAGGCTCAACCAATGACTTCTGTGTGCTACAAACATGGAAATAATCTATTTCTTCTTTTTCAGAAATGTTAGAGAGAGTGTTAGTATCATCTGTATGACTGATGTCACGTGTCGGCCAGGGGAAGGAGACCAGAGGAAACCTGAAGCGGGAATGTGTGATCCCATGTCCTTAACACAACAAATCATTTGATATCAGAAAACTCAGCCTTGTTAAAGTTTCACTTACTCCTCCTTCTGCTATGACTGCGTGGTAGCAAAGTGTGTACGAAAGGAGCAATCAAATACACTCTGACAGCGTCCCAGCTTGATTGGATCATTCTGGGAGTCACAAGCCTTTTCTTTCTCTGAACTTGCATAGAATAGTGCCCTTAATGCATGAACCTTAATTTTCTGGAAAATGCCATGTGTGTGTTCATTCCTTATCTTCTATTTTTAGCAGCCATTAACCATGAGGAAATACAGTAGGTGGAGATTTCCTTGGCATGTAACAAGGTACAGGGAAAGCTTCAGTGTTGTGATTTCTATAGATCCAGCTGCTGTTGAAGGTAAAAGAGCCAGGCCAGTCAAAAGGTTAGCAGTTGCTTTTGGAGAGAGTGGAGTTCCTTTGTGGTTAATTAGGGAATAGAAAGAGTTTTTACAATGGCAAGAGCAAAGAAAAGAAATGGCTGCTGTCAGCTAGTCCATATGGGGGAAAAACACCACCACCAGAGAGTAGATGGTCCAAATATTTTAGTTCTGAATGTCTACCCTCAGTGTGTGTGCACGCGCTCTCAAGGATTACCTGTCTTACTCTGCAACCTGAACTGCAAAGGTGAAATACTCAGGGTGTATTTATTTATTTATTTATTTATTTATTTTTCGATTTATAGCCTGCCTTTTTCCTTCAAAGGGCTCAAGGCAGCTTACATCATTCTCCTCCTCCATCTTATCCCCACAACAACAACCCTGTGAGGTAGGTTGGGCTGAGAGTCTGTGACTGGCCCAGAGTCAGACCACTACACCACACTGGCTCTCAGGGCTGGGTCTAGGACCTGTCTTGCAGGAGAGAGGGGGACCTTCCGCAAGAAGGTGGGCTCTGCTTGCAAAAGGGCCTTTTGCCTGCTTTTGGAATGCTCTCTCCTTCTCACATCTCTCTCCATGCTGCTCTGTCTTCTGGCTCCCTCACTTTTTAAGGGGACTCAAAGAACTTCCATGGGAAAGAAGGGGCAGGGAAGGCTACTTCTGCTAGCCCAGCTTATCCAGCCTAAATCTCCAAGTTGGTGATATGGAAAAAAAAATCAGATATCCACAACTAGGAAGGCAGAATTTTGCCTGCATTCAGAAAAGAAACCAGATCAGACACCCACCTGGATTGTTTCATTGTGACTTCCTCTCAATACTACTACTGTAAATTTGGTCATGCCCACAGTATGTTGTTTCAGTAACGACTTCTTGCCTTAGGAATGCACGTAGAAGGAGGAAATGAGCCACTAGCCGAACACTGGCATCTGGAAACATGCATAGCCTTGCTGTAGAATCTGCACATTCCCTTCAGAGCTCATGGTGGTGGAACACACATTTCCGGTCATAACAAAAATAGCACCCTTCATTCAACAGATAGCTTTTTAGAAATCAAACAGAGGGGAAGCCATGAGTCAGACATGAGTCAACATGAGATAGAAAGCAAAAATGTGGCTGGAAAAGGAAGCATCAGTACAGTTTAGAAATAGAGTGCATGCATAGACAGCCAGTGTGGCGTAGTGGTTAAGAGCATGGGACTGGGACTCAGGCGATCTGGGTTCAAGTCCCCACTCAGCCATGGAGCCAACTGGGTGACTTTGGGCCAGTCACAGGCTCTCAGCCCAACCTACCTCACAGGGTTGTTGTTGTGGGGATAAGATGGAGGAGGAGAATGATGTAAGTTGCCTTGAGCCCTTTGTAGGAAAAAGGTAGGATATAAATAAAAAATAAATAAATAATAACAATAGATATTAGCAAGAGAAACAAGGTATGCTTTTCTCAATGGTTCATCACTCTCGGCCATAATGCCCTATGACTTTGCCTGCACATGAGTTGTTCGGCGCATGAATTGTTGGGGCTGAGCAGGAGTGACTAAGTGGTCCTTCTGCCACTTTGCATCCAGATTACAAAACAAGCAGCCCAGATTTGTGACCAAACAACAAACCATGGGTTAATTCTGGTTTGTTTCTCCCAGAAACAAGCCAGAGTTGCAGGTATGCACATCTACCTGTGCTGTAACCCCGTAAACTGACTACCTGTGATATACACCTGGAATGTGGAAAGGGGAAAAGAACTTTATTCTGCGCGTTGTTTGATCCATGCAAGCGGGTTTACCAAAGCACTGCATCAGCAGTAGCAGGAGAGACAGTCGAAGCTGTCGGCCTAACCTCTAACAGCAACAAGTATCTCAGCCCCAAAACAAAATGACCCCTGCTTATCCTGTATTGTTTGGTCATACAGAGAGAAGTATTTATTTATTTCATTGTTATACTGCCCAAACACCAAGGGGCTTAATACAAGTTAGAAGTAGAAATCAGTGCAATTTTTATGGAACGCAAACTACAACTATCACAGATGCTCCAATTAACAACAGTTATCTTATCTCTGGAGTTAATTTACAGCAGACATAGCCCCTCCTTGTGTCAGAACAAATGTGAAATGCAACCAGCACAGACTGCTTCATGGGTTATCACGGAGAGGTGTGATTTACTGCATCCTGAGGCTTCTCAAGAATGTGTACTAATTGCCTTATCAAAAAATACACAGGAAGTCCTAGACTTCTTTATTCCCAAGAAGTAGTATATGGTAGATGCTGATTACAGGCTTGGCAAAGTTCAAATACAAAGAATTGCCTGACTGTTCCAAGCAAATGAAAAAGAACAAACATTCAAGAAGTGGATTTACATAGATTTAGTGACAAATTTGATTTTAACGGACTGATCTGCCACAGCAATATATGCTGGACAATAACTTTCCCCCTGCATGAATTAAAAGAAAACCCCAAAGTACCAGTTTTGCTCTGGCTCTGTATGCATGTCTGTGTGTGCAAGTGGGAGGGACAGAAAAGGAGAGGACCAATATTAATCATGAGCCATTAAGGTTGAACTCTTACACATGCTTGCCTCTGAGTAAACCACCCTGAAATCAGTGAGACCTACTTCTGAGTAAATATTAGCTATCCCGCCATCCTCCCACATGCAATGGGAAAGAAAAGTTCGCTTCATCTTGGACACTAGAGTTCTGGCTATAGCTTAGCCTTCTAGTTGTCTTGGAGCCCAACTCCCATCATCCCCAGTAAAGATAGCTGTGTGCTAGAGTATGCATCCTACAATTCCCATGGAGGTAGTGACAGATTTTATTTTCCTGGGCTCCAAGATCACTGCAGAGGGGCACTGCAGCCAAGAAATTAAAAGACGCTCCTTGGGAGGAAAGCTATGGCAAATCTAGACAGCATACTAAAAAGCAGAGACATCACCCTGCCGACAAAAGTGCGTACAGTCAAGGCTATGGTTTTCCCAGTTGCAATGTATGGCTGTGAAAGCTGGACCATAAGGAAAGCTGAGCGCCGAAGAATTGAGGCCTTTGAATTGTGGTGCTGGCGGAGACTCCTGCGAGGCCCTTGGACAGCAAAGTGATCAAACCGGTCAGTCCTAGAAGAGATCAGCCCTGACTGCTCTGTAGAAGGCCAGATCCTGAAGATGAAACTCAAATACTTTGGCCACCTAATGAGAAGGAAGGACTCCCTGGAGAAGAGCCTAATGCTGGGAACAATTGAGGGCAAAAGGAGAAGGGGACGGCCGAGGTTGAGGTGGCTAGATGGTGTCACTGGGGACTTGGGTGGACTTCAGGGGATGGTGGAGGACAGTAGAACCTGGAGGAATGTTGTCCATGGGGTAGTGATGGGTCAGACACGACTTTGCAACTAAACAAACAAAAATAGATCCTCAAAGGATGTATTGCAATTTTAATTGGAAGAGGGTATCTCAGAAAGTGCAGAAAAAGGGGGGGGGGAGCAGTCATGGTCCCAGTGGAGGGGTGCACTAAGGGTGATTTGTCCTGAGCATGCCATGAGGAGGGCCAGCTGGAGCCAGGGGTCAGACTAGATGGTCCGGGAGACCCCTTCTGACTTACTGTTTCTATCTTTCTGTTTTTTTTTTTTTTACTTGATTTTGTGTATCGTGTGCTTTTTTATTGAGTGATGTTTGCATTTGTTTAGAATTTAAATTTAAAAACTTAAAAATGAAGTGACACAGGTCTGAAGGATGGCAAATTGGGGAAGCCTGTTCTATGGTTAGCCCTGGTTTGAGGGAAAGCCTCTACTTTTAAAGCTATGGGGCTGCTACTCTCATATGTAGTTTTACCCTACTCTGCAGAAATGTAGGGGATGGAACTTTTCCAGCTTGGAAAAAGTAAAATACTGAGGAAAGCTTCACTAGGTCAATGTATGGTTTTGAGAGAATAGGAGTAGGTCCAGGAAAAAAGCTGGCTGCCTTATCAAATCACTTTAGTAGTTTCACTCTGCGTGCGTAATTTATTCATATTTAGCTTACACTGTATTCAGTGGGATTTACAGAAGAATGAGTAAAACACTGTAGTGTACTCAGAGAAACAATTCTTACCATCCCACCACACTGCCTTGCCATAAACACATCAGAAGATGCCTTGGTGTCTGGTGGTGAAGACCAGATGACCCCACTCGATTAGTGGGTAACTGTCAAAGTGTAATCTCTGTGTTTTATAGGCTTGCTAAAGTGCCTCCCTAACTCTGTAAGTTCACACATGTAACCTTTTTGTTGACTTGACTTGGCCAGCCTGTTCAAGGTAACTTTAGTTTAGAAGGCCTGTCAAAGGCATCTAATTAGAGTGAAATGTAACTTTTCTTTATGGTGCTGTGACCTGTATCCAATCACTTTCCTATCCATATCAAAGTATCCAATCACCTTCCTGTGTATTGTATTCACTCCCCCGTTTGTGTATTCTATATAACTCTAAGGAAAATAACATGGGGTGTTCCTTCTTAGGCACCCATGGATCCATGCATTCAATTGTAAATAAACCTATTTGCCCTGACAAGAAACTGATTTCCGAGCCTCTGAATTGCAGATCGGTGTGACAATAGTCACTTGAAGTTCTATGCACACATTTTTAGGAACATGCCCCACTGCATTCAATAGGGTCTTGCTTCCAAGTAAACATCAATAAAAGTCAAGTTCTCTGTGCTTCCCTTATCAGGACAAAATGAACAAAAGCTCTTATGGCTGCTAAAACCCTACACTGTAAGAACAGTTTAGGCTTTAGGTGGGATTCCTGACCTCTGCAGGAATCCATGTTGCAAGTCTTGCTCATGTGTCTTGTAAGGTGTCTTCAGCACGTTTAATCCTATTTTTTACCCTGCTGTGTCTCTACCAAACTACGTACCGCTCCCCAAACTGTGTATATAATAGGCTGCAAAAGTGTCTTGTACAGACTCCATCTTTGTAGTTCATTCAGTGGCTAACTACATGCTGCATGTATTTACAGAATATAAATGTTCTTTTGATTGTACATTGCCAGCGTACCTCTTGGGGGGAGGGGGAGTTGTCACGCTCTTATGATGAAGTTAAGCCTGCTTCTCGGAGGAAACCTAGGTAATCATACACACTTTGCAGGGAGTAAACTCCACTGATTACAATAGCACTTTTTTCTGAGCAATTATAGTATCAGGCCATACATCCTATATTTACTCAGAATCAAATCCCATTCGATCCCAAGTATTCCTGCATTAAGATTTCAACCTTGCACCACCAAGTTATGCATCTTATGCATAAAAGGTTCTAATGAATTGAGGTTGCAATCCTATTCACTTACCGAAGAAAGAGTAAGTTCCACCGAACTCCATGGGGCTTACTTTTAAACACCATGCCTTCTGTCCCTGTCTTTTTACCCTAGTACTGTAAAATGCATCCTAGCTAGGTTCTCAGTTCCCGAAAAGCCTGGCCACTTTCCAAGGGAACGCCAGCTGGCGAGTGAAAACTTGTCTTTGGGCAGAGACAAGAGTTAAACGAGGAAGAGGAGATGAAAATGAAACCTAAATTTTCCGGGTAGTCACGTGATTTACAAGAACGGAACACCACTTGCAACTGGCTACTGCACAAACGCCGCTTGCATCAGCGCGCGCGCCCACTCATTCGCTTCCGCGAGCTTAGCGATTTCTGAACAGAGGCGGAAACAATCCCGGGCGCGCGCCCTTGCCAGAGGTGGTTGTCTCTGATTGGCTGGCAGGAGTGGCTTTGAGCCAGACTTAACCAATGAGGTGCGCCGACGGTTGATATAAGAAAGTGCAGGCGGCATGTCTCCGTTGACGTTTCTTTCACTCCCCTCCTGGGGTACCATAGCAAATCATCCGGTACTTTAAAAGGTTGGTATTCAGTGTTTTGAACTAACAGGAGACGAAAGAAAGGGTTATTGAACGGAAGTAACTCCGAGGGGCGGAGAATCGTTTGTGTCTCCTGGTGCATTTGATAGCGACTTTTTTTTGGTATCAAATGACTTCCCTGTTTGTTGCCGGTGTGCACGTGTATCTGCTTCTGATGTGCTGTGCTGATCGCGTACATACCACGCCTAGCTCTTGAAATTCTTTACAGATTGTCTAAAAATGTTCTAGATATGTCGCTCTGTGTCGCCTGTTCGTGGGTTTGAATTTTTAAAATATCTATGTTGTGATCTTTGTAGTTGCTTGAGAGCTTCGGCTGTTCGGAGATATAGAAATATCATTAATTGACTCAAAAGTTTTGTGTTTTCTGAATGTCGTGCGGCTTGCCTAGGAAGTCCCGCCGTGTTGCCTGGGACACCGCGGGGGGTATGGTGCACCCTTTCGGTGTACCTGACCAATAGATGTAAACGCCAGATGCTCATTGTATACATGGGAAGGGCAGATGTGTTTGGCTATCTAGCTCTTTATTTTTTTTTATAATATATTTATTTAAAATGTCTTATAAACCGTTTGAGTGTAATAAAATCTCAAGATGGTTTATACATACGGTTTTAAGCAGTACGCGTCTCTCCTCCCGATTCCCACAATGTGCAAGGAATAGGGGGCCTCATGAGTACGGGCATCGTATAATCGGTATCGCGAAGTGCACACGTGCGAATTCACCTATTCCAGTTTTCGCCTTGGTGCGCAGGAGATCGCGGGGGGGGGGGAAGCTATTAATCCGCATGAACACGTGTAAGCGTTTTATACGTGTCGAAGCAGTAGTTTAATGCTTAGGGAAAAGAACGTCAGACCAAGGTTCTCCATGAAGGTGAGTTGGCGAGGTTTCTGCATATTTTAAACAGGGATTGTACTTTAATAGATGAGTCTTTTAGGGCTAGTCGCTGAATTGCTGTGTCAAATAAAGAAAGAAAGCACTACTGTGTTGAAGTGCTGTTACATTCAAGGGGTGATGTAATCCAATTGGCAAAGCAGTAGATCTTCATAGTTCTTTTCAGTAGCCAAATGCATGATGATTCGATAGACAGAATACCTGGTAATTCTGATGCAAAAAAGGCAAATCTAAACTCTAGATAGAAAAGCTTTTAAATAAATCAATCTCGTCCCCTACAACTGTCTTGGGATGGCTTACCTCATGCTTACCAATGAACAGTTGCTAAATACAGAATGCAGGCATTGTCACACTTTGATTAGACCTGTTTAAATCAGTGGGACTCAAGTTAGCCCTAATTACCTCAATTCCTTCAGTTTCAATGGCTCACATCCCAAGCATAAGTAACTCTGATTCAGACTAATCCATAAACAGCCCATCTGAGATTTCAGTCAGTTTTAATTGATGCTGCACACAGGACAATATTCTGGGTGTTTGCATAGATACCCGGTTTTTGCTATTTCTTGAATTGCTGAAATTTCTGTCTTCTGTCCTATACAATTAGCCTTGCAATTGCTTCTGTTTCAAGTAAAAGTTCATTGCAGTTGAAGCTCATTCACTAGCTGGTATTTATTAGATTTATATCATGATTATGCAATTCTTTCAGTTTTATCCTCACAACAACCCTGCAAGGTAGGTTGGGCTGACAGTCTGTAACTGGCCCAAGGTCACTCAGTTACAGACTTTCAGTCAATGGCTGAGCAGGGACTAGAACCAGATCCCCAGTCTAGCACTAAGCGCTACACCACATTGGCTCTCAGTGTCTTCATATTACTCAGGATTGTCCTTTGCAGCATCCAGACCAGACTAGATGCTGCAAAGAAAACACCTTAAAGACACAGGACTTGGTGAGCTTGCAAGGAACCATCCTTGGGGAACTAGGCAAAGAAGTGGTATTATGCATTACTCTTGTAGTGTATTACCCAACAACCAAAGTTCATATGAGGACATCTTTTTTGTAGCCATTCAGGTAGCTCATGCGGCTCTGCTTTGAATTGGGTTGCCTGCTGTAAGGCTGCTTGGTTCATCTCGCCAACTGGCAGAGAGCACTGCCTGGTGCTTTCTCAGATGACGCCTCCGTGTCTTCTAAAGGCACAGGTACCACGTGCAGATGCAGCTACTGCATTTCCTGCTCTGCTTTTCTTGCCCATTCATCTGCAGTCGGGCAAAGTCCTGGGAAGGAGGTTGGGCAGTGTGAGAAATGAAACGTTACTGTTACTAAGTGTTAAGGGTGAAAAACAGGGCTAGGACAGGATCACTGAAGTCTCTTAAGGCAAAAAAAGCCTGAAAATCAAAACATGTAAATGGTTGTTCTAAGAGTAATAATGTTTCTTACATCAAAAGTCCCGAAAAATACCAGAAGGGGTAAAATTGGGGGACAGTGGTAAAACTGTCACCTTCAGTGGAGGAGAGCAGACAATGGATTACTTCACAACTGGCGATAACGAGCCTGGAGAAAGGCCTGTTCTCATTATCTCATCCTCCCCACAAGATTTAAGAAACATTTTGGCTTCAAGTAAGAATTTTCAAGGCCACTTCGGCCTGTTGACCTCTTGGAAGGTACTGTGCATGCTCAATAGGCTTATGAATAGTAAATGACACACCTCTCATAGGTAATAGGCTCATTAGCATGAACATGGGATGTATGAGCGGGAGGGGGGGACATATTAAGGAACAGTATGGTATAGGCGGATGGGGAAGAGTGTGACTTCTTAGTAACCAGCCAATGGTGAAGCGGGGATAGTGTTGAGCATCGGGGAAAGGAATGTATAAAATCTCTTGTAAACAGTAAAAGATTGCTCTTTGTTTCTCAGACTACTGAGGCATTGAGCCAGCCTTTGCAAATGCTTTTTGGAATAAACCGCTTGTACCTACTCGAATCCTGTCTCAAAGAGTTTTAAATCGCACAGACAAGAAGAAAACACATGAAGCCATTGTGGTGGCAGTGGCAGGCTCAACTTGTGTTGGAAGTAGCATGGCCTGGTATTCCTAGGTGTGAACTGGGGTCATTCATAAAGTGTTCCATCTTTCTCTCCTCTGGTATCCTGAGGTTTGATTTCTATTGGTAAGATCTAAGAGTATTTGAGGTAACATTCTGCAAGCATGGACATTATAAATAAATTCCTCTAGCAATAAAGTAGGGTTAACATATCAAAGATCAAGGGGCATGCCTTTGAGCATATGCTCAGTCCAGGAATTTAGGCCAGAATCAGAACCTAGCTTACACCCCCCCCCCTTCTGGCTTTTCCCAGAGCTTTCCTTTTTAACATCCTGATGTAAGGAAGGGAAGATCTTGAACTGTTGCTGTGAAAGGCTTAAGACTCAAACATTGTAGAGCCCGATTCACCTTCTGCCTATCCCTGTACTGTTTGCCATTGGACAAGTTTGGAGTGATGGCATGGATGGGAGAAACCATGGGTGTGATGGTAGAGAGAGTTGTTGAATCTTAATCGTTCTTTTGGGCCTACACAACAGTGAGTAGGAATATAATAGGTTTCTGCCATACAGAACAGAAGAATTTTCAATTTATACTGATCAGGATCCTAAAAGTTTTGTTTTTTGTTAAAGGGAGCCAGACTTAAAGGATTAAAATGTCATTTTTAAAAGAAAAAAGGGTTTTTTTCCAATTGCCCAAATTGCTGGTGGCTGGTAGGGCAGAGGACAGGCAGTGAACTGAAGGAGAGCCAAGGGGTTGTGATGAGCAGTTCCAGGAATATGTGGGGTTACTTCAGACATGGGCGTGTTTGGTACTGAACTTGAATCCCCAGACAAGACGGTGCTATTTTGGCTGAATCCCCAGACAAGCTGTTTTAGGCCTATACGTACACAAGCTATTGAACATATCTGGTGCCTGGTAATGCTACTATGTTTGTAATGCCTGCTGATATGGCTTATCTTTTCTGATTTGTTGAATGTACAGATTCTTCTTCAGGATCTTCCTGATCTTCCATTAATCCACAATAAGCAGTACAAAGGCAAAAGCTCAATACAAAAGACGCTGGAGAATGGCTGAGAATGGCTGGTGAGTGCTTCTGTAACAGACAGGTGTGTGGCAGGCAGGAACCGAGCATATATGCACATCTCTAAGCAGTCAGAATGTGTACAGTACGGGCAGATGAATGAATCTATCAAGAACAATTCTGCTTTCTTATTTCTCCTTCATTTAAGGTTGTTCCATCCAGTCCCCACCTCGCTTTATGTAGACTTCTTTAAAAAATCACGAACTTATACACTTCCATGATGTTTTTCCTAACATACCTATTTTGAACAAACTTCTCATAATTCATATTTTTGCCTCATATATACATTTTGATTTGTGAATGCATTGCAAAATTCAGGAAAGTTGCTGGATAACTTCATTGTGGGTCATGTGCTGGTTTGCATTACATTTAGCATTAAACTGTGGCCTGACCAAATTTCTTTTCCATCTCTAGTGCATAGTGGGTTTGCCAAAGCCAAGCAGTTCTGCTTGACATGTATAGCCTATCTAAGGGCACGTCACCTTGCAGTTTTTAAAGAAGTAGCTAGTGCACATGCTGCAAAATTACTTGCTCATATACATGCAGTGTGGTTACCAACAGGTAAAAATCAGAAGAATGTAGATCCACCATATCTATTTTTTGCCCTTCTGGCCAAGTTAATATGTCACCATGTTCAAATTTAGAGTCATCTGAGGGTCAAAATACCCATAAGAGCAAAGTATCCGCTTTGCAATGTGGGCTTATGCATGGATGTCATTTTCACAAAGAAGCCATGGCCTCCCAATCTTGATTTCAGGGTGGGGAGTGGGAGACTTTTCTTCCCCGTCCTGTTTCCCTGATGAGCACTGGGCCCGGACTCTGTGTACCCCTGAAAACACTGCTTCCAGCAAATAACACTTCTGATGGCACATAGCAAAATGTAGGGGGAACTGCTCTCCAACAGAGGAACAGTGTGGGGCAGAAAAGGTTAAACCCTCTTGCCTCATAAGCTTTTCCTGATCCAGATGGTGGTACTATTAAACTACATGCCAATATTGGCATTAACGGTATTAGCATTTACTGCTGTTCCTGCAACATAAGCAGAATTCCCTAGGGCCGCTGGGGCAAGTGGCAATTTACCACGGAATTGCTAGATTTGCAAGTTATGGTGTACAAGCATTGGCAAATACTAGCCCACTGATCCACGTTAGTAACTCCTTCTCTGAGGCCTCACATATCTGCTCCTTTGAAAGAAGGATCAATGATTGCTTAAAAGTGCCTGTGTTCCGTAACGTGTTGTTTGTGCCTGAAACGTGTGTGTTGTTTTGGACAAGTGAGGAAGTGATCCTTGCCTGGATGCAACCTTTCAGAGGAGCCCTGCATCCCAAAGTATGAAGGCCCCCGCAAGGCATGTGTCCACCGTATGTTGATATAGAAGAGGTTCCCTTTCTGCCATAATAGCATGTAGAAATCACTTTCATCTCTGTGGCTTCCCTTACTCATTCCTGTTGTTATTTTTATATTCATCAAACAGCTGAAGAAACTTCTCTTGGGACCAAAGAGGTGCAGTATTCAAAGGAAAACCCAATGCCATCACGGTGTAAAACACAAACTAGCAGCAGTCTCTAGCCGTTTGCTTTGTGGTTGCAACCACAGCCACCAGGCTACGTTACAAAGTGAGACCCATCCTCATGCTGCAGTTCTTCTCTGGCTGCAGTTCCGCTCTCAACCAGTGCCTCCCTTCCACGCCACCCGTCTCCATCCCTCATCCCCCTGGTGGCAACTGGGCTTCTGCCTTTGCAGAATTCCAGAATGGAGGCACTTTGCTAGCTGGAAAGTGTATGCAAGTGTGTGTTAGTAAGAGTTCGTTTATTATTATTATTATTAAACATTTCTATGCCGCCCCTTGCCGAAGCCTCGGGGCAGCTTACAACACAATAAAATACATTGAAATACAATAGAACATAATAAATTACCACTAAATACAAAAATACAAAAAATACACAGATACAAACATAATGATATAAAATTAAAATTAACAGTATAAAATAAGTAAATAAAGAATATAGGAGGAGAAAAGAGAAGGAAGAAGAAGTTGCACTGGCCAGATCATATATTTTAACAATTAAAATGATGTTTAAATAAGGTCTTTACCTGGCGCCGAAAAACCAGTAACAATGGTGCCAGGCGGACCTCTTTGGGGAGTGAATTCCATATGTTGGGTGCCACCGCAGAGAAAGCCCTCCTCCGAGTACTTACTCTCCTAATTTCTCTCACGGAGGGCTCCCGGAGAAGGGCCTCTCCTGCAGATCTCAAGGGGCGGTCGGGCATATACGGATGTAAGCGCTCCTTCAGGTAACCAGGACCCAAGCCGTTTAGGGCTTTATAGGTCATAATCAACACCTTGAATTGAGCCCGGGCTTCAATGGGAAGCCAGTGAAGCTGACGGAGGACTGGAGTCATGTGAGCATATTCTCACAAATGTTTAATAAGGTTCATCTTGTGTCTGTGCGCGCATGTGTAAAAAAAAAAATCATTCTTGCAAATCTATGTGAGGCCACTACCACTTAACAGGCTAGGCTTTTTAAGGCTTTTACCAAGCAGGCTGCAAAGAAAGAATGAGTGGCTCTTGTCACACCTCCATTTGGTTTCTGTGCTAGCCAGAGAGAAGAGGGTTTGTCTTCCTCCACAGGGAGTGTGGAAATGATGGACAGAAATCTGCCTGCTCACTCACTTGCATTGGGATTCCAGGCCCTTACCAGAGGTGTTCAGGCAAATTTCTAAATTTGGGTTATGAAAGTAAATACTTACCATTAAGCTTTTGCCAAATTCTCCCTGTACTTTCATGATTCCACATGCAACCAAAACACTCTTCTAGCTCAGCTACAGTCTCTGCAGTTTGCCATTGACTCTTTTTAAACTTGTTCCTTCAGATGAGCTGCTCATACTCCTGGTCCGCCTCTTCTGTAATTTCCATGAGGCTATAACATGAACTCTGTTTTTGTGACTTTTGGCAGCAGAGAAAAAGTTTGATTTCAAACTTCCAGAGCAAAGTATCTCTGAAAAAGAAATGCCATGGAAAATTGGCATCTGTTCTGCAGGATCCTTTATTCTGCTGGGGGTCTGCCACAAGTGGTTTCTGGGCCTAAACCGCACATGTATTAACCGTTCTGTTGCAAGTTACAATCATTCTTAGGCTACCAGTTTCTCTCTCTATTTCAGGGCTTATCAGAAGGTTGGTTTTTTTGACTGGCTGATCAAGGAGATCAATAGTGGAAATTATGAAGGGTTATCCTGGACTGATGAGAGCCGTACAGCTTTTTGTATTCCTTGGAAGCACAATTCAAGGAAGGACCTTGTGGATACTGATTATAAGATTTTCAAGGTATGAGCCTCTTTCACTAAGGATGGGCATTTCTGGCCAACTGCCACACTCCTTGGTATAAGCAAGCTATAGCCCCTTCACCAGCTTATTAGTGCACAAGCTTTCATGATCTAGAGTCAGCTTCATCATATGCTGCAAGAGACTAACATGGATAACTGTTTAAAAATTCTTTGGTATGCATACAAGGACCTCGCTTCTAATAACTAAGCACCTGCATTCTGCAGTTGTTTTGGATGATGAATTAGTCTTTGCACTTCCCTTTTGTGCAGAGTGGAAAATGCCACACACACTGAGAGTCTGGATGGTGGCCTGGTGAAGGAGCGTGAGGGCCCCTGACAGCTGCAGCCCTGTGCATGTCTGCTTGGAAACTTTGCCATTGTAAATGTGCCTCAGGGTGAACCTAGACCTGCTGTATGTCCCATCACTTGCTCAAGCCTCCTTGACCTTTCTGTAACAAAGAGTCGGTGTGGAGGGCCTGTGTCAAGGCTTTAGACCTTTCTCCTAGTCTGGATTGCAGTTCCACGTGCTTACAAACCCACCTACCCACTGTGATTCTTAGTAAGAAGTAAGCTCCTGCTAATGAGAACTTTCTCCCCATTGGGAGTAGTAGGTGTGGTATGGGGAAGCGTTCCTATTGAGACCATGGTGGGAACAAAGGACTAAGGCCCCCTTCCCTGGTGTGATGATCCTAGTAAGACTCGCTCCCATGCCAGCTTTCTGCGAAAGGAAATCAGTTACACAGATGCAAACGAGGCTCATCTAGCCCTTCTACCAGTTGCTTGCTTAGTCCTGGTGGCTGGGGAGGAACAGGAAGTGGGGGGGGGTCATGTGCTACAGAGTCTGGCTTTAAGCAGAGGACTCATTTGACATATTTCCATCTTTTTTCCTTTAATTCCATGTGGAAAGGCGTGGGCCATGTTCAGCAACAAATACAATGAAGATTTGCAGAACCCAGCCAAATGGAAACTCAACTTCCGTTGTGCCATGATGAGTACAAAGAGATTTGAAGAAGTCAAGTTGAATAACCCTAACTATCATGTGTACAGAATTATTTCCCCCAAATCCAGTACTGCAGCACCTGCTAACTATCCTGCCAATACAAGTAAGGACAGAGGGGATGCTGGGTTTGGGTTTGTAGGAGTTATTTCATGGCCTGTTTCAATAGAGCAGAAAAAAGTGTAGTTTTTCCCTGTTGAACAGTGAGAAGGAAGTCTAGCATTTTAAAAGGCTAGCCTTTAAAAACTGCACACTCTGACATGCATTCCCATTGTCCAAAGCTAACTCTGCAAAGAATTCTTTGTTAATTGAGGGCAACGGATCAATGGCAGCAGTGGTGGATCTCTTGCATCCACTGTGGGCAGGCAAAATAAATCACCTTCAGCTGCGTCCTGCCCAGGACAACTGGTAGTTCATATCTGCAGGAAGAGGCTCTGCATAAATGCATGCGGGTGGGGCCTTTCTCCTAAAAGTCCCTCTGGGCACACATCTGTCTATACAAAAGCCTCGTTCATGTGGGTTGCAAACGCCCAGTTTGAAGGGCATAGCTAGCACTCATTTTGTGGGAAGGACTTGTGAGAGGGATGTTAAAGCAATGGCCAGGTTCACAGAACATGCCACATCTCCTAAGCGTTGCACTCATTTCAGGTCCTGTGTCATGAAGTGACACAAGCAGCACATTGTGCGCTGCAGCTTGACCAGATGCTACCTCTAGAGCTGACCAAGAATGAAGAATGAACCGGCCACTTCTGTAGATATCCAGGTGCCACTTAGAGTGTAAAGAAGGCCAAACTGAAGTGCCTGTTGACAAACCAATTGTTGCTCTAATGCGACAGGCCTTTGAGACTCGAGCAACCAGATCACAAAACAAACAACAAGCCTTACATCTCTAAAACTCGCAATCCTTTAATATGAGGCTGGTCGGCGGGGGGGGGGGGGGGGTCAGCAGAATCCGGCCAGCAAAAGGCTCAGTGCAGCTTATGTTAAACATCTAAAACTAGCGTGGATAGACTTTGATGTGATACTCCCAAATGTAGTTTTTCATAACCAGGAGGTGAGTCTGCACCTTTCCTGATTAGATCTTCACCTAGACATACTGTTTGTTTCCTTTTCTGTTGAAGGCAATTTGAGTGATCCCGAAGATGATCTGCATATCAGCCCGAACAGTGAGGCTGCTCCTGCTCTGTCCCAGCCCACACCTTCAGGCCAGGTACAAGGCTCACAGGGCATGATTGCGAACAGCTACAGAACAGTTCAAACTTCCAGAACATTGGGATTGGTTGATGTTTCATATATTACCTTGAAAGGTGTAGTTGATCTAACAAACACCAGTCCAGAGACTTGTAGTAAAACACATTAGTAAACATTCAAAAGACATATCAATATAAAGATTATTTGGTGTCTTGTGGCTCAAGAGAGCATGAGGCTAATGGGCAGCTTTTAAAGAAATCTAATAAATAAGAGTAAGTTCTTTTACTCTAGAAAGGGAGGTTGGAAGCACTATCTTGGATGCATTCCTGAAGAACTGACCAAGGCAGCTATCTCGATGGCAGAGATTGCCCATGAGAACTTGGCAACTAGCTGGCCAGACAAGCTTCCTGGCCAGGTGCTACTCCAAGGGCAGATCAAAAGGTAGAGTGAGTTGACCCCATTTGATGTCCTCCAGATGTGTTGGCTTCAACTCCAGTTCCCAACCAGTGTGGCCATTCTGCTGGGTATGATGGTAGTTGAGCAGCAATGCATCTAAAGAGTACCAGCTTGGAATGTGCTGGGTTAGAGTAATTACAATGCTTCCTGGATGAATGAGAACTGCCTCTGATTAATTGTTTAAACCACCCAGAATTTCCAGTCCATGGACCTGCTGGATAGGAATTCTGGAAGTCACTGTCCAAATGCTTCTAAAGGGTGCCAGGTTGGGGAAGGGGTTCTTTTAAACATACACAAATGTTTGAACCTAAAAAATTGAAATAAAGAGGTCATCCAACAGCTTCAAGGAACAGGTGCACATTTATGCTGTTTCAATAGAAGTGCAGTGTATCAAAATGGTACATGGAACATGCATGTGCAAATGCTTCATGAAATTCATTTTCTCATAACATTCTGGGCCAGAGCTCTTTGGCAACTCAAGGAAAGTGGGAATGGTATTGTACACTCATGTGACAGTAGATGGGCCAGGTGTGTGTGTCTCTAGGTTTCCTTGCCAGAATACCTATTAACTTGGTAAAATGGCAAATCTACATAAAGAGGCATATGGGGTTTCATATTCCATTGACTGCTGTCAGAGAATTGTCAAAAGAGGCCAAAGCTGAAGAATCTTTACTTGTGAAAGGGGGTGGTGAGTAGATCCATCCCTTTTGTAGTGAAATCCTGTATTTTTTTTTTTTTTTAGAACCTTTACCTCTTTCACTCTTTCCTCAGATTCTATAGATTTGCATAGTGGAAAAGGGTGAACTTATCCCATTTATAAGGGTGCAGAGTCTGACTGTCAAAATGATTTTTTGACATGGACATACTGCAGTGGGGAGAAGGGGAAAATGCATGGTGAGCCCAAATCTGTGTGCACTGAGTTGTTCCATAAATAACACACACTGTGACCATTCCATGCCCCAAAAGTTGATCATAGAAAAAGGTTGATAACCTACAACTGTTCTCTGTAAAATATGCTGAAAACAGCATCTAACTAACTTTATGCATGACATCTCCTCCATGTGTGACCAAGCTTTCTATTTGTCTTGTTCACAGCAAGAAATTCATACTGCTTTTAAAGCTTTGTCATTAGAAAATCAAGTCCAAGGTAAGCTGGCAAAACTTGTGAGTGCTCATTGCTCTTGTTTATTGTTAAAAATACCAATTAGAACATCCTGGAAGCTTGGGACATCTTTCTACAGGAGCAATCCTCTTCTCCTGGTTGTAGCAGCAGAAGGTTGGAGTGGTGCGTCCAAATGTGCCAACAGTTCTGCCATCACTGCTGTGGGAGGGGGCAGGTTCAGCTGTATCTCCCCAGGAGGAGGCCCAGCCAAACACAATGGCCACACGTGCCACACTGGCCAGGGCAGGGGGCAAGCTGATGCCTGCCACACATGCCCGCTCAAGTCCCGAAGGGGACTTGGGAAGGTGGCCCAGGTCAGGCCCCAGTGCTGTGGCTGTCTGCCGCCTCCTGCCTCTTTTCAGTCCTGCTCTGAACTTGAGACGGAGGCTGTGTACTGGATTTATAATAATTGCAAGCCCTAGCTTGTCTCTATAAAGTTGTTAACTTTGGTTTGAATTTTGTTAACAAATATTGTTTTTTGCCACCTGCTTACCTAGTTGACCAGTTGTTGGTTTTTGGGTTGGGTTGCATTTCCTTTCTGGGAATTTCTTAATTCAATGTATGCTGCTTAGTTTGAGAAAGGAAATCTGTTTAAATAACACTCAAGTGCTTGAAAGATGATTTTTCTCTGCTGTCAAAGACTTAGTGCACAGTCCTATGTATGTTCAGATGGGGAAAGTCCAAGAACTCCCAGCTGATAATTGGTATTGTGCCTAAGGTTCACAGTGGACTTACTGGTGCTTGGGGCAAAAATAATCTATTCTTCTGAAACACCAGATTGCAAGGCAGGAAAAGATGAGTTATGACCAATAGATTAGAATAAGAGGCCTTAATTTTTTGCCTAAGGCAAAGGTTGTCAGACATTAGGGTTGCGGCTTCAGGTGTTACCAAACCTATAAAATTCATTCAACATCCTTTCAACTTACAATCAGGTTGCTGAATCCTTTCTTTTGAGTCATACTGGAACAGTCCTCTTATATTTCTATACCACTGAATAGCTGATGCTCTTCTGAGGAACTCTCTTCTACTTGTTAGATGCAAACTCTCATCAGGATGCAGAGAATGTCAGGATGCAGAGAATGTATTCAGCCAAGAATGCTTTCAAAATTAGGGCTTCATTCCCAAACATCACCAGCTATGTTGTGGATCTCTGTGCTTCCATGTGGGCCTTGTAAGCGTGTTTTGTGGGATGGGCTTGCGGAGTTCCTGCATTCAAGACACATTCTGGGGCAGACATTGTCACGCACATCCCATCCCCAGTTTCATCATGGTCAATACTTGGAAACTGACTCTAAAACTGGCAAAAATGAAGAGAATATTAAAAGGGGGCTACACTTCTAATGTAGCACCATGCAAAGGCCACCCCCAAGCTTGGTAGATTTCTTTCATCCAAATGCGCCACTGATCATGCCTGTTTGCTTTCAATGTTTTCCTTGGTGCTTGTTGTACCTAACACCCTGTGACTTGGTGCAGTTTGTAAAGGGCAGTGGAGCATCTGTGTGTAGTTTGGTGCACAGCTGGCCTGCTGCATTTCATACAGACATTTTTGTTTGGAATGAGGAAAGGCGGCCTCTGCAGTGGAGTCAGTGGTCTCGAGAGTCAGTCCTGATGCACATATTTGTGTGCCGCAGGGTCAGATGGGAGTTCAGCAGGAGACCTTAACCAACACAGTGAGGATATACTCCAGTGGGTTCTGCAGCAAGCCAACCTGACTGAGACATTCTCATGGGCTAATGCTCCGGTTGCTCATCCTCCAGGTAGGTCTAGCAATTTGACGATGTCTTTCCATGCCAGTCCCTTGGTCTCTGCTTTCCAAAGGGTTGGCAGTATGGCCAAGAGTTACCTTTTCCTGTGCATGACTTTGTTTTTCCTCCTTGTGCAATACACCAGGGGCAGTTGCATATGAACAAGGCAGTGTCTATGCGATCCCTCATGTCAACCAAAATGGTTGCCTATCTCTAGGCAATGGAGTGGTGAATGAACCAGGAGCAAGTAATGGCTATGAGAAAACCACCGGGTGGCTGGCTGCAAGCATACCAACTTCCCAGCCAACTGTCACTCTGCCACTGCAACCTGCTCAGCAGATCTCTCCTGTCACAAATCAAATTAACCATGTGGGTGAGTAATGTGTGTCTGAACGTTTTGCATGTGGCAAGACATGCCAAAAAGGAGCGTGCAGAGTTTTGGTGTGCGAGGTTCAACTGTAGTAAGTGTTGAAAAGGAAGGTCTCCATTTAATTCCTCAAAAGTGTATACAATAAACTATCTTGATTTTTTTTACTTAAAATAGAGCAGTATATGCTTAAGGAAGATGGTGGGTTGGATTGAAACTAGGTCATCTTTTATCTACAACCATGGGACTTAATTAGCTACTGACAAAATACCAAATGGGCAAGTGAAACCTCAGAGCCTGATTCGAGCAGTAAAGAGAAGCTGGTGATTAACTAATGTGAGGTGTGTGAATATGTTTTCTAATGCTGAATGATTGGATGTTTAGCTCGCCATAGGATTGGGCGTGCAGCCAATGAATCAGAAAAAGGGAGGTGTCTACAGGAGGATATTTCACGGCTCACCCAGAGTAACTAGTGCAGCCTCATCCTAAGTGGGTGTCCTCCGTATGTGCTGGAATGCAAATCCATTATGTCATGGTCATGGTGGGTAGGGATGGTGGTAGCTGGTGCCCAGCACAGCTTGAGGAGCACCAGCTTAGGAGAGGCTGGCTAAATGGATAACTATTTTTTGCAGCTACAAGCATGAGAATATCCAAGCCTTTTCTGTTCTATATTAACAGAAGCCCTCTATAAAGATCACTGCTTTACTGAAAACTTGATCATGAATGAAGAACCTCTGGGTAATGGAATGATGAACCATGCAACAGTGAATGACTTTCAGCCAGCAAGCCAGCAAATTATGATGGAACCAAACCTCTTTGGATCCCCAGTAGAACAACCCCCTGTCAATACTGCTCCAGCACAGAATGGTGCAGGTTTGTAAGATGCATCTCCAGGTTCAGCTCTGTGGGCTGCAAGGGATAAAGAAGTATTTGTATTTCCTGACTTGCTGGAGTGGGTGTGAGGGAGCCTATGCCATTCCTCAGTATTCAGTACTCAGCAAGGAGTACTCACTGTCTGCCTTAAAAGCCCCAATGACAGAATTTTATTTTTATTATTATTTTTATTTAGAAAATTTCTATGCCGCCCCATTTGCCAAAGCCTCGGGGCGACTCACAAATATATCAATTAAAATATTATACAATAAAAATATAAAACAAGTTAACAATATAAAGTAAGTCGCCCTGGCCAAAGAATAAAATAAATAATATTAACAGTTAAAATGACGTTTGAATAAAAAGGTCTTCGTCTGGCGCCGAAAAACAAATAACGACGGCGCCAGGCGGACCTCTCTGGGGAGCGCATTCCATAACATAGATGTTAGAATGAACACAGTGTTGTGAAGTGCACTTGGTAACCCTGTCTCAGAACAGCTGTGAGTATAATGTGGGGAGGGGGCAGTGGGAGAAATTAAATATGTCTCACCCTGAGTTCCTTGGAGAAAGAATAAGCAAAGCATATGTAGCAAAATGCATACAATGCCAAAATCCACATTAGGGTCATGCATCTCTCAGGCCAAATTGGAGGTCACCCTCCAAAAGTGCAAGCTTTTGAGACCTTCCAATCTCTTCATCTGGTGAGATGTTTCAAAAAGCAGGAGGGGCGGGGAAGGGCTCGTGCACGTCTCGAACCCCATCTATCTTACCCCTTTCCCCCATTCACTGTTTTGCAATGCTTTACTTCCTCGGGGAAACTTCAATGTCTCCTTATTTCTGGAGGTGACATTTGAGCTGGCCTCATAAATATAATGCACTAAGACAGATTTGATTTTTGTTTTTCTTAAGCCCAATGCAGCTGCATTTTTTGTAAATAGCACTGTCACTTTAAGGGGGTGTATAGAGAAGTGTCTTGTGTGGGGTGGGGCATGATGATGGGAAACGGCTTCACTGGTAATTTGCTCCACTTGCTGTGGAGAGACTCTTCTTGAGGAACGGTTTTGAGCTGAGCGTACAAGCACAACGGGCTGCTTGTTTGTGCATGTCGTCTCTGAGCATCCAAAGACTGAGCTGGAAATTTCCCCTATTGCAAATTAGAATTTGAAGGAGTCCATTCTTATCATGGGTTCTTTGGTTCTGGACTGTGCTGCTGTTCCATCTCTGCCATTTCCAATTCACTGGTGTCCACCTGGGGCCAAGAACAGTTTCTTCGTGGCTTGGCTGCTGTGACCCTCACTTTGTTGAGACAAAAGCACCTCTCAGCCATCTTAAAATTTTTATCTTGGCTACTAACTGCAGGGTGTGGCTACTCACGTCCTGTGGAAGCTGCTGGATTTGCATCTCTTTGGCCAGGGTGCTTCAAAATCAGGGCTCCACAACGGGTGGTTCTTTCTCTTGTCACATGAACCATCCCGTATTTAAGGCCCATGTAGCAATGTGTTCAGCTTTGTCCAGTGTGGCTTCCAAAGTGCTTTATAAAATTTCTCTTGCTGTTTATGCTTGAAAGCTTGCTTTTCTTAGCCCTGTTGCTGAGAATGTAACTTCCTCTGTTTTGGGTATCATGGTTCTGTGAATGCTCTGTTCCAATAACTATTTTTCTCTGTGTTTATGTAAATGCTTCTTTGTAAGTGCCTAGTCAGCTTGCAGCCTTTAACAGCTATGGAGGAAGTGAGCATTTCCCACTAGATTAAGCCCAACCCTTGTCTCTTGCGGCAGGAACAAACCCTCTCAACCTAGATGTCTTCATCTACTACCGAGGGAAGCTGCTGTACGAAACAGTAGTGGACACAAGCAGCTGCCTGCTCACCTACAACAACCACTACAACTATAGTGCTTTTGATAACCTGAGGATAATACAGTTTCCAAGCCTGGAGGTCCTGCCTGATCAGAAGCAGGTTCAGCACACCTTGACTATTCTGCAGGTGGCAGGTCTGTTGCTGTATCAGAAGAATGAGAAACTGTGTGCCAAGCGCCTAGGCAAATGCAAGGTCTTCTGGGCCTTCTCCAAGCAGCTGGACAACATAGCTGAGCCTCCTCCAACTAGGATGTTGCCACGGGAGGAAGATGTGGAGATCTTCAACTATGGAAAGTTCTGCCAAGGTGATTGTCTAGAAAGATGGTACTGCTTCTCTGGCAGGGAAGTGTCCCCCTGAGGTTTTCCAGGGGGAAGCGCTCTCTTTCCTCCAACCATTGTAGGTGTTTGAGTTTCCTCCAACCATAAGAGGTGGATTGTTTTTTCCCCTGGCTTTTGTGCAGTGTTGTCTCCATTCTGAAAGATTGAGACACTTCTCTTAAGACTTAAGTTACTAGAGTGACAGCTTTGAGCTAAAGTATCCAAATATTTTAGTCCCACCCCTTTTCCTTTTGGCTGGCCATCATTGGCCCTCAAGTGTTCATCCAAAATGGAATTTGGCCCTTGGACTGCACCCCCTACTGTGAGGGCACTAAACTATTTTGAGCTTATTTTTCACAGCGGTTTGCTTTAAAAAAAATTACATTGTGAAGTGCCTTTTATCTCTCTTTGTAACGCTGATTGCAGTATGCCTTTATCTGGAAAGAAAGTGTCAGGCCAGAAGGCTTTGAAACTTGGACACCTGTCCAAACATCCCCAAAGTCTGTAGCTGTGCCAGATGGTCTGTAACCGGGCCATCAAAGGCCGCTCCTGGGGCTTTAACATTATAATTAGTTTTTAAAAATAGTTACGTGGTTGGGCCATTAGACACACTCCAGTAACTTCTTCATACTAAGTGGGATGACATTCATTTTCATCTAATCCAGCTTTTGTAGACTCACTGCTTGCTTAGCCTCCATTTGATTGGGAGGTCAAAATGGGTGAAACAGAAGAATCTGGTATTAGTTGCAGTATCTATTGCTTGGATAATTTCTACATCTCTCCACCTTTTAATGAAGAAAACAAAGGTTCTAGTCCATAAAGTATCAGTGTGTCAGAGCTGACAGATGTGATGCTGGAACATGCTGAGCTGAAGCTGCCTCTTGCAGTCTTTACACTAGCAAAGCGTTGTAAAATATGAAGAATAAACTGAAATGCGTAATTCATACAGGTGTATATAAGACTCTTGGTTCCATGTGCTGGGGGAAGACATGGCTCTGGTTGTAGCTCCTTGTATTACTCCCTTCTTGCCCTGATAAGTGAGAATTTGTATAGGACTAACCCTAATAATGCTGCTTAGTCTGGACCTGATGCCGTGTAACAGCTAAAAGTTGCGTTTAGGTCCTCCTGAAATCAGTGGGACAAGTTGGTCATAAGACAAGTACTGATGATTTCAGTAAGAATGAGTGCACCTAACTTAGCCTGGATCCAAGCCATAGTGCTTTGAAGAGTAAAAAGCAGCTGACATTATTTCAGTAGTTAGTCTTTACAGCAACCCTTGAAGTGTTGTTGTAGTGCAGGCATGAGGACTGAGGCTCAACTGGGTTTCCTCAGGCCATCTGCTGCATTCTGTGGCTGGCATGAATATCCTGGCTTGGGGAGTTTGCTTTGTTTAGCCTCCTTCGTTGCTGACACAGCTGGACTAGCAAGCACCGTATGGACTCTAAGATGTTGCTTGACAGGCTTTGATATGGAGGCCCTCGTGTGAGAAATTTAAGCCCCGTGTGTTGTAGTGATTGCAAATGGGCACAAACCAGGTTAAGAGCTTGTTAATGTTGGACAGTTGCTTGTGCCAACTATCCCCTTCCAGTGGCGTTTTCACACATGATGCTTCAGTCTGCTTGTGCTTATAGTGCAAATATATGTGAAGCTGTACTGGCTAGAATGTATGTGCTGTTATGTGTCGGCCTTCACACACAAGAGGAGGAGCCTGGAAGAGGGGCAAATGGCATTTTAGTGATGCATGAGAAAACACCTTTTGATTTGCCCTTCTTTTTGGTTTTTATGGACACACAATGGCTTACAGAACCTTTCTTTTGAACAGAACTGAAAGAGTTCCATGACAGTCTCAGGCATTCATCGCCAGACTACACCATCTACCTGTGTTTTGGTCAATGTTTTTCTGCTGCAAAACCCAAGGAATCAAGGCTAATTCTGGTGAAGGTGAGCATAGAGGATCAACTTAAGTTGGGGTGGGACCCAGATGATTCAACCTACAGTTCCAAGCAGCCCTAGCCACCATATAAGAAATGATGGTAAACCTTTGGGGGAAGCGCAGGGTGCCCACTTCTCTCTTGATACGCCAAGTCCTTTCACCCGGGCAGAAGTACTTGCTGGTCTGTTTGTGCCAGCAGAATCTGTTGGTGAAATGAAAGGCCATTTCACCAACTACCATTGCTGGTGAGGTTGGAACACTGGACTAGGGAGTAGAAGACCCTACACAGATGACTTTGAGCCCGTCACAAACTCTCAGCCTAACTTCCCTCATAGGGTGGTCTATGGGCTAACGATGGAGAAAAAGAGGCCATGTAAGCCTCCTTGGTTTCCTTGCAGGAGGGAAAAAGGAAGATTTAATCTTTTAACAAGATTAAAAATGTGGTAGGAAATTGGGCTTGCTGCCAAGTATCTACTCAAGAGCAAGCCACAGCCAAATTTGGCTCATGGTAAGATTCACCGGCATGATGCCCACTTTGCAAAAATCTTGCTGTTGAGTCCAAAGTGAGATTGGTTCGCAAAAAGACTACTTTGACTTTATCTTTGACTTTCTGAAAGAACTGTAGCCAGCCCCGTCTCTTTCCCAAACATCCTTGCTTTGATGATGGATGTGATGCACATATATTTTGGTGGGTGTGTTCAGGGACTGTGTGTGTGATCTATATCTGTAAGTAGATAAATTTAACTGGCTCCTGTCTCTCTTTCAGTTGGTGCCAAAGCTGTGTAAACACTGGCATGAATGCGTGCAAAGAGAAGGAGTTTCATCCTTGGACAGTGAAAACATGAGCTTAGAAATCTCAAACAGCCTATATGATATGATGGACTATCTAAATAACATCCTTATGCAGATGGAGGAAGCAGCTTGAGCACCATGTTCCCTGTCAACAGCTCAAGTGGTTGGACTCTGTGTTTTGCGCAGCAGCAGGTGGGGTGGCTTTTCCCTGGCTGCTTGCTTGAGGGGACTGTAATTAAAAACTGCTCTGTCAGGTCTGGGCATAAAGGCAGCCTAAGTCACGTGTGCTGACCAACTACGGGCAATGTAAGGTGTGAACTGCAAGTTGTTACACCACATGATGAAGGTAGGAAATGGTAACCTCAAGTAGAATAGTCTTGTTTTATGCATTTGGCAGATTCCCATAGTCTACATACCATGAATTCCACTTGGAAATTGAAATTTTTGGGATGCTGTCCCTTCTCCTTGCAGGTTAGTCTGACTTCTCAGATCTTTCAAGGACAAAGTTGCCTAATTTGTTCGGGTGTTGCATAGAGTGGGTGAAGCCAGGAGTCTGTCTCCCTGCTTTGGACCCCTGAAGACCTTGATTCTGTTACCTCCAGTTGACAGGCCCAAGTTCCATTATGTCACAGGTGTGCCATCTATGGGGCCACAGTTCCCATCAATCCTGACATTGGTCATGTAGCTTGGAGCTTATGGAAGTTGGAATCCAACACCATCTGGAAAGTCAGGTTTGCCAAGCCTGAACTTCAGTTGCATAAAAGGAAGCAAGCAAGCCATTGTTCTTCGGAAGCAGAGTTCTTTGCCCACGACGAATTCTTTTCCTGCCAGGGGACTTCTGGCATGCTCAAAGTTATGACAGTTCTTCAAGTCTTTTATGCTGATCTCTTCCCCCAACCAAGGGATTTGAGTGGCTTCTGTTGTCATTTTTCCTCTTCAAAATGTTCTTTCTCTCCTCCTTCCCCTTGGCACCTTGTGAAAAGTGCACAACCTACGCAGGCTTTCTATGTAGGTTGCACAAATGTTTTTCCTTTCTGTAATACAGCAGTTGTGGTGTCCAGGGCCATCTGTTGAGCTACTTCGGGCCTGCAGTTGGCAAGAACCAGTCATGGGCCTACATGGCCTTGACTTCTACACAGAGGCCAAAGGGATGGAAGTGGTTTTAGCCTCTGTACCTGAAGGCTGGCACTATTATGTTCTTGTCATTGGTACTAGTTCAGGTATATTTGCCACTAGTTCAGGTGACAAGGTGTCAGGCTTCTGGGCCTGGAGCCTTTGCCAAGGAAAGCAAGGCAGTCAGGAGGTTGTGCTCTCGGCACTAGTGCAGTGCATGACTTGAGGTGTTCCCAGCCATCTTCACAGTCTGGATGAAATATAAACTCCAGCGAAGGGCCTGCCAGCATCCCTGGGCAAAACGCCCCTCAGGAAGCTCCCTGGGTATCATAGTGGCTTCACTGCCTTGTGGACTGCAACAATCAGATAAAGTTAGCAAATGCATCGAATTCCGTCAGGTCAGAAAGAGGCAACTTGTGGCCCCTCAATGTTCAGCAGCCACAACCAGCAGTCAGGGTTGATGGGAAGTGTAGGCCAAAGTATCTGGTGGGCCATAAATTAGCCACCCCTTGCCCTGAGTAGAAGCCATGCCAGTTTGTCCCAGTACAAGGGGCACAGCCTGTCAGATGGAGGCCAGCACAGCTTCTCCTCAGAAGGGCATGAGAAAGCATTGAGGCTGTAGCTGGTTCCTTATTTTTGAGGAAAGCTCCATCCATGGGGGGGGGGAGTTACTCCCTATTTGGTGTGTTTTGGACTGTGGCCTTATTTGTTAAAGTGCCGCAAAGTAAAATGGGTTTTCTAGCAATTTTTTCCAATGCATATTAGGTTAATTTTCATAAGGTCTTGTGCACTGGGCTTTTTTCTGTTTGCATTAGAAAGCCACTCAACAGATGATTCAGATGTTTCCAGTAGGGGCACAAGATCCAAAGCCAGCATTTTCTGTCAGGTAGAGATCCCAGGGGCTATAAACCTGCATTATGTAGAAGCCAAAATCAACAGTATATTTTGTCTGTTTTCTGCATAAAAATGCATCAGAGGCTATAGCCAAGTCCCTTTCTTCCCTCTTTTCCCAATACCCAGAGGCTGCCTTAGAAAGCCACACAAGAGGACAGGAGCCGAAAGTTCAAAACTAAATTTTGGTGGCATCCCCCGCCCGCACACCAAATTTGGTATGCTAGGGTTGCTTAATAATTCTTACAAATAGGCTGTATTCTGGTTCTGTATGGCCTGATTTCACTTTGGGGATGCTAAGCACCTATTTTACAAAAGTACGTTTTTGATACTAACTTTTCAGGGAATGGGCTGAAGGCCTCTGATACACCTCAACTGCTGAAGCCTTGAGCAGTGCCTGCCTATGGGATTGCCTGGGAATCTTTGTAAGCTGCGCCAGGTCCCTTTCTTGAAAATCCTCAAGGTGCAGAAGAAAACAGAGGCAGGCTTTATATTTGAAGTTAATCTCCAAACTTGGTGCATTCCCAGGCTCTCCATGCAGTCTGCTTGAGACTGCAAAGCAAGGCAGCTCATTAAATTCATTCTACCTGATCCTGGATAGGAGTCTAACTTAGTCCTGCTTCACTTTTGGAACTGAAAGTGCACATATGCACATATCATGCATCTGGGGTCTGTGCTGGATGCAGCAATTCATTCAGACACAGCAAGGCTCTCCTGGATCAGGATTACAGACAACAGAAATGAAGGGATTATAAAGCTTTTTTCATTCTTAAGCTTAGACTTCTACTCCAGGAAGTGGCATATGAGAACACTAATGACGGAACAGTGCTCCAAACCACAGCAGCAAACCATATAGTTTAACACAAGACTCTTGAAGTATTTAGTTCAAGAGTGGGAGGGGGAGCAGGGGGGAGTAAGCAGAGCACTTTATTGTATTCACTGAATGGAGGGGGAGAACATACTAATAAACTCAGGCACAACTGCTCCATTTCTCACGACTAATATTTTCTTTGCAGGCAGAGGTAAGAGTTGTAGTCAGTGGAATACTACTCAGTAGGTGTATTTAAGCTTTCAAGGACAAAAGTGTACAGTATGAAAAGGACAGAACAGAAAGGGCAGGGTAGTACTTGGAAGGAGTCCAATTGAATTTATGACCCTTCCCACAGGAAGTGTGCTGTTTCATCAGCTGTGTCCCCTTTACCGTGCAGTTCCATGAATTTGCTAAATTCATAAACCATCCATAAGAATGTTACTTGTATAACCAGCACCCATGGGGATTGGTAGATGCTGGATGGATGTAGTTTCTTGTTGCTTGAGAGTTACTATTAAAACTGGGCCTAACTAATACCATACCCCATGCTATACCATACCATGATCTCTGTATTGAGTTGATATTAGTATTGAAATACAGTACTTAAAAGTAAATTAAAACAAAGACAAACCATGAATTTAGGGTTATGTGCAAACCTGGTCTAAAAGGTTTTTTTTTAGGGTGCAATAGTATGGGCTCCTGACCCCACCTAGGATCTTCAGAGACCTTGCACCAACCTTTTGCCTCACACCCCCTCACAGCCAGTGTGGAGAGAACCACACTAGTTTTTTTCTCCAGGAGCACATGTACCTTGGAAAAGGTAAAAGGACATGCAGGGGGAAGGAATGAGGCTGGGGCCTCTACATATGCCAATTCACAGTGCAGGACACATTCCTCCCTCCCTGGTACTTTAAGTGCTAAGAACGGTTATACAGATAACTTGCGTGGGACAAGGAACAGGGGCAGCAGCAAAGATTGCCTCACCTTGCTAAGCTATTGGATGCATGTAAGCATTGGACTGAGCCCTTGGTCACACTGGTGCTCATGAAACAGCGCATTTCCTGTAGGGAAGGTCATGAATTCAGTTGGATTGCTTACAACTGCTTCTGTCTGCTTCCTGTTTCTAAAGCTTGCTGGAATAGCTAGATTGTTTTGTACATATATTTATTTTAGAGTCTTTCTACTAGCCCTGGTTCACAAAAAACTATCCAACGGGTTTTTGTTTTTCTAGAATATTTTCTGCTAAGCAGGAATGTCTGAAAAACTTGTTTCTATTTGAATATTGCCCTGCTGTCTTACAGTCCTGAAACACACCATTAGCGCATTACTTCTGTATGTGGTTTCCCTTTGGGCCTACACATTTCCTTTAACAGTATACATTCTGTATAGCAACGCGCATTTAACATTAACACAAATCTCTTCTGGTCTTTGGAATGTATAGGGCAGGGAGATCACTGAATAATACATGCACTTATAGCTGTATAAATTAAAAGGCATTCCACAATGTGTAAAGTTTTTTTATTTGGACACTGTAAATATGAAAGTATAGCTTGGACTTAACATCTGAACTGTTCAGCATGTATACACACAAGTCTTCAGAAATTATTCTGGCTGGTGACTTGTCATGTGGGGCTATTATCATTCGTCCATAACATTCTACAACAAAATATGAGAGAATAAAAGTTACCATTTTATTAAGAAATCAGATGGATTTAAAACTGTAGATTTGCTGGATGTCATTTGCAGATTAGATTTCAGTGCTAATTCATCTGCCAAAACTCTTCAGGACAAAGCCATTTAGAAACTGGGTGGAAGCAGAAGTCAGCCTCTCTATTGCTCTAAGTGAGGTAAGGCCGAATGCAGCCTTCAGCCAACTGATGCTTGCGTTTGCCATGATTTATTTCTTGGCTTCAGGATGGAAGGGGTGACTAGGGCCAGGCTGATCCCTATTTGGCTGAACCGGAAATTGCCCCAGTTCTCTACAATCTATATACAATGCTGGCTTAACAAGTGGTTTTAAAAAGGCCCTTTAATGTGCAGATTCAGCCTTTTAGACCCAGATTGCCATCACAGATATTTTGCTGAAATGGTGAATCCTCAGCTTGCCTCTGAGTACTAGTTGCAATTCTTGGTACAAATGTTATTCTCTGTCTCCACCTAATCCAGGCAATGGCCATAGGAAAGTTAGGCCTGCCTTAGGCCTCACTCAGAACTAGCACAGCAAGAACTTACTTGTTTGTAGTCCTACCTTACCCTAAATTAGGTTCTGAGGATGATTGTTTATGTTATCTCAGGGGTGCGGCTGCCAGCAGCAGTAGCTTTTGGCAGTGACTAGCAGAAGCTCTACTAGCTGTGTTGCAGGCAAAACCTTGGAGTAGGCTAGCACAGCTGGGTCACTATTGGCGGTACACATTTATTCCAAAGGGACTTAGCAAGGGAAGCTTTTCCTGGACTGAGACCACTATGCAGAGTGTTCCCATTGTGTGGCAAGTCTTTCAGAGTAATACTGACATTCACAGAGTTGGTGTGAAGGGTGCCATCCAAGAAGGCAGCAGCCAGATTGGGTAGAAGCATTTCTAGTCCTTTTGCTGCGGTTGATCAAAGGAAAAATTCCCCTCAGCCAAAATGACTGTCCCATACAGTCCCAAGAGCAATAAATGGAACACAAACCTGTCTCTCCACATGCACGGTACTGGACCCAAAGGCAGCATTCCCATAGCTGGTGATGTAATACTGTGCAGGAGCCTGAAGGACGTTTGGTTCACTTGGGACTGAAATAACAATGGCAACAATGCACAGTTATCAGACCAGTTAATACACATCCAAGCTGCCCTCTCCTCAACCTCCCCTCACTTTATTCTCTTGCTCTCAGGTTTGGTAGTGCAATATCCAATTAATATCCTGCAAACAAGAGCAGCAAATAATCAAAGGGACAACACTGCAGTCACATGCAGAGCATTAAAATGGTATCCTTGAAACAGTAACAAGTGCTTGTAGGATCAAGCAGAAATAGAAGCAGGGCTATTAGGTATGCAAAGAGAGCCAAAAGAACCAGTGATCCCCATTTTCACTTCCCAATGCATACTTTATCCCGTCCAACACTTGGGTGGATCTTCCATCTCAGAACAGATGTAACTTTGTTTAAAGCCAATGAAATCAAGAAACTTGACAGGCAACAAATCTAAACACAAGCATGGATAAGGACTGGCAGTAAAAAATAGAGAGTTTTTTTTTTTTTTGCCCTTATTTCAGGCATCTATCTTTCCAAGGCAACTCATGGCATGATCAATGAACAAACATGCATTAGGAAATAAAAACATTAACATATTTCATCTTTAAAGACAATGCATTATGAATGGCCTCACCTTTTGGGAATAGCAGCTCCGTTTTAAACTGATGGGCACAAATTCCACAAGTTTTTATTTCTTCTTTGGTCCTTTTTTGGGGGAAAAGGGAGTAAAACAAAACATGGCACAGCATCACTAAAGATTGAAAATATGTTTCTGTAATCCTTTGGTTTACAGCTGGGTCACTTGTAGGCTGAAGCATTTGGACGGCTACAGCTCTCATCAGCACGGCCCATGGGGACAGATGATAGAAGCTGTAGGCCAAAATATCTTGGGAGCCTCGCTTAACTTGACAAATTTGAAAAGAACTAGAATGCTAGAAGAGCAGAAACCTGGTCAAATCTCTGTCAACACTACCATGCTGTTGGAAAAGGAGTGGAAGCTCCCATTTAAACAATGATCCAACATCCTTTCTGACTGTTGCCACTGCAGGGAAGGCAGAAATTCATAAGAAATGCTGCACAGGAGTCCTAATCACTCATACCTCTTCAGTTTTGGGATGGGAGTGGGAAGAAGGTGTGAATCACCAGCCAGCCATGAAGCACACTGCCTGGGACAGTTCACTATTTTTCAACCTAGACTACCTTAGAAGTTACTATGAAGATAAAATGAGAATCAGACAGAAAAATTAAATCGTGGTAACTAGTTCAGCTTATTTATATATTGTGCAAATTACAGTTCCTGGGTTTAGCGGGATGATTCAGAACTGTTTATTCCCAGAAGGAAAGAATCAGACTAATACCAATCAGACAGCAGATGAGAGGAGATGATGGTCTGATGAGGACCATTTTCATTAAATTTGCATCATCTTTGTATGGGAAGATTCTAAAGTGAAATGAAATGGTCCCACCTGGCCTATTAGATTTTTTTGAAATTGACTTCAGAGGCTATAGATCAGTCCTGCCAGTTAAGATAAAAGGGACCCTTAAGCAATGTCAGAATTTTGTTGGAGATGTAGATCAATAGCCTTTGTATGCTATGCCAAGTGCTAGTGCAGTTGTCCCATGCTGAAATGTCACGCTGAAGGAACTGGCTTGTTTCACTGCTGAAATGGCAGGAGGTGGTCTGCTTTAAGGAGGGACAAGGGAATGAGATATACACACACTGTGCTTTTGTCATCCACATCTGGCCAGACAAATTCTGCAGGACATCCAGCTGTCCGGCAAGGTGCCTTCACACAAAGATGGAGGCCAGGCCACTCCTCCAACAGTTTATTGTTGATTGAGATTATTGTCATGATGAAGTCCCACACTAACTGGAATCCTGTAATAGGCAACAGAGAGAGGAAATGGAGGTTTGCAGAGGTCTAGATCAGACTTCCCAAACCTGCTGCCATCCAGATGCATCAGCCCCAAATTTCTAGAATCCACCTACCACCTGTGGGTCTGAAGTGAGCAGGAAGTAGGTCTCCAGGTGTTCTGAACTTCAGCTCACAGGATTCCTGACCATTGGCCATGCTGACTAGGGCTCACAGGAACTGGCCCACAATTTCTAGAGGGCAGCAGGTTGCTGGAGGTTGATTTAATGCAAGAAGTTTTTTGGAGGGCCACTTTTGATGAGAGTTTGGCCATTGCAAATGAATGGATGGCTTCCAAAACCTCCCACTTCCCTGTCAAAAGCTCTTTTTAAAGGAACTCAGAGTTTGGACATCTAGCAATCCAAGCTGTTAAACCTCCTTTCCCTAGAACAAGAGGCAGAGAGTGCACATTTGCACTTTTCTGTGCACCTGGAATCATGGAACAAAGTGCAAGATGTGCACCATGATAGGACTAAAGGTGAGAGGAGAGAGAAATAAAGAGCTTGCTGTGAAGGGGGTACCAGAAAAAAAGTTCTTTCTATAACAGATGATCCCTTGTGCCTTTGATTTCCCTTGACAGTTCACATTTCCACCTTCCACCAAAGAGGGGAAGATGCATTTGGAGTGTCTACTGGACAATGTCCCTGGACACTGCCCCAGCCAAGGCTTCAAATCCCCCCAGTTGTACAACTGTGCCTAAATATTTTTAGAAGACATAAACATAACTTTTTGTGCAGAAGGTATTGCACAAACAAATAATATATAAGGCTGGGCAGCCAGCCTCTCCAAGGCATCACCAGGCCACTTTGAAGGAATCGGCTGTACCTGACACAACAGGATTGTGAGATTTTGTGTTCTCCACCCACCATACTGCAAAAAGAGAGGGTTAAAAAAAGCCACAGCAGGCCCCAAACTGCTTGTAATTTCAGCAGGGAGCCAGTACCAGCCACCCTCGGGTGCCGCTTGGTCACTTGGGGGACAGTTAGCAGTGGCAGTCACTCGGGTGTCCCAAGGCATGAGCAGCAATGGATTTTTGCCCTTCTTGTCCTGGGGCCCCGCAGCTTGCTGCCTGAGTCCAGGTGACAGGTCAATTCCTTGTACTTACAAGGACCCCCGCAGCAGTGCATAGGTTGTGGGGATGGCTTGTTGCCACGAACCAGCCCCCCTGGGGAAATCAGTCTGGGTTCACAGGACATATTGCTATCCCAAATGGGTTGCTGTGTGGTGCAAGCCCAAACTCCCCTGGCTTTCAGAAGGAGTGATTTGGTTAGCAGCACACAGAACTCTGGGAAAAATGTAGTACTCCATTTCTAATACTCTGTGGAGCACGACAATAACTGGGCTCTCACAAGCAGGGAAAGAAAAGAAGGTATGGTTAGTTTTCCTGCCTGCCCCTGCACACTGGTCACATGCCACCTCATTTCCATAAATAACACACAGGCTGTGGGTTGCTGTGTTGTCTGAAGGTGGGCAGCAGGGACGGCTTCCGAACTTGCCTCCAACCCATGGCTCGTTTAGGGTGCTTTGCTGTGCCCAGGGGTGGGGGAGTTATGGAAATAGGGCAGTGCATGAGCAGCATGTGTGTGCAAGGCAAGCAAAGAAATCACTGTGGCGTCTTCTCCTTTTGATGGGCTTGAAGGCCTTCCTTTTCCACAGTGCCCTTAACTGAGACTATACATGGCTTGCATATTCTGAACAGCCTTTTCCTGTATTGCTTACATTTCTGTTTCAAATTTCTTATATCTGTGGCACCGGGTCATGCTGCTTTTGTAGGTCACTTTGTGAAGTCACAGCCCAAAAAGGCAGCTAAACGTATTTTAAACTAAATCAAGCAACGAATAAATAAATACCTTGTCTCTCTGTTGGTTTCCTGCATCTGAGTTCAAGATAGCTGTATCCTTTTTGTTTGTTTGCTTTGATCAGTAAAGGTTTGCCACTGCATATGAGCAGACATACTGCTTTTGCAACCCAGTAGGTTGAGAAAAAGGAGCAAGCTTTTACCAAGAGCCTAGAAAGAGAAAGGAAAATCAGCCTTCAGATCCATCTTGGTATGAGGTTTGGACAATACAACTACTTCTGTCTTTTTCTACTGTTACTATTTCTGTCTAAGACAACCTGCTTGCAAACTTCAGCAAGGGGCGGCATAGAAATGTTATAATAATAATAATAATAATAATAATAATAATAATAATAATAAACTTCATCGATCCATCATGGGACTGAAGAGTCCCTAATTTTGCAGGTTCTGAATGATCATACCCCCACATACAAAATCCTCTGTCTCATTTCCCAAGGCACAAATACATGGACCTCCTACACACAGAGAGAACACAAGTCAGCACCTCTTGCAGGCATGTAAGTCTAGTATCTACAGGGAGCAGCAGTTGCACATGCATGAGCCGGGTGGTATGGTACAGTCCCATGTGCCTTACGACCCCCATGTGCCTGTTTGATTGCATGGCAGGGGTAGGCAAATTGCAGCCTTCCAGCTGTTTTGGCCTACAATCATCCCTCAGCATGAGAAATGTCAGCCAAGGCTGAGGCAAACTGCAGGTCAAAACACCTGGAAGGCCAGGCAGCAGCCACCTCCATTATACAGGAATCCATTATGCTGGTTGGCTTATTGCAGCACAAGATCACTGCTTAAGGCACAAGTGCAAAGTCTCAGGTGTGGGGGCCAAATCTGACCCAGTCACATTCTCCAGGGCTGCCCTGACCCCACTCCCTTTCCCCCCAGCCACTGGTCAGTGGGTTGTTTCCCAGATTTTGCAGGTTGTTTTAAACCCCATTCTAAAAGGATGAAATGCCACTCCTAAGGCTTAGACTACTGCCAGTACGTGCTTCATGGTAACATATGCTGGTATATCTTTGTATTTTGGCCCAGCCCCTTTTGCCTTTGGCTCCACCCCCCAGGAATGCTGCCCCCAAGAACTTCTCAAGGATAGAATTTGGCCCTCTGGTTGCAATTGGTTCTATACCCCCAGCTCAAGCAAATCCGGCCATTTTCACGACTGTAACCCCAATTTAAAAGATCATTGCAAGAGCAGAAATCAGCCACAGATCACCTTTTATGGCTTTCATGCTATCAGTCAGTTGCACTTCATACCTTTGGAAAAAGCCTTCTGGGATCTCAGGAGAAAAGTACAGGCGGACATGAATGTCCTCCATGTGATCTCCTCCCCAAGTTGCTGAAACTTCCTCAGACCAGTTGAGATAAGTGGGAAATAAGTAGTGCGTATCCTCCTGGCTGTGCATAGTATCCCATGACTGCCCAGGTACAAATTCTCTGGCTTTGGGATTTAGTCCCTTTGCATTTCGGACTTCCAGGCAGATCTCAAAGTGCTCCAGCAAGCTGAAGAGCTTCCCCTTCTGGGATCTGCTGCCCACCATTTCCTCAAAGATGTCCCCCATGCCCTCCAAGTAGAGCTGGTGCTTGAGCAAAGCCCGCATGGCTTTCAGGCAAAGTGTGGCCTTCGATTTGAAGGTCCACACCCAGGTGGCTCGGTCTCGGATGGTGGCATGTTCCCCTATCAAGATGTCCACCGAGATGCTCTCCAGTTGCTGCGTCAGACCATACCGGACAAGAGTCTAGAAAAGCAGCGGCACAAAAACACCTTCGTAAGCACAGCAAACAGGTTCACAGTTTTCCTGTAGTGGAGGGGTTACCCGAAGTAGACTAGGATCTACTTGAAATCTCTGGCTGGTTTGCAGTAGATCAGCAAGGATTCTTGATTTCTGACTTATTACAAAAGCAGCAGCAGCAACAACAAAATGCCTCCCTCCACCTCAAGAAGGCTTAAAGGAAAAGCAGGAGCGCATTTCTGCATAAAATGACCATGAGTACCACAGTGGCATGAAAAAGAAATCCAGGTTGTTTCTTATTTCTTGCCTTCTTCTTTTGCACTTATGTAATTCAATGTTCAATAAGAAAAGTAGAAGTCTGAAATCTATCCTAGAGTTTAAGCCAGAAATCTACCCCAAAAGACTGCTGCCTTTTAACAAGCACAGGATGAAGCTAGTAGGCTCAAGCAGAGATGAAACAGGGACAGGGACCTCTAAAACAGCTTCTCCACCTTAGTAGCTGATGTGTGTATGTAGATGAAGCAGCACCCAACACTCCTCTAAGCCTTTCTGCAGCATGAGCTGCTACCTCATGGTGAGTTTCTAAATGATTATTTCTGGAGTTCTGGCGCAGTGGGGCTCTGCAGAATTAGCATGCCATGGAAGAGCATATGCCTGTGAGAAAATCTGTTTTCTACTATCTATTCATCACCTTGGTTTTCTGCAGCTCATGCAGCATTATCAGATGCATCAGGAAAAAGCTGCCTGTCTCATTTTGACAGCAGCTTCATGCCACCCCATATGGTGCTGGAATGCAATCAGGATGCAAAGGTGCCAGGAGAAGGAACCAGATGTCTGTGCTCAGCTCCAGAAGCCAGCTGAGTGGTCTCCTGTCGTGGAGGTAGGGAACCTGTGCCTCTCCAGATGTTGGGCTCAGCTCCTGGCAGCCCCAAGTAGCTTGGCCAACAGTGAGGAAGGAAGGGAACTGTAATTCAGCAACATCAGGAGGGCCACAGATTCTGCAGCCCCTGCACTCTGCAGCCTGCAGTGCGGGAGGGTGGGCCATTTCAAGGATACCCAGCCTGGAATGCAAGTGATCAAGGCTGACAAAGGCCTTTGATGACTCCCCAACTCAGGCTCAAGTGCAGCCTTGCTAGTGGCAAGAAGCTGCACTGAAGTTCCATTCAACTGCAAAGATGATCGGACCAAACTTCCCTCCTCTTGCTAAGGGCAGGATACTGGGTTGTATCTGTTGCTGGCTTTGTGCCACTGGAAAACCCTTGATTTCCACCCATCTCTCCTGTCCGGCACAGCCTTCCACAGCAACTCCCACTCTGTGCAGGAGACCCCAATTCTCAAGAGCAGCTTTTCAGCCAGCAGCACTGAGGTGAAAATTGGGTACTTTCTTTCCATTAGTGCAGGAGTGGGGTATCTCTGATCCTCCTGATGCTGTTGGGCACCAGCAACTATCAGCCCCAACTGGGAGGGTCAGGGAGGACCTTTGAGACCAGCAACATCTGGGAGAGAGTCCCCATCTTTCCACCAGGGCCAAGCTGTCACTGTGTGAGCTCCATTCCTGAAATTCATTTCCTTTACATTTTTTAAAGAAACGTAATGGAAAAAATAATGCAAGGAAGCCAGTCAATAAAATGCCCCTTCCCCTTCTGAAAGGCAATTAAGAAACTATTCCTCCTTGATCCCGTCACAGCTGATAAGGAAGCAATACATCAAGCTATGGGAGCTTTTCTTGAATGCTGTTGAAAGCCTTCACTTAACGGAGCTTACTCGTCAGGAAACATGACGGGGGAATTTTGGCAATGGCTGAATACCATACTGCAATACACACATATGCATTTTCCGCGGCCCTTACACTTTAACTGCACTTCCAAAGACACTGTGGAAGAGGGCTGTAAGTGTAGAAGTCTGCCAGGAGAGTTGGCACTTACTTTGAATATGGTTATCAGAATGGCTGGACGTAGAAACACGGTGTTCTCCAGCTGGCTGACTGAGTCATACCACACGATTAGTCCAATCCGGTGAAGGTACCTCAGGATGTCCTGTAGAAGTTCTCTGTCCAAGTGGATCAAGTGATCTTGGCAGGAAAGTTCTCTGTGTAAGTGACTGAGATCCATCATGCCTAAAAGATCAGAACAAGATCTGTTGATGGCAATTGCTTTAGATGCTCCTCAACGGTTGGACTCAGCATCCTTTCTAAGAATGCATTCTGTACTACATGGCATGACTTTCTTCTAAGTAAACATGTTTCAGATCAGACCACCTGTATGTGAGCCAAATCAGAAGATCAAAAATGGATGCAGGTGATAATGAGACTAATTGACAATCACATCCTAAACCAGGGTGGAAAACTAGCACCTTTCCAGAAGTTGGAGTCTAACTCCCATCAGCCCCAGCCAACATAGCCAATGGCCAGGAATAATGGAACTCATGGCCCAACAAAATCGGGGGAAAGGGGGCACAAATTTTCCCACCCCACCCCTGCCCTAAACGTGTTAGCTCCCTCCTTCGGCAGGCTACACACCCGCCTTGGTCTCTGGAATTCTATTATAGGTATAGGAATGTGAAACACAAGAAAATGCTTCCAATTTTACAAGCAGAAGGCCTGGGATAGCATTGAGCAACCTGTGGTCCTTCACACTGGTTGGCCTATAACTCCCTTCAACCCTAGACAACATAGCCAATGGTGAGGGATGATGGGAACTGTAGGCTGAACACCTAGAGGGCCAGAAGCTGTCCACGAAGGATACAGTGCTTTCACTGTACTCTTGTAGCACTTGAGGTTTTCTGTGTTTGGGGTTAGTAGGGGATAGTCCCCCAGTAGTCGGGCACCAAGTGTGAAAAATTTGAGACTATCCGTGAGTGGGAGAGAGAACTCACCCTTTTTTCCCCCTGTTGCATAAAATGATATTACAGCCATCCAAAATGGGGACAGCCTCTCCATAACAGAAACTATATGAAAAAGAATAATTTCCTCTGAATTTCTAATGCTTTGAGCGCAGCCCATGAACAATTTATTTACTATACATTGTAATTAGGCTAAATATCTTATAAGTGGATTTTAATTGATGCTCATCAAATTGGTATCTGCGCTCGGCTTGATATCCAAGCCCATCTCAAGGCCAAACCTACACTTAGTGCCACAGCAACCTCTAGAGCCCAAAAATGGGAGTCAAAGAGGCATGTCAATTCTCCCAAGCAAATTAGGAGTCATCATCCCCTGCCCTGCATGATTATGAGCAGGCTACACTTACTGCTTTTAGTGAGATGCACATATTCAGAAAGACTCTGCTCTGTTGCATGGCCAATTAAAGGGCTAAGATCTGAAAATGGAAGGAACAAGAAGGCTACTACAGGTCCATTGGTAACTTTTACTTGCCATGCTCTGCCACCTCTTCATTTTTTTGCACAATCTCAACAATTGCAGCTTCTACTTCTTTATAAATAGGGGGAAGCACTTGGATGACATTCGGGAATATTTCTTCATTCTTGACATGCTCCAGAATTGTGCCTTCAAGGCTCTTAATAGCCTGGTAGTCCATGCAATTGATTGGAACGAGGTCTAAAATCTGAAGCAGAAAATGCACATGAACAAAAAGAACAACTCTTGGAACAGTTGACAAGGAAACAAGAGATGCAGACAGTTGATGACTCTGCTGGGCAGCTGGCCTTTCCGGAGGCCACTTGGACAGGGGAGGGGGCAGGCCAAGGTTGCACAGGGCATGGAGAAAGTGGGGGGAGAGGGGGACAAGAGAGAGAGGAAAGTTTTTCTCCCTTTCTCATAGAACTTGGATTCCTCCCAGGAAAATGAATGGGAGGAGAGTCAAGGCAAAAAAAAAAAAAAAACTTTTTCACATGGTGGGCACATTCACTTATGGAACACACTGCAGTGATGATTGCTAGCTCAGACAGCTTTGACAGCAGTTTGATAAATTCATGGTGTATGGAGGAAGGATGAATCATCATTATTCATCATGACGGCTGCAGGCAACCTCCTGGTTTAGAGGAAGTACATCTCTGAAGACCAGCTGCTGGGGACAGTGCCTTTATTGCCCTCTTGATGGGCTTTCCAGAAGCATCTGACTGACCACTGTTGGAAGCAGGTGGATGCACCAGATAGGCATTTGGTCTGATTCCACTGGTTCCTCTTATTGTCCTGAGTTCCACATTCCACCCCACAAAATGACCGAGCACTGCAGCCAAAGATGGTGCTTATCCATGCCCCAGTTTTACCTACAAAGCTGGCAATCTGAAGGTGAGATGTCGCCACTCAGAGGGACAGATTTGGCTCAGGGGCTGATTGCTAATATAAGTGGTAAATTAGGTGTATTAGGTGTATATAGGTGCATTAGGTGAAATACATTCCAGTCCTGTTGAACAAATCTAATGAAGATGTTCTTTAGCTTTCTCCCCTTTCTGTAAGACAACAGTAAAACAACAACATACTTGAGAACAACTACGGCAGATACTAAATATGTGCCCACTCTCTAGAATAATCTAAAACACCAGACTTTCTGTACAGATTTACTTTCTGCTGTAGTTAATTTACTTAAGAGGACAGGTTTGTTTGACTTTTTTAAAAAAATACCATTTACCGTAAGTTAAATTTAATTTAATTTAATTTACTGGACCTCTAAGCAGCGCCATTTGGTCTCTAAACTGCAGGCTTGTTTAGTACTGCCTTGGACCTCTAAATATAACCCCACATTCCTCACCGTGAGGGTACAATTCTCCATTTCCTTCAGTCTATTCCACTGGTCCACAAAGAATTCAGATTCTTCATTATCCTCCAAGTTAGCAATGAGATGGGCTACATTGGTCTTTCTTTCCTCCAGCAAGGCCTGGATCTTGAACGTGATATCCTCTTTCTTTGCTTCAACCTCTTCTACAGCACAGGCATCTATGTGAGTCCCAACCGGAAGAACCACAGAGTTTGGCACTCGCATGAGGAGGTTGTTGATCCAAAATCCAACAAGTTCCTCGAAGGAGTCATTGTTCAATTGGTACCTACAAGAATAGACGCTCTAGATCAGGGTGAGGAACCTAATCAGCCTGCCCAGAGACCAAATCCAGCTCACTTTGGGGTTCCTCAGGAGGCCCTGGTCCCATGGCCTTTCCCTGGCCATGAATCATTTGGTGATTTCTTGGCTTTTAACGCAGCATTTTTGCCATTCGGTAAGGTCAAAATCCTTTTCCAAGGCTGAATTAGCAGCAGTAAGAGCGTTCAGACAAGACAGGCTGGTATTTTTGTCCTGATCCCTTTTGCCTTCAGTCACACTCAGCACTGGACTGCAGCTTGTGAGAACATGTCTAGACTTAAATTCAGTCCTTGGGCTGAAAGAGATTTTCCTCTCCTGTTTTTGATCACTTAGACTTAGAGCCTCAGGAACCTTCCCTGGCACTGTGAGGGTAGACAAACTAACCTAGATGAAAGTGACATACAGCTACTGAGACCTGATTTCCACATCTGCAGAGGGCCAGCTGAGGTGCCCTGCTAGCAAAACCAGGGCTGGCAACCAGCCTTCAGTATGCCCTCAGCAAAGTGTCGCCGACGGGCCTCCTGCACGCACAGCGCCTGGGCACTCCTGCCCTCCGCACAGCGCCAGCCAGCCGGTCCTCCCTGCATTCCTTGTTACCTTTACCTGGCAGTGACAGGGAAGAGGCCACAGCAGCAGAATGCAGGTGGCAGCTTCTCCTCCTCCTCACCTGGCTGGCCCTGCCAGCAAAGTGAAATGCTACAGCAGCCAGGTCGCTAGCCGAGCCTTCAGAGCGCCTGCCCCCTCTTTTAAAAATAATCTTTTGTGGTTCAGCTAGCAGCTATCTGGCCCCATCAAAAGCTGCCATGTGGGGGACCGCTAATGAGGTCACAGAAAAAGGAAAGGGGTCTTTCACCACTCCTGTGCCCTCATTGTCTGTACCCCCCAAAAGGCAGCATGTGATTGGTTCCTATCGCTGCTGCTTGCGGCCTAATCCAAAAGATCAGTTTCTAAATGGTGTGGTGAGCTGGTCTTCCTGTGGGGGAGATGGATGAGGGGATGGAGAGAGATGAAGGAGCCACTGGTGCTGCAGCGCTGGTAATAATTGGGCCCTAGCAGGACCAGAGTGACAGTGGGCAGGACCCTTTCCAGCCCCTGGATCATTGCCACTGCCCCCTGTGCCAGCCCCAAAGCTGGGCCCGTAGATATTCATGTATACATTTTTACTGCCAGAAGGGGGAGAGGTTCTTGTAGGAATGTCTTCCTTGTGCATGATCCACCTCCTTGTCTTTTGTGCTTCACCTCCGGCAGAGAAATATTTTGGGATGGTCCTGATAAAATGATGCTCCCAGCAAGAGTCATTGTAGTGGGATATCCAAAGGGAGAAAAGAACTCTAGTCTCACTTGGTATATAATGGCACTCTGCACATGCACAAATGCATATTTATAACTTGAAAAGTGGGCAATGAGGAATAGCCTGCCAGAAGACTATTCAGTGGGAGTTGGAGCAGAGTCCTGAAAGGCAGAGGAGCAAAGCCTCCGAAGCTCCTCCGAGGTAGCCTAATGAAGTTTCTCAGGCCAAGCGTGAGAATCAGCCTGTTTGGAAAGGGAGGAAGGGTTTCCAGAAGGGAGGGGGAGCAAGTGCGAGACCCAGTCCTTGGCCCCGTGGGGAGGCGTCAGGAGAAGCAAGCTGCTCAGCTGGAGGGGCTTTGCCATTCGTGCCATCTGGCCATCAAGCAGCAAGAGCCACCCTGAGTGTGCAGCCGGCCGCTTCACTGGAAAGGGAGGGATCAAGGAAGAGTTTCCACTTTGGATTCAGCTTTTTACATGAGCAGAGGCTTCTCTTTTCCGCTTTGGTAGAAGGCTACTTAGAACTCAAACAATTCTGTTATATAAAAGAACGGGACTGCAGGTGGCGCAGTGGTTTAAACTGCTGTGCTGCTGGGCTGGTTGATCAAAAGGTCGCCGGTTCAAATCTGCACAACGAGGTGAATTCCCGTTGCTCCGGTGAATTCCCGTTGTTCCATCCCAGCTCCTGCCAACCTTGCAGTTTGAAAACATGCAAATGCAAGTAGACGAAAAGGTACCACTTTGGTGGGCAGGTAACAGCGTTCTGTGCACTTCGGTGTTTAGTCACGCCGGCCACATGACCACAGAGACTGTCTGCGGACAAACGCTGGCTCCCTCAGCTAGGAAACGGAGATGAGCACTGCCCCCTAGAGTCAGGCATGACTGGACCTAACGTCAAGGGGAAACCTTTACCTTTAAATAAAAGAACTGCATTTTTAAAGGGTTGTCTTGAGTTTTGGAGCCAGAGGGAAGGGACCAGTTTGTGACAGAGCTGACTGGTGGCCAAGGGAAAGGGATCAGAGGCAAGATGAGGGGATCTGGCCATCTAAGGAACTCCCACGGACTGATTTGGACCTCTAGATGGGCTGGACTGTACCTCCTCCCCAAGCCCACAAGGTAAGCACAATACCACTTACTGCTGAAAATCAATGGCCAAGATGACCAATGCTTGCGGGGTGATGAACATGTGGTGGGTCATATAGTATTCCAACTGTCCAGCAAAGTCCCAAAAAAGGAAAGTGAAGCCTTGGATATGGCACTCACTGATTTCGATCCCAACGGTCCGCTCTTCTTTTGACATGTGAACAATCTGCCTTTGCTGCAAGCTTTTGCAAATGGTCGACTTCCCAGCCAAGGATGCCCCCAGGAACATGGTTTTGACTCGCTTATCCTCTTTACCTTGGCATTGCTGCAGCTGATTGAAATAGCTGATGATCTGCCTGATGCCACCAGCACAGACTTCATATGGAGGCTGCCTCAGTGGGTTCCCACTGACTTTGAACATTTTCAGAGGGAGTTTTTGGAATAGCATCATGGGAAGCTGCTGCAGTACATTATTCTGCACATAAAACTCCTGCAGGTTTGTAAGCTCCAAGACCACCAAAGGGATGGTTTGGAACAAATTGTTGGACAGGTTGAGGTACTGGAGAGTACTGCTGCAGGCTACCAGGTCCTTGGGAAGGTTGTCTAAGCGGTTGTTGTTGAGTCGTAGGTGTTTCAACTTTGGAAAACAGGAAAAGACTCCTTCTGGGATGACCCGGATTTGGTTCTGATTGAGATCCAGCCTCTCCAAATGGACCAAGTTCCTGATTTCCTCTGGGAAGTCTGCAATATTGTTTTTAGACAAAATCAGCTTTTTCAAATTGCAGAGATTAGAAATTCCATTGAGGTATTTCAGCTTGTTCCGGTCCAAATTCAAGCTCTCAATGTTGTTATTTAGCAAGACTTTGAGCGGAAGCACTCGGAGCCGAAGTCTGGAGAGCGTCACTTCCCGTGAGTAGCCATTGTGCCCTGGACCTGGTGAGCAGAAAGCACAAGCTGTTGTCATGCATTAAGGAAGAGGACTCTGCTTGAGCAGTGAGGGTAAAACCACCTTCTGTATAGTCACTCGCTCAGACAAATCACCATCATTTCCAAGCAAGCAGCTTGTCACACCTACAAGGGGGGACCCAAAAAACCAGGAATTATCTTCCCCTGCTTGGTAAGTGTTCTAGGAACCCACCTGCATCAGTGTACCCAACTGGGTTGTTGTGAGAGGCTGTGTTCGGCTTCAGTTAGGCTTCTTTTAAATATTTTTTAAAAATGTTGAGACTCTTTCGATGTGTTTGTCTATTTCGTGATGGCTGATTTACACAAACATCATGCAGAGATAAAATTTTCTTCAGCTGAGTGTTCAGCAATTTGTGACCAAAAACGGCATGACCCTTGAGTCCCACCTTCCTACTCAGCTGATCTCGCCCTGTGTGTCTTTTTTTGTTCCCCTGGATGAAAAAAAGTCCTCAAAGGGAAACATTTTGTTGATATGGAAACAAAAAATGGCAGAGGCACTAAAAGGCCTCAAAATCAATGAGTTCAAAACCTGTTTTGAGCAGTGGAAAAAAGTCTCAACAGGTGTATTGCATCAAAAGGAGAGTATTTGGAAGGTGACTGAAGTCTGAACATGTAAAAATAAATATTTGATTTTTTATAAATAAATTCCTGGGTTTTTTGGGTCCCCGCTCATATAGCTTTACATTTTTTAAACAATTCCACACCACTTGCACAAAAGTTACAGTCCCAAACCTTTCAGTGCAATTGTAAAGACACTTCTAGGGAGCAAGCCTTAATCTGTCAAACAGTGTTATAAGCCTCCGCTGTGATACAGGAACGGCCTTTCCTTTAGTCTTTGGTATAATTAAGCATGTTTCTTGGCCCAACACCCTGTCGAGGTGGGGCTGGAGAAACACAGTTGAGAGAATCTCTGCCGTTAAGGAGAGAGCTGGCCAAAAGCAGGCTGATGCCCCAACAAGGAAATGCTGTTCTGGGGTTGGGGTCTTTTTGGGAGGCGGGGTGTGTGTGTGTGTGTGTGTGTGTGTGTGTGTGTGTGTGTTAAACTGGTGTATGCTGTTAAATGTGCATTGCCATTTTCTAAATAACAGCCACTAGTAGTTTGTGGTCATACTAGGGCCCACTGTGTGTGTGTGTGTGTGTGTGTGTGTGTAATTTTTATACCACTCAATAGTTGAAGTTCTCTGGGCGGTTTACAACAAGACTACACAAGAAACTGTGTACTGTCTTCCCCATGTCATGGCTGTGATTACAATTCCAAATTTAGGGTGAGCTAGCTCCAAGACGGAAGTTTCCAGTAGTCCTAAAGAAGATTTCCTTCCAGGACTCTTACACTCTTCCCAGCTTTCTATGGACTCAATCCTTCTCCCTCTCCCTCTCCCTCCCCAAGCCAGACAACCGGCTGAAGTGGCTTGGTTCAGGCTAAAGGAATTGGGGGCAGAATGGTGTTGGCAAGGATTTTTACAGAGCTCACAACATTTGGGCTTCATTTTAAGTAACAAAATTGTCTTAGGCCATTGAAAAAAAGCACATCAAATGAATTTTTACAGAGATATGTAGTCTGGGCCCAAGTGCTTACCTGCTCTCCCATGCTCATCTTGCATATTTGACAGGTATCACAAACCTGCCTTTCCCACACTGATGTTCTGATCTACAATCCCCATCAGTGCCAACCAGCATAGCCAATGGTCAGGAACCATGGGAGCTGTAGTCAAAAGCAAGTGGGCACCAGGTTGTCTACCCTGCCCTTACTCAAATGCAAGCCAATCATAAGCTAAACACATCATGTAGAAGATGACTGCATTTTTATGCAACTTAAATAGCATAATTCAAAAGAATTCTACACACAGACAGGAACTGTATGCACAGCTGGGACTTTTTTTGGATTTTTAAAATTGTAACTGCTCCAGTAGCTGAAGGGGAAAGCCACTCTTCAGCTCAGAAAAAAGAGACATTATTTTAAACATCTTTGTAGCTTCTTTTCATTTTTAGGGTAGCTGCAGGGCCCCCTGGCTGTAACTTAAAGGCTTCCCTTAACTCCACACTATGGGTCCAATCCAAAATAGCAGCCCTGTCCCTACTCTACAGTAAACAGCAGGGTGTACATAGTTACTAGGCACATGTTTAAAATGTCTCTTTTGGCCCAGAGAAGCAACAGCAGTTTAGAGAAAGCTCCGCTCCTACACACAGCCCATGCCCATCTGTAGCACCGAATTGTGTCTTTGGCCTACAGCACAGTGTGACAATGCCAGGTGCAACACAGACAACCCTGGGCATGTTCCAGGGCCCACCAGCGCCCCCTCCCCTTATCCCCCTTTCAAGCAGCAGCAATCCACAGGAATCAAAGACTGGTACTCACTAGATTCATGCCCGGCCATGTTCTGTCCCTGGGTTCCCTCTTTAATGAGCGGCAGTTGTATCCTCCCGCTACACCCATCTGCTTTCATTTCCTCAATTCTTAGAGAAAAGCTTTTAACTCCATCTCCTCCTTCCCACAATGCCACAGCACCCGCCTCATACAACACCAGCTAAAAAATGCTGAATGCGCCACATCAAGTGAATTTGACATCTCCATGCAGCTGAAAATGGTCACAGCAAAGTGTGCAGATGAAGTTGGGGAGAAGCGATTCCTGCACATTTCTGGGTGTGCCACTCATCTTGTCTGCAAAGCTGCTTTTAAGCTATGGATCTCCACTTTCAAGGAATGTGATTTGCCATATATATAGGAGAGGATACACTCCATAGCCATTTGTGACCTTCAAGCGGTAAGGGATCACATTCATTTTCTGCTGCAGGCTCTCACTCTCCTAGACAAAAATTTCTGGCCTTGTTGCAGTGTACCTGAGAGGAAACTGAAGATTTGTTATTTTCTCATGGGAAGGATAAAACATTCACCTCCCAAGAAAGTCTTGTATGCATTGGTAGCACAAAACAAGTCAAAATAAAATTGCTGTACCAATTCTCTCAAATATTATGAAGATTGTCTTATCTAATAGTTTATAGGACAGTCCAAGATCTGATGATTTTATTACTTATTGTATTTTGTAAATGCCATAGCTGGATTTTTTGTTTTTGTTTTGAGATGAATTGACATTGTTAGCTGTACTACAAGCCAAAAATCTGTTGCCAAAGGTCAAAGGCAAATGAAAAAGACAGATACTGAACTTACTGATAATCTCAGCTTGGCCTTTGTTGGCAGCAGAGAATGACAACAGGGCTGTTAGCATCAGACCTTCCTCTCCACAGATAAGGCACAAAGACATGAGCTCATGTTTTGGTTACCTTCAATCCCATTTTAGATAAAATGTCAGTGTTAAAGGGAGAGTTGATGCTGTCTTTTCATGAGGCCTCAAGGCAAAGTAGAAGTAGTTATGTCTACATCAAACTTGTCTCCAAAAATGGATCATCTTAATTTCTTCAGCTTATGGCACCATCCTGTGCACTCTGCCATATGACCCATAGGCAGCTGCCCATAACTCTTTAAACTTAGAAGGATTATGGGCACCCCATGGAAAGCAGGAGCGGCTTTGGAGGAGCCCTCCCCAACACTTAAATGCCCAAGTTCAGCCATCTAAGGGCCAGGATTGCTCAGAGCCTGGTGAGCCCTGGGTCTCCCCTCCCCCAGACCCTCCACCCCACAGGCTGACTTGCTTGAAGCAGCCCATGGGATCACACATCTCATCCGTGAATTAACCTCTCTTTTCCTGCTCCATACATACAAATGCTATCACCAATCCAGATTGGAAGGATCTTGGGGATGTTTCCAAATGGACATGGAACACCAAGTTTGATCAGGAATGATCAAACTAAATGGATTTAGGAGTTTGCCCAGCTTCATTTTAACTCAGACTAATGACTGATGCAGGAAAAGCCAAACTCAGATGGAAAGGGGTAGGAATAAACATTCACGCAATCTTACAGTCTGTTCCAGATCCCGAGTCCTAGGAATTGTACTGTCAAAGTGTTTTCCAGGCTTCATAAAAAAGGATGAATATATTTATCTAGAATAATACGACAAGTGTAGAATCATACCAGAAGCGCCAATAGAACAAATACAAACTAATATTTAGTTCTTTGCATATAAGTTCTATTACATCTAGTACGCTTCTAGTCAGGTCTGCCACCCAACTCCCAACTATTAAACCACTTTGACTCATTTATATTTACCAATAAAATTATTTAATCTCTTTGCAAATATTGCTGTAAAATCTTTTGCGTCTTTTTGCCCCAGGATCTGTCAGATGTTTATTAAGTTTTGGAATTAAAACTACTGAGGGATATTTCCAGGATTATGGTATCTTTCTTCCTTCCAGTATATTATTCAAAAGATATTTTAGTTTTGGTAGTAGCAAATAAGTTATTTTATAAGTCATGGAGAATCAATATGACCCTCTTAAGAAATTTAAGAAGAGATATAAGTAAGGAAGAATGGGGGAAAGTATGGGATAAGAGAAGATTAAAAAGTATGTTGATTAGAATAAAAAATGTCTATAAATTAATAAGGAAATGGTATTTGACACCATTTATAATATAAAAATTATTCGGACAATAAGTATTTCAATATATGTTGGAGATGTGGTCAGAAAGTGGGTACTTTCCATATGTGGTGAGAATGTGAAAGTATTATGGAAGATTGGAAAGCAGTTTTCAAGGAAATTAGCAAAATATTAAATCAAGATATTGAAGCAGACTCTGGAATTGCATTATTATTTCATGAAAGGAAATGGAAATGTAATATTAAAGAATTAACAAATGTATTAACAGCAGTAAGATTAATAATAGCAAAGAATTGGAAGGAAAATCTTTATTTTTCAACTAAGTGAATAGAATAAGGAAATCTGTGACATACCTATTAATGACAAGTTAATGTGTAGTATTAAGTTGAAAAAGGGGTTGAGAAATAAGAACAATTTTAATGATATCTGGGGGTTGTTCACTGAATATTAATAAAAGGAAAAGGGGTTAAGTACTCATAATTCAATGCAATTTTGGATGGGGAAGAAATATTCCTGAGAGAAGGGAAGGATAGATGAAAAGAAGAAGACGGGTATCTATAGATGTGAATAGGTAATTATCATGTAGCTGAAGAGCCTGGTGTGGGGGTGCACTCTGTATTCATTATTAAATAAATTGTTTTGCTTTATATGATTCAATTTATTTGTACTTTAAGTTTTTTCCCTTTTTTAAATTCTTTGTTTTTATTGATGTACTATTGTATTGTATGGTATGGTATTAACTTAGTTTATAAACTATGTTAAAAGAACAAATACAGACAAGAAACAATTCAAAATAACTTTATAAATTGTCACATTTCTGCTTTGTACATACTTTGGGTACATTCCTCAGGTTGCAATGAAGGTTTGCAAACTTTGCTCTTTTCCTTCTCTTCGTAGTGAAAGGCAGTTTGTGGAATGCAAAACCCAACTCAAAACCCACCTTCGGCACATTATTCACAAAGAGGGGTTACATAGTTTGGTTCCCCTGTCACCAAACTCCAACAATCCCCAATGAAGTTCCTCATTGAGATATACTGACAAAATGTAAATAAATGCCATCTCTGAAATAGTATGTTCAGAAGAAGATTTACAAAGGTTAGCACGCATCTGCAACTCCTGTATGACAGAGCCAACGTTTCCCTCATAGAACAGGCTAAAAATACCACAGTTCAAGTATTAAACCAATTTCTGAGAAATCTCTAAAGAATCCGTATTTCTGATAAATAACACAATCGAAGCAGCACACATTGCTGTATACTGCATATAAAAGTGTCTGCTTGAAACTGTGAGGACAGATGCACAGACAAAAAAGTGATCAAAGTAAAACCATGACATCTGATAGGGTACCCCACACCCCTGGCACGACACACACTATTTCCTCTGTCCAGAGTTTCTCCACAAGTTACGCAGGATATGCTGACATTTGGCTCTCAAACTGCAGTCAGATCCATGAGGAGATTCTACTCTTATGTGAAAATGTGTCTCCCGGTGGAAAGGTCCTACTGCATTCTGCTTCTGAGGACGTGGGAGCAGCTGCAACATGCAACTGCACACCCCGGTCTCCCTCTTGAGGAAGGAAAGCACTCCTCATCTTGAAAAGCCTCTCCCTGTTTCACCCTGAGGGCTCGGCTCTTCTCAGTTCCCTGTTTCACGAGGCTCATCTTCCGCGTCCGTCTTCTTGTGTTTCCTCATATGTTTGTACTTCTCCACGTATGCCTTCACAAGATTGGCCACCTTCACTGGGTTGATCTCCCCACTTTTGCTATGACAGATCTATAAAGAGCAAAAGGAGAGCAAGTCAGGTGCAATCATCCCAGTTGGCATGAGTGATGGGTGAGGAACCCCATGAGTGATGGGCAAGTGGGGTTCTGCTCTGCCACACGTGCCTTGTCAGCTTTGCATACTTTGTGCAAAGAATTAGGAACTTCATGTACTTTGAACAAAGAAGCCATTGGTGTTCCCGAGTATTCACAAGCTGGCTCATGGCTCATGGCTCAGTTCTCCTCCTGGCCTGGGCCAAGAGTGAGAAAGAAGTTTGGTAAAAGCAGAGGAGATGGATTCTGGCCTGATCTTTGCACCCTAATTGGTGCAAATCTGCAAGTCAGATTTGCTCTGCATTTGTCGAGTTTAAATTCACTGTTCAAAAACTGCCTCGAGCAGCTAAAATCGAGGTCCCCGGACATGAAGTTATATATGGAGCCCTTTATAGCTGTCTGCCTGAGTTTAAAATAAGCTTTGCCCCTCCAAGTACCTTTTGCACTGCCTTCCGAAGAATATCCTTGTATTCTTCCTTGGTGATCTCCCTCTTCTGGTAAAAGGGCTTAATTGCAAGTTTCACTTCTTCCACAGCCCTCTCTTGCATGTGCAGTTTCTTCATATACTACAAGAATAACCACAAAGAACGTCTGCCCAGGGGCACGTCTAACAAAACATCAGAGCAGTGGCTCACTGTTGCCGCATCCCCCAGTGGCTGTATTCCACACAGTCCCCGGCACCTTAGAGCTGGTGAAATAATTTTCAGGTGTGATTACGGTCCAGGCTCCCAGGAACTGCAACAAAGAGCTGGGCCTTAGTCCTGACAGCAGCCAGCAGTTTTCAATTTAACTCAACTCTGAAACTCCAGAACGATCTCAGCACAAGCAGAGTACAGGGCTTAGGAAGCAAGGCCCAAAAGATGCAAATCAGGTGGCTAGTGATGTGGGAGAGTTTCACAAAGATGTACGAAAAGCAGACACATTAAACAGTAAATGGAATGGTGCAAGGTGCATATACGATCAAGGCTTCCCTTTTCAGCAGGTGCTGATGAGTAGGGACCCCATCTTCAATCCCTAGCTAAGCCACTGCCCTGTCTGTCAGGGCTATGTTCTACCAAAAACCAAATATTGATTGAGCTCAGGGGAATTATGTATGTTCCAAACACAGCACAGCTTTAGATGCTCTATTTAGATGTTCAGATTTGAAGGCAAGATAAAAACGGGACCCATGAATGTCAAATGGAACATTAGGTTGCTATCTTGGCATCAGAGATGCAACACCTTCCTTGGGCAGAAAAGCTAGAGAAACTGGCTTAGGAAGGTAACAGAGGAAAAATAGAATTCATATGCTAAAATTACCCATTCTAGATCATCTAGCTAAACAGAACATTGGGAGGTTCAAGACAAAAGTGGCACCTTTATTTTTCACCAGAAAATGAAGCAATGGGCAGTATTTAGTGGTGCTAAAAATGTGTAGGGGGCATTCTTCCATGAGGTTGATCATTCTGGACTGGGTGCTCTAATCCAGCAGGTCAATTCTTAGGTTTTACACATCATTAGACAAAGAGTAAGCTCATGAGAGAAACTAGCCATCTGCATTCACCCACCTCTTCATTTTTTGTTTTATCCACTGGAGATTTAGGTGCTTTGACTTTCTCCTCCAGATCTCCTGTGGAAGCAGCCTGAATGCTTGGCTCCGAAGCAGTAGCCAGATTGCCGGGCTCGGGCGTCAAGCTTTGCCCTGCCACACAGCTGAGCAGAGGAAGGCTCCCCTGCATGATGAACTGAACGGTGGGCTGACTAACAGGGGCATAGGGCGGCAGACTTGAGGGCAGCGGGGCTGTCGAAGGCAGGTTTTGGTTATAAACCTGGAAAGAAAAGGAACAGAGTTAGGAGCCACTCCTCGTGCCACAATACAGAGGACGAGGGCCTCAGGGATTCCCAGGACACTCTCCATTCCTGAGAAGTTCCCAAGATTTTCTAGAAATTTGAAAGGACTAAAGCTACTACACTCTCCACAACCTTACTTTTTGCAACTGATGGGCACTGGAGGAGAGTTACCTAATAAAGACATGCTTTAATATCATCTAGTTAATAACTGCTCTTAAAATGTCTTTATTTTGTAATGAAGCAGCTGAAAATTAGAAGTCACTAGTAGCAGATGATGATTTCCATTGTAAAGTGGTAGGTGGGGAAATACTGACATCAGGGAGGTGACTAAGGTGCATGGGCAGCATGAAATGCACTGCATGTGGGAGGAGCAAAGCATTCCACAATGGTATCAGGTGGGGCACAAGTTCACAGATGGGAGTGGAATGGCCTTCCATGATGCTCGACTTTGAAGGGGGAACCAACCTGAGAGGAATCTAGATCAGGAAACATGGGCTCAGGAATCATATAATTGGTTGGAGGAGGCTCAGTTAACTGCACCTGATTTAATGTTTGGGTCAAATCCTCTGCTTTCCAGACCCCTTCTTTCGTTCTCTGCTGCTTACAGAATGGCACCCCTGAAATTTCCCCAAGAGAAGAAAAGCATGTCAGCATAGCAATACCTCCAAGATAATACAGGCCAATCAAAGCACCCTAACTCCATCTAACCTTACAACTGCTAAGAAATGTTCTAAATGACTGGTAAACTATCTAATACAGCTTCTTTTGTCTGCAAGCATAAAATTATTCAAAGAGTTCAGAAATACCTAACAATGTGGCATTCTTAGCTTAAAGCTCCTTAAAACGGACCAGACATGTAGCATATTCAGTGTACTTTAGGATGAGAATGGGAGGAGTGGAATCCCCAAAAGCAGTCCCTTTGGGAAGTCTGAAGAACACACTGATGCTACATACTTTGCTGAAGAACAAGTAAAGCCTGGCCATTGCTTGGTATACAAGAGTAAGCCTCAGGTTTCCCCTTGCAGCAAAACAGTTTGCCATTTTATTTGAACCAGAAAAATGAGTTTGCATGTGCCCTCCAAACCAGAATGCTATACTGTGATCAAACCTTCATATTCAATTCTGGTGTGGAATCCAAACAAAAGTAATAGTTTGCCAGTTCAGACAGAACACAGCAAACTCATTTGCCTTATACAGGGCAGTGTAAGGGGCACAAAGCAAGGAGAGTCCCTCTGAGCCCAATAACACAGCAAATGGTGTTACATCTAAACCCAAACACTTCCATTTAGTGGGACCAAACTAACCTTGAACAAGGAAAGGCAAAAATATTCCTTCACATTGTAAGTAAAAAGAGATAGCTCCTACCCCAAAACTGCTGGGTTGAATCCAGACCTAGCCATGCTTGGTATCAATGGGGCTGAGGCTGGATTTCAACAGCTCTACTCTAAAGGTGACTAAGCTTTGCTTCACTTGGTTGCTTTAGGCTATTTTAAAGAATCTGCTTGCACTTACTTGGAGTTTCATCTGCAGTCAACATATTGCTTTCTTCAGCCTGAAGATTCCATGTGACCCTTTTCACAAGTGCTTTTGACTTCAACACAGGACCTTGAGTGACAGGCTCCAGGTCAAGTTTATTTACATCAGCAGCATTTTCATCTAACAGAGAATCTCCACCCTCTGCTGATATTTTGATTTCAGACAAAACTTGAGTGGGTGTTGCTTCACCATGACTCTGTACAATTTCCTCCCTTTCTGGGAGAGAATCTGATAAAAATGGGCACACATCATCATCTTTAATTTCAACTTCCTCCACTTTCACACTGCTCTGGCTAATTGAGTCACCAAACCCTGGTGAATCATAGCCCATTGTCAATTCATTTTCAATGGAAGACTCTGCACTGTCAAGTAAGACACCAGAACTTGTGCATGCTGGCTGGGAAGGAATTCTTTCATTTACAAGCTTCTCACAGACTAGTTCCTCTGCAATAACCTCTTCTAAGTCAACTTTCATTACGTCATTCTTTGAAGGACTCTCCTGTACAGGCATCGGGTCTGGCTGAATGTTCAAAGTTTCTTGTGCTGTATCTTCCAATGCTTGGGCCCAAGAGGGAGCATGTTCAAGAGAACTGTCCATGTTGTCCTCTGAAGATCTCTGGTCCTTCCCTTGAAGAGGCAGGGGTGACATCTCTTTTGGCTTCTGTTTTCTTTCTTTTGAGTGTGGCCTGAGCCATGGCCGTTTCTCCCTAGCTTTAGTTCCCTTTAACTCCCGGGATCTTGAGGCAGAGGGTGAACTTGATCTCCTTTTTCGTTTTTCCCGAGACCTAGACCTTGATCTTTTTCTCTCTCGTGACCTTGAGCTTCTCTCCTTCTCATATCTGTCACAGCTTCTCTCTCTTCTGTGTTTCTTTTTTTTAGTTCTCTCCGCACTATTTGATCGGGAACATTCTCGTCCCTTTGCTCTAGAGGCAGAGTGTTTTTTCTTTTTCCTGCTTTCATGTAATGCAGAAGAAGAGTTGGTGGGACTACCAGATCGTGATCTAGTTCTCTTACGTTCTTTTGGCCAAGAGCTTTTTGCTTTCTTGTCTTTAGTCTTATCCTTTGTTTTCCTTTTTTTTGATCGCTCATGACTACTGGAGCGATCACTCGATGACTGCCGGGACTTTGATTTAGTTCTGTGGCTTTTACTGTATTTTTCTTCAACTGAGCGGGATGTCGATCTGGAGCTTCTGTCCCTTGAAGATGTTCTTGATCTAGATCTTGAGCGGATGCTTTTGTATTCCTTAACTGGTGTCTTTTTTCTTTTTCTTTTCTTCTGACTCTGTGAACTGGAAGTTGATGGGGATCTTGAAAAGGATCGCTGTTCTGCCTGCTCATTTATAAGTATGTTCTGCCGATCACCTTCTCTGATGGGACTGTCCAACTCCATTTTCACTGCAGGTAGGTCATCTTCAAGAGCTATCCTTGGACTATCCTTATCAGCATTTAAGTGCTTGGCATCAGTAATGTCCTTGATGACAGATGATGTACAGGGCATGTTTAACTCTTCATCACCCTTTTCTTGCTCTGAGTCTGAGACTGGTTCCACAAGCCTTTCCTTTACCACCAGATCACCAAGTGACTCTGTGTTACTTGATGGCACATCAGACAATTCAGCCCCCGATCCAAATACATTTTCCAGCGTGTAAGGTGTAATGCGGCGCACTGTTTGGAACGTCTGAACTTTTGGACTTGCTATGGATATTGTTCTGGTGATATTAGTGAGGGGCAACCTTTCAGGACTGCTACTTGCTGAACTTGAATCTGAGCCTGTTGGATCAAAAGGATCGTAGATTTCACTTTTGATTGGTTTTGTTTTTTTCAGTGAAAAGAGGGGTGAAGGATTCTCTTTCTGTTCCACTTTACTGTCCACAGGTCGGAAAGTATTACAAAATCCAGGATTAGACAATCTGCTGGAATGCCCAACATTTCCAGGGATGTTGATTTTAAAGCCCTCAAAGGAAGAGCTTCCAACTTTCCCTCTTGCTGGAGGAAGCATGGAACTGCTGGAACTGCTATGAGGAATGGCATTTGCTGAGGGAGAACTTCCACTTGTATGTGCTTGCCGCTGAGTGGTATTTGGTTTGCTGCTTTCTATTTTACTACCTCTGACTGGCTGGTTTGCATTTCCTTTACCAGTCAACTGTGTAATACAGGAGCTGGGAATGTCACCACTTCTGTCGCTGGCAGACTGAGATCCAAGATGTCCACTATTGTTTTCTTTTTTAATCTTTGGTATCCTGGGGAGTTCAGAGATATCAAGCCTTTTAGAAGATTTTAGAGGCTGCCTAGCAAGAATTGGTTTTGAGATTGAATTGGGCTTGTTATATGGCAATTTAGAAGATCCAGAAAGAGGGACCACAGAAGACTTAGAACCCCCATTAAATCTGGATACTTCACCCAGTCTGGAAGCACATCTATTCATATTTGCTAGATTCTGAGTCTGAACAGACCTCGGAGTCATTGAGTATTCAAATCTGATGGGTGTTCTTCCAGATGTAGCTTGTGTTAAGCTTGCTGCCTTGTTTGCTATGTTGAGCGACAATGGGGATGAAGAGCGAGTATTTGAAGAGTCAGCACCAGAGCTACTAATTGTGGTTTCCAAGTGTGGTACCCCTGGCTGGGCAAGGTCCCCCAAGCCTTCCTCTACTCTTGAATTGCCATGCAGCAATGGGACTGAAAGATAACAGGAGAAAATAAAGCATTTCAATCATTGCTCATACAAATGCAAGCTAGAACAACCTTCCATCAATTTAGCATGAAGTTAACATGGGACAGAGACATACTGAGCAGTATCACTATACAAGCAAATTGCTATTGGGACTGTAACCCCAATCTTAGTCAGCAGTCCCCCAGTTAACAAGGCTCCTGATATGGATAAATCATCCTCCCAGGTGTATGTGCAAGATACACAAAATGCTTTCTTATTATCATTAATGAAAAGTTCTCAGGCTCCTAAGCTGATTCAAATCTTCCTGGATATACTCATATGAACACCTGCTTCCAAAGTATCATTTGGTCTTGTTTTATATTGAGGTTCATGGGAATACAGTCTAGAAAGTCCAACAACAGTGCAATAGTTCTATATGGTATCCTTCTGTAGAGGCTGTGCTCCAAAAATGAATGAAAATGAGTAATTCCAAACCAGCTATCAAACCAAGGTTTCAATACTGCAGTAGGGATCTGCAGCATGGGACCCAGAGGGACCTCCTGGAGTGTCCACCATGCTCCCCATACCGTGCCCCCTTCAAAAATGTGTTTTTAATAGTCAACTTGAGAATTGTTAGGTTACAAATTTCTCTTTTCTACTCTGAACCTGCTGATCAGTTCTTCCGGGAGAAGGAAAGATTTGCTTACTGCCCTATATTCTTCAGTTCACAAAGACCTTTTTATTTTGCTTTTTCTCTCTCCACTCCCAGCCTGTGGCCTGACTATTTTCCTCCACACAACCTCTTTTCTCACTGTTTCTTTCTCTTTCCTGTCCTTCTTTCTCTTCCTTCCTAGCCCTGCTGTTTCTCTCCCTAACACCCCTTTATACTGCCATTCCTTTACATTCCCAGTGTTTAACCTCTGTACTGTTTCTCCCCACTCCTAGCTCCACATTTTCCACTCGGTATTCTTCCCCTACTCCCAGCCCATAGGGTTGCTCTTTTTATCCCCCTTCTTAGCCCTCCTCCTCCAGATACACACAAAACACTTTCCTGAGTAGAGGCTCTGTGGACAAGAGGTGGTGGTAGGAGTGCCAGGAGGAATGGAGTTTCTCAGGCTGATACACAGAAAAGACTTCTTTCCTTTGAGGGCTGGGGCATTTTCCCTTTTTGGGAGGAGGGGAACAGAAAAAGGTGTGTGCATGTAGGATACACAGAAAAAGTCTGTATAGGTCTACTCAAAAGTAACTCCCATGGAATTCCACATAAGCATACATAGGATTTTAGCCTTCTTTTGTTCTGCTTCTGTGGGATTAAGTATGTGGGCTAGCTTTGGATTTCTGCCCCTTCCTCTGGGTAAATTATTTGTTCATTGATTAGCTAGGTCATTGCAGCAACCATCAGCCATATCCTCCATGAGAGCTATTCTGTAGTCATGTCTACAGCAGTTTCTCAAATTCCCACATGGACCCACAGATCCAAAAAGGTCCACCATTACAGGATGGAGTGGGATAAATCCAGTGTTCCACAAGCAGATTTCCATTCACAGAAAAGTAGCTTCTCTTCTCCTCCTCTCCTTGCACACCCCCAAATCTGCTCCAGATGATCCACCAAACTAGCACATATCTGGAGGTAATACAGGGACAGAATGAGGAGGAGGAAGGGAAATAAGATGCACCAAAAGTTTGTTCCACTGGTAGAAGGACACCACAAAGTAGCACCGTGAGGATACAACCAAGTAACTCCATATTTGTTTATCGAGATCTTGCAAGAATCCAGAGAATGAGTTCAAGGGCTTGACACAAAAAAAACCTACAGAATTTGGATCAGCCTAAGCAAGCATCACACTGACAATGAAGGGTTAGCAAAACTAAAATCCTTACCTGCTTTCTTTGCAGTTAATGATCCATCTCGATTTATGACAACATCAGAACCACTCATCATAAGAAAGCTCTGTCCAGTCAGAATGCTCCCCAACAGGTCAGGCACTGGGGCTGGCTCAGCTTCCTGCTCAGGGATCAAGGCAGGCACACTCCGCCTACGAATTACATAAGTGGTCCCATTTGCATATTGTACTATACTGCTTACATGAGAATGAACAAGGGACCTATTAGATCTGTTTAATAAGAGAGCTATCTATACAGGTCAAGACTGCAGTTGCATCTCTGTAAACAAGCACAGCTGCAGTGCTTGAATGCAGGCCATAAGGAGTGACTGACTGAAAACTTGGGGCTATTGGTGCCACTGCTTTCAGGAAAAGTGGTCCGTGCTGTATGTATGTATGCATGTATGTAATAACAACCAAACTACAGCTACGGTGGTACCAAAAGAAATGGTCCAGTGCAATTTCCTCTACAGAGGCTCTGAAAAGGGTGTGGGAAGGTTTAACCTGCTACCGGAGGCCAAGGCACATGGTACTACCCAGAGAAGTGTGAATTCCACAAGTCCAGGCAGGGGCAGAAATCTTATCTTCATCTGATTTCATATCTGTACTTCATTCTTCACTCCAGAAGAAAATCTAAAGTAGCTACTGTGCCAAAGCAGATACAATAGTATCAAAAATAAACCATTAAAAAATAAAACCACAGAAATGCAGGGAGACTTACTTAAATACAAAATTCATAAGCATCAATAAATATCTATAAAACAACTCCTTCAGTTAAAAAATGACCAACAATAAGTAGACCAGACCATCACAGGACCATGAAAGCAGGCATATGCCCATTTATATGGTAACTGCTGGGATAGAATACTGCTGAACAGAATACCAAAAGCCACCATATTTCCCTAAGAGGAACAGAGTTTGCCTTCCAGCTCAGCTTTCACTCAGAAAAGGTATAGATGAAATTGTTTGAGAATTATTTTATGATGTCTTGAAAGCCAAAGTAGTGGATCCACAATATTTCTAGTGGCTGAAATGATCAGATTTCAGTATGGTGGTACGTATGATTTGGGGAATTTAAACACTTTATTTCATTATAAATTTGAACAATCTATTGTGACCAGGAGATTCTGAGTGTTTCAACAAAGCAGTTTTGAAACACAAAAATGTTACATAATACGATTCCTGGACAATGCACCATTTGCAGAAATGCTTTGGCCTTCTGCCTAATATACTTGTCCATACCATTCCTATGTCTGAGAGAGAGTGGGTGGGGGGGAGGGAGAGAGAGATCAAACATGGAGCACAATCCAGTCTTTTTAAGTAATAATGATTTCATCAGGAGAATCGGGCTTAAACTGTTTTGGCTGCCACCTGCAAAAAGATAGCTGCAGTAACAATCTCCCTATCATAAATTAAGGCTTTATATTTTGTGATCCGGATATAGTCATCCTATCTTGACAGCCCTTTTGCTAAGTAAGCAGCCTGCTCAGAACCTCAGAGATAAGCTGCCTACCTTCCATGTTCTCCTGGTCCTAACATATTCTCTAGCATATTCTCCACCGCTTTGAAGCAGCAACCTTTTCAAAACTTGTGAGAATTGTTACTGCTTTTAACTTACACAAATGTATATAATACAAAGGATACCCTATCTCCCCCGCCACACAAAATAAAGAAAAATGAAGAGAAAGAGAGAAAAAAGCAACCCAGTAACCGCATTTACCTAACTGGAGAAGGAAAATACACCCTAGCAGATGTTCCCACCCTGCACATGCTGACTGCATGCCACTGAATTGCCATCATGACCTTTGCTGGGCTCAATTCATCATGTCATCTGAACTCAGGGAGGGAGTGGGTTACAAACCACCCTAGACCCTTGTGGAGTAATTTGTGAATCACCCTGAGTTCTGACAACACAACAAACCATACCTAGCAAAGCTAATTACAGCAGTTCCACTCTGTATGGTGGGAAAATAAGCTACAACGCTTATTTTCCTCTCCAATGGGGCAAACTTACCAACTATGTGGGAGAGCCAGTGTGGTGTAGTGGCTAAGAGCATGGGACTGGGACTCAGATGACCTGGGTTCTAGTCCCCGCTCAGCCATGGAGCCAGCTGGGTGACTTTGGGCCAGTCACAGACTCTCAGCCCAACCTACCTCACAGGGTTGTTGTGGGGATAAGATGGAGGAGGAGAATGATGTAAGCTGCCTTGAGCCCTTCGTAGGAAAAAGGCAGGATATAAATAAATAAATAAATAAATAAAATAAAGAGAAGGAGGGAGGGAGGGATAAGCCAATCAAGAGTTAATGCTGTAATCCTATATTTCTCGCTCCTATTCCATTTAAATAAGTGTTTGATTCCATTGTCACCTTAATGTTTGTTAGTTTTCTCTTTCTAGTTTTGTTCTGACGTTCCTTTTAGATTGGCAACTGTATTTTAATGATGGATTGTTGGTTTTTTATGTCATGTTTTTGTACTTAAGCCACTTTTAGCAATCCTTGTGAGGAGAAAAGCAAGGTATACACTTTTCTAGGAGTAAAATATGCCCACTTAACCAGGCACTGAACTCCCAAGTAGTCATACCTGGACTGCATGGACAGGTCAGTGCACAAACTTCAGTACTGTAGGAAATTGGTGAACTTCTGACAAATATAAATAGACCTTTCAATCATATCTCTCCTACTATTAAACCAACTTTCCTCAGATATCAGTCCCAAAAATTTCTTCAACTCTACTCACAAAAGAGTTGTAAGCACTGCGGTGATCAACCTCTTTACACCCAAGCAGTTGATTGAACTCAAAGAACCAGTGGTGTGCTGTGGTTAGAATGCTGGACTGGGACTTGGGGGATCTGGGTACTAGTCTCTGCTTGGTCATGAAGTTTGCTGGGTGACTTTGGGCCAGTCGCTGCCTCTCAACCTAGCCCACCTCACTGTTGTGAGGATAAAATGGAGATGAGGCAAGGATTATGCAAACTGCCTTGAGCTGCTTGCAAAAAAAAAAAAAAGATGGACAATAAATATAATAAACATAATTAGAAAGCAGCCTTAGAAACAGAAGAGAAATCTAAACAAACACTTGGAGAAGTTTTAGCAATGTGAAGCTCTACAAGTGGCAGAAGTCTTAGGCTCTGCCCTATAATTACTACTTTTGGGCAGACGCTGGAGAATCTTAACAATTCTAGGTGATCTGCATTCAATTATAGTTGCAAACAAATTAATAGGCTCCTCCACCGTGTGCCCAAAATCAATAGACACTGCACATATCCACCATACACAGCAACTCATGTCTCTAATACTTTCATCGAAGTGAAGGACACATTTAGGACATCAAGCAGAAAAAGATCCTCTTCACCTTTCTTTCTGCACCTCCTTTGCAGATGAACAAATAGGCTTCACCTGCTGGAGACTTAAGTAACTCTGCCTGCAACCCCAGACATGCAAGGACCGACAGTGCAACATAAACAGAACAACAACCTTATACTCACTCTAGGTTTTCATAGTAACTATTCTCCCAATTACCTTCAACTTTTCCTTTAAATCAGAGAAGGTAGAATATTGGAAGAAAGCTGGGATCAGACAGCTAAGGAACCATAGACTATAATACAGTGCTGCTTTATCAGGTGAAACCTACATACTCTGGAGACCTTCTATCTGCTGAGTGGGTATACCTCAGTATACCACTTCTTTGGACTATAGCTTGCAGGATTCCTGAGCAGTGTCAATTGGGCTCACAGGAGCTAAAATCCACAATAGCTGCAGGGGAAGGCAGATGTAACTTTTTTTCAGACAGCTACTTTTGATGAGAGTTTGGAAACCTGAATGCAATGGCCAGACAGTTGTTTGGAGTAGGCAGATTACAGCATGTAAGTCCCATCTAATATTACCTACATCAGTCACCAAGTGCCAGCTTGGTCGCACAACTTGGTGATTTTGTGTGCACACATACATATTTGTGTGTGTGTACACAAAATCTCAGTTTCTAACCCAAGTTCAATTAAGCCTTTTAAAAGTATCGAACTATTTCCCATTCTAGGGGCATTCCCATCCCAATATGGCATTGTTTTTAGGTGCCATTAGTAGGTTTTGCCTTACCTGTAATAACTCACCTGCAATTTGCCTTCTTTGGAGGTTAGCATTTGGCTGCATTCCTGCTCTTTGGTAGACTCTCCCCTAATTCTCAAGGAGCTTTGGCCCTCTTTGGCTGTAGAGGGAACATCTCAGTGTATTCAGCTTACACTTTGGCTCCTAATAAAAAGGAAGCAGAAAGCTCCCTAAAACTTAAAGCATTTTATTTTATTTCATAAACATGGACCCATATGAGAGAAGCTTTATTTCTGGTCAAATCTTTGGGAGAAGAGCAGGAATCCAGTCAAATGACCCTGTTCAAACCCTAGGCAAGGAAACTGCATTTGCTCTAAAACAAACCAACTATCCAAAGCCCCGGGCCAATCACTACCTCTCGACTTAACCTTTTTAGCTCACAGGGTTGTTGAGAGAATAAAATGAAGGGAGAGTGTTGTACAATAAAATGGTCAGGGGAAAAAAGAAGCTGTGAGCAGGATATAAATTTAACAAGCAAAAACACATACCCCAACTCAACAGGTGTAAACAAGATTGATTTATGGGACTCATAGAGTTTGTAAAACAACTGTCTTTACTGGAAAACTGAGAGGAAAATATTAAATGCATGACAGTTATTCCTGAAATATGGCTCCCAAGCAAGCTTCTTGACATGGGAAACAAACCAGCCCTCACATGTTGCTTTTAAAAATAAACAGATACATGATGAGCAAATATAGCTACTCCCCATCATGTTTAGCTTATCTCGGGCCTGCATGAATACCAGGGCTATCTAAGATTTTGGCAGATTCTCCTGTGGTACATGTCTATGTTTTCAGGTGAGAACTGGCAGGCATTGAAAGAAGACAAAGGAATGGTTTCGAGCCAGGCATTTTGGCACTGCTGAGTGGCCTCTGAGCTTATCCTCTATCTTTTCAGCTAGAATTGAACACCTTGGGTGGGAGGATGAAAATTTAGATTTGATTTGTTTCCTCATAGCAGTCTGAGCCATTGTGCTTCAGGAGCAGAATGAGGCCTCAAGTTGCTGTGATACCACATTTTATTTCTTCCCAGTCCCTCTCCAAACCCCACCTTTTCTGCAAAGCCTTTGGCACAACCACAAAGTGTAACTAACTCTAAGCTGCTTGCCTCAGCAGTCAAGTTATTAATTTCAGTACCAACAAATCAAGCATACCAATTTCCCCATTTAGGCCTACTTCCAACATCTCCTCTGTGTGATTTATTAGCCCATAAAATAGTAAGCCCTTGGGGACCCGGCCTTTCCATTCTTTATAAAGTGCTAGTTACATGGCTGGCACTAGTATAAAATTTATTCATATTGTTTAAAATGGGAAAGAACCAGCTTTCTAGTTGAAGAGATGGGCTGTACAACCTCGCCCCAAACTCAAGGGAACCTATATCACAAACAAATTCCTTTGACCTTTGATGCCATATTTGTTTGTCTTGCTGCTCCAGGGTCTCCTCCCCTTCCTCTTACCCAGACAGGCAATCTTCCCTGCTCAACACTATTCACCAGTCTTCCTTGGACACTCCACCCTCCAGTCCAACTGCAACAGAACCCTGTAGCTTTAACGTTCCATCTCCATCTCCTTTCCATTTAAAACCCTAACCCTTAAAGAAATACTGCCTCAAACCTTCCCTCAAGTTATACCTGACCAAGGTCTAATTCAACCCAATACTGGGGCATGTTTTAAAAATATAACAGAAAGTGTTCTCCAAAATATAAATCCAGACAGGGTTCTACAAACTCACGAGTGTAGACAATTGTACAACTAGCAAGCCAAGGACTTTTATGAGTACGCATACATGTGTACACAACCCTGGTGTGCTAAGGGTTCATATAAATACATTGCTGCAAGGGTGGAATACTGAATAGCTTTTTGTTTTTTTAAGGACAGGTTCAACATCCTTTTCAAATCAAGCCTGAATAAACTGATACAAAAGTACAAGGAATAAGCATGCAGTGAAGTATTCTTCACATGGGATGAACAGGGAGCCATTCCCTTTTGTTTCCCACCATGAGTAAAACAAAAGCAGTTGCCTTGGTCACCTTGGGGGATAATCTATGCCAAGACCCAAATGGAGAAAGTGTCCCTGTTGGGCCTGCTGGACCTTTCAATATCATCAACCATGTTGTCCTGCTAGAGCATCTATCTGAGATGGGACCGGGAGGTACTGCTGTAAAGCAGCTCCAGTCCTCCTTTGATAATGATCTCAGAAGGCAGTCCTGAGAGAGTCCTGCTCAACACCATGGCCACTGGCCTGTGGTGGTGCTCAGGGCTCCTTCTTCCCTGCTATTTAACATATGCTACTGAATGTTTGAAATGTTACTGGCTCCAAATCTCTGTCCTTCTCTGAATACCTGTGTGTTTTCACTCCTTGCATTCTCACTTTCTGCAATTAAGTCCACACACACACACACCACTCTCAAAAAGCAATTCTTCATAAAAGAGGACTCCAAACGGAGGGGAGGGCTATGTTTTGGGTACCTTCTAAGGACTGATGAACCTCCAAGGCACAGGAGAAGGAGCTCAGGAAATTCAAACAACCACACTGCTGCTCCCACCGTCATCTTCCCTCTCCTTCCTATTTAGCCTATGCACAAAACCACTGGGAGAAACTGTCTGGGCCTTTCAAGTTTGGCACCATCAGTATGCTGATGACATCCAACACCATCTTTCCTTTCCATTTAAAATGAAGGAAACTGTTCTGGTTTTAATGTGGTGCCTGGTAGCAGGAAGGGACTGAATGAGGGCCACCAAACTGAAGTGCAATCCAAGCAAGCAAGAGGTGCTCCTGATCTCAAAAGCAGATCAGGTAAAAGGGGTTCAACCAGTGCTGAATGGGGATACACTTGCAGTTGTAAGGCCCAGGACCCTGACTCCCTAACCCTAAGCCCTGGTGGCCAGATAATTAGAACAAACTTGGCAATGCTAGAAAGGCCCTGCTTAGCTAGAGAAGAGGCAGACAGCCACACCTGAGGTGATGGGGAACAAACAGCCTGTGGCTCTCCACTCTTGCAGTGAAGAGCACTGTTGCTATGCAAGGAGACATTAGAAGAGACCACACATTCAAGGAAAAATTTGCTAGAAGGTTTCCGACTTCTCCAGTTGCTGCTTTATACAGCAACCTGGTTGGCCTTACCCAGGAATCCCCACAGCGACAGGCCTAGCAACAGGGCGATGAGATCTAAGTGCTGATTGAGAAAGACTTCTTCTTTTGGTGCTCACGGGCGAGGCTGAGTTTACAACAGGAAGCTCTTCGTTACTAGAGAAAGAAGTGTGGAAGACTGCTGTCAACCTCCAACTTACCAGTGTGCTATTTATTAATTGCAGCTGAAATATCTGAATGGAGAAAACTAAATCCAGCCTTTCAATTTTTCATAGTTTGAGGAAGTTGTAAACCACCCAGAGAGATGTGGCAATTGGGTGGCAAAGAAAATGAATAAATAAATTGGGAAAACTGTACATAAGAAAATCTGTGCAGCAGCTACATCTAAAGACAGGCTTTAGCTTGAATAAATGGCACAAACTAAGTTCAATATGAGTCCCATTATTTTTCTTTCACAATGAGAAAAAGAACTTCAGATATACACAAAGATGTAACCAGAGTCGAATCAGCAATGGGTACTCAAAAAGACAATTCAAGCAAACAATCTTTTGAAGACACATCAAAATTGCTCTCTTAAATCTGCAGTTCAGTTTTTCTAGTTCTGAGCAAAATCCAAAGAAATTATGCTGCTTGACTTGTTGATATGAATAAATCTTAAACAGCTTGGGGGCACGCACAAATGCTTAAGTATAACATCAAAAAACAAAGCACAACCAAAGAGAACCACACTCAGATTTTAATGCTAAGAGCTGGAAAATGCTCGCTGTTCTTTAAGGCAAGATTCTGACACCTGAAATATTAGGGACTCAGCGCGAGTAGCATTAAACAATGTAAACAAAATACTAAGAGCATATCCGGGTATGAGATGAATGGAAATGCCCACAAAGTACTAAATTCTAAGTGACTGACACCTTCTCCATATATTTGCAGAGTGTACACTTTTTTCTTCTGTCTGCCATGTTTTTACCTGTTATATGGGTCCAGCTCAAAAGGATCTCCAAAGACAGAGAGGGAGGCTGCTCCAATATCTGCTCTCATAAGGCCAAGTGAGGGTTCAACAGACTTGTACACAGAAGGGATTGAAGTGCCATGTACTGGCTTGCCAAGGCGAAGGGTTTTTGCAATTCGGGAACGAGCGGTCACCTCAAATTTCACCTAGGCAGAAGAGCACGTTAACTAGAGGAAACAAGCAGGATTTTCACTGACCCTTCCACAGATGCAAAATGAAGTGTTATATAGAACTATGCAACTGAACACTCCATCCCCCAATACAGGTCAGGGCAGAAAGTACTGCATTACAGGCAAGGTATTAGATATATAAACCTTTGCATGAAGGAAAGTAAACTGGGAGCATACTTTTGTTTTTTTCCCTTTCTTCCGCTTTGCTCGATGTTTGCGCCTCTTAATCCGAGTTCCAGTACTCTTTTTTCCAGCAGATGATTTTGTATGGAATTTTCTACTTGCTCCTTTCTTTCTCCTCCCTAAATTAGGCAAAATACAAAAGATGTTGAGATTCAGAAATCAACAAACATAGATCTGCCATCTGAGTGGGATGGTGTAACTTGGTGTCCTGCAACAGCATGGGGTTGGACTCAATGGCCTTCATGGCCCCTTCCAACTCTACTATTCTATGACCTGTACCCTCATCTTAATTTGAAAACTAAATACAGAACATTTACAAAAGGAAAACATCAGATGTGTCCCATCTAAATTTGAGATGCATGCCCTTCAGCAAAGAATAAAAGGGAATTACACTAAAGTGACTCTATTTTTTATGGAACTCTGTAGGTTGAAAATTTTGAGGGGATTCAGTCTTTCAAACAATGTACATCAGAGGTACGAAAACTTTGGTGTTCCAGATGTGGGCCCACAGCTTCCATCAGTTTGATACACATCAAAAGGGCCAATGGTCAGAGATTATAAGAGTTGTGGTCCAGCAATACTTGGAGGGACAGAGTTTCCCACTGGTATTGTAAAGCCATCACAGAGCAGTTCCTTTCTCGAATACTTCTGCCTGTCTTGATTACCACTGCTTTAAACATTCTATTAATGCTGTGGATGAGTATGTCTTTTGAAAGTTGCTTTAAGTTAGCCCTTTTAAAATGGAAGCTGTTTAACTGCTTTGTGGGATCCAGAGTGGAGCAAAATAGTGGGGCAAAAAGTTGTATAACGGTTAAAATAAAATGTAGTAATTGTCAGCGTTGTGATTAGGTTTTATTGGGCAACCTGGGGTCAGTCATACACAGACCAATGGGTTGTGATGCACAAGTGGGAATGAGCATGCCCACTTCTGCTTTTACTGCACAACTCACGATGGTCTGTTTTGCAAGTTCTGGAGCGTGATGTCTGAACCTGATGGGGGCTGAACAACCCATCAGCCTGAGTTCAGGCATCTTGCTCACCAACCTATGAAGGAGTCAGCAGAGAGCCAGTGTTCTGCCGTGGTAAGAGTGCTGGAGTGGGGCGATCTGGGTTCTAGTCCCTGCTGACATATAAAAATCACTGGATGACTTTGGGCTAGTAATGGTCTCTCAGCCTAAGCTCCCTCACAGTTCTGTTGTTATGAGGATAACATAGAGAAGAGGAGAAACCTGTAAGCTGCCTTGGGTTGCTTGCAAGAAAGAAGAAAAACAGGTATATTGGGAACAGTAGTAGAAGCAATGGCAGCAGTAGTAATAGTGGGTTGGGGGTTAAAAGTGGAAGAGGTGGGCATGTTTACAACCTATCCTTTTTTAAGCCAGTGAGTTGCCGTTATGTGTGAACAGATTCCTAATCTCTCTCAGTCACTGTAAGAATAGACGGAATGGAGAGAAGAACTATGTAAGCCTCCCTAGAAATATAACAAACAATAACTACCATAACTCTGGAAAATTACCTCCTTTCCGCTTCTTCTTGGTTGTGCCTCGAGGAGCCAGCGGTCTCTGGTATACTGCTGTGCTCAGTCCTGCTGCAACTGCCTCAATGGTTTCGTCAAGGAGTGAAGACATGAGGTACCTTGGTACATGCTAAAATCAAGACCGCCAGTCACAATTTTGGCTTAGACTACCAAATTAGTGGCATGAGTTGCACTAAAGCCAGAAGTAAAGAAGTACCCCGCCATCTTTCCCCCGCAGATCAGGCCACCAACATTTTTCTTCCTCACTAAAGATGAGCTTATCAGTCACTCAAAAGCCTTTCATCCACCATCCAGGAAGCTACCTCCTCTTCCCAAAGTATCAAGTTTAAAGGTAAAGGTTTCCCCTTGATGTTAAGTCCAGTCATGCCTGACTCTAGGGGGCGGTGCTCATCTGTTTCCTAGCCGAGGGAGCCAGCGTTTGTCTGCAGACAGTCTCCATGGTCATGTGGCTGGCATGACTAAACACCGACGTGCACACTACGCTGTTACCTACCCACCAAAGTGGTACCTTTTTTATCTACTTGCATTTGCATGCTTTCGAACTGCAAGGTTGGCAGGAGCTGGGATGGAGCAATGGGAACTCACCCCGTTGTGCAGATTCAAACTGGCGACCTTTTGATCAACCAGCTGCGCCACCTGCATCCCTAGTATCAAGTTTAGGAGGTTCCAAATAAATGGTGAACCAGATCAGTGTTTCCCTCACCCCATCAGAAAACACAAGCGAATGGAAGTTCCTCTCTAAGTAGCCTATTTATGTAGCATATGAAAACAGTATCTATATAGATATCTGCTCCCTGGCCCTCTGCATTTATTCATGGTACAAGATACACATAAAACAGCAGGCAACCTTTCCCATCTTCAGAGTTTATGAGAAGAATAGCACCTGGTATAACTTTCTACATAGGAAGAAGCCAAAGCTGGCAAAATGAAAGCCTTGTTGGTCAAAGACTCTCTTAACATGGTGAACTTGAGTACATAATGAATTAGGACGTGAGAACTTTTATGTAGCATTGCAGATACATTGCTGTTCGTAGCAGTTAAGCATAAAAATTGCAAAGGGTTGCAAAGGGGAGAGGCATGTCCTCACGTTCCCAGCGACTGTTGTTCCCCAGCAAGAGTTCAGCCACCACCCACCAGATTGTGTCCACTGGGTGTCCTGGGAGTTTGGGAATGTATAGCTGACTCCAGCAAAACAGGTGCATGTCTGCAATGCTACAGAGCATAAAACAGCTCCGTTCTGCACACTCACAGTGTGCTGGATGGGGGGGGGGGGCAGGTTACAGTATTATACAGAAATGTATTACGTTATTGCTGTTGTTGTTATTTCATTTCTATACTAATTCCCCAAGGATTCTCATAAAATCCATCCAGTGTTAAAATCATGTACGTATATCTACATTAAACTATAGCAGGGGCAGGCAACATGATGCCCATAGGTACCAATGTGCCCTAGAACCTTTCACGGCATCTGCCAAGATGCTCCACACTATGTATTTTGTTTGTTTTAAAAACTTAACATATTCTTACTGGCAGCTGGAATAGCTGTGAATCACTTTTGGTGTTATTTAGCCTGTTGGGGCGCAGATCCTACCTCTGCCTGATACTCAGGCTTTTGAGCAACTTACTTGTGCTTTGCCATGCCTCCCAAGGAAGCTATTTTGTGCTGATGCCCGAGAAAGTTTCTTAAATCGCCAGAAGTGCCACCAGACCAAGAACACTGCCTACAGCTGAGAAGCAGAGCTCTTCATGGACGTTCTCCACAGAAATGAGCACTGAGCATCAGCAGAGCAGTGCTCTTGTACAGCTCTTTCAGCTCACCAGGATATGCTTGTGAGTTCTTCCCAATGGATTAGGCCCCCAGTTGGTTGTTGTTGTTTTTTTCTGGTTATGCACCACAATGTTTGCAGTTATATAACTTATTCTTTTCATGTGGGCAAACAGCTGAATTGTTCGTACTTAAAGGATTTGACCACTCACTGGACAACCTCTTGATATTTGTTTCATCTCCTCCAAAATGTATATACTACCTGAATTCGCTGAGCAGTTGTTATCCGATTTCTGTTCACCGTTGCACGCACACGCTCGCTCTGACGGGTCCGGGCTATGGCTCGCGTTCGGACACCAGAACGCAGCCGGCTGGTAGTAGGGATGATGTCGGCCATGAGGGAAGCGACCTCCTCTTCGCTCACACGATCTGTTTCTTAAAACAATCTATGTATCAGTTGTCACTTGCGCTTCAGGCAGCAGCTGCACAACTCTCTAGCAACCTAAATCCAGGTATTCTACAAAGCCTCTAGAAGAACACTGGCAAGTGTTCTTTTAAAAATGCTTCTTAAATCCTTTTGGATTACGGTTCCCTACTATAAGCTCAACTTTTCCTTTTCCATGGCAACAGCTTGATCCAAAAACCAGCTTAGACAAGAAAGGTAAAATGGACTTGCCACTTGTGGCCCAACATAGATTATCCCAGTTTGAACTGGTTTGTGTAATGAGCAGCAGTGGCACAGACATGATCCAAACTAGTATTGCAAACAATTCAGTTTTGGTACTTAATCTTTATCGTTGCAATTAAGTTATTTTACTCATATGGAAAAGCCTTTGTCTCAATAAAAATAGGGTTTAAAAAGCACATACTTTATATAAAGTGTTGAAGAGTCCTGTTCTTTGAAGAACAATTTACTGCAATCCAGGTTTACCCTACAAAATACATTATCAAGAGAATACTTGCCAGCATCAGCTGCTGCAACATTTGGGGTGCATGGTGGACAGAACCATTCATCAACGGGTACCTCACTCAATGGTGGATTCAGGCACTCCATGTGGTACCTCAAATAAAGGAATACACAGTGTATTCTTACAAATAATGAAGGTGGATGAAAAGGCCATTCTCCTTGCTTAATATGCAAAGCCATACTTCACTATGGAGGCTGGCATGCTTGTAAAATGACAGTCTTAATTGGCAAAAAGAAGAGCCATGTATTGATAGAATTAGCAGATACTCCAACAGCTCTGGCACAAATCCCAGTTATACATTTGCTTCCAGTACTAAGGCAGGCAGGTTTTAAAAAGGCAAATAAATTTAGTAAGAAAAATAAAATTTCCAATAAAAATGATTAAGTAACATTAGCTTAAAAAGCAGCATAGCCATCGGACATGTAAATAAGGTGGCAGGGGGACAGGGAGATAAATAAACTCCAAATATTAGAAGCAAAAGGTAACCATGTATAGAGTTAGCCAAAGACAAACTTACAAATGTCAAATCACTGTTACACCTTTATGAGGGGAACTCAAAGGTCACAAAATACTGTGCAAGTTTTCAAGTTCTCTAGAACGCTTCATTGGGCAAGATGGCAAATTAGATTCTATCAAGCACAGAGATAGTTTCAGGTGCAGCCTCCATGGCTGGTCTGAACATATATCTCCTCCTCACACTCTGTTTTCCCTAAGTGCCCCTTCTTACTCTGTTGCTTTCCTAGTATGGAGAGCTGATAAAAATGTCTAATTCTGCTCAGAGACACCATCACCAAATTGCTAACGAAGCTTTGGAAGTGTTCAGATTTGGTTGTTTCTGAATGATTTGCTTCAGATTTGGTCTGCCCTTCAATTTGAACACTTTGCTCATTAATTTGGTTTGGGATCTGGCCAAATCCAAAGTACACCCCTGCAGTCATGCCATCCATTTTGCCAAGCAAAAAACAGTTCTTCCAGATGAGATGATCTAATTCTCAAGTAGGGCCCTATTTTGAAGATCAAAAAGGTGTTTCAGGAATCAGTCAAAGCATTTGGCAAATGAAGCCATCGTGGAGAATTTTTAAAGGCAAGCTCTCCTTACCCCGCATCACAGCCGTCACACAGTAACAGGCGATCTTCTCTGTCACTTCGGCCACAGACTTCACAAAAGGTTGGATCATCCTCCAGTTCATCGTCCTGAGATTTTGTATTTTCAACTGGAATCTGAACAAAGTTGCAAACCTTAGGGAGTTTTGTACTTTTATATTAAAAGCAACAGAAGCACAACCACTGTAGCAACCACCTATTTAAGCCAATTCTGGGCAAGTCTGAGTTTTGCATTTCGCATTCCTTCACAGGAGATACAAGATTGAAAGAGACAGATGTCATCACTGCAGAGCAGTTCTGTGCCCCTTCATCTGTGGCACATTTCATTCAGTAGTTTCCCAGACTGAGCATAACATGGAGGATATCATATAAAATGAGAAAAACGTATGCCAAGGCATTTCTAGTTTTGATATTGTAGCATACCATGCCTGCTTTGCACATTCTCTATGACAGCACCCTTTTCTACTTAGTGACACAGAAATGAACTAAGTGAACTGAAAAAGAAATGGCAAGATTAGAAATAGATGAAACAAGCAGAATTTAAGTCATAGGATCATATTTTCATTCTCTGGATTAGGCCAGCTGCTCTTAGATTCAATTAATATTTAGTACAATGCAAATCCTATTGTTTTTTTTGGAAATTAATCCCAAGAGTATATAGGACTGAAATCTCAAGTGATCACTATGACAGCACTAGAACTGCCAGCCCACTTCAATGAACAGATATGCATGTAACAATTAATTCGTTAAGTCTTTAGAAATAGGTTGTAAATGCAAGTGCAAATCTGCTTCACTGTTGCCTTTTGTGCAACGCGAGACAACACTCCTATCAGCTATGCAGCCTACACATGATTAAAAATGCTTTATTAGTATTTATACTGCAGGAAAAGCCACAATGGTCTAAGGTACTATACAGGTGGGACCAATTATCTCACAAAAGGCAACCGTGAGGGAACAGCACATGCAATGTGCTGACATGATCACTGCACTGGGTACAAAAAAAATCTCTCGCAGGCACACATAAAAGCAGACTGCCTAGATTACAGCCACAGCCTACCAAAAATAAAACTTTACTTCACAAAATGAGGTAGTTAGAAAAATTATGCATTCCAGAAACTCATCCATTCATACACATGGGAACTTCCTATCAACAGTAGCATTGAACAAATCTTTCAAAATAAGAGGAATGCTACAAATTATGAGCTAAGGTTACAAAGGAAAAAGAAGGGATAACAAGTTTCACCTAAGTTGTATGAAAAACAGAGTCTGATATTTGCTATTTTTAGCTCAATTGTAAACCTACTTTCTTCAAGATTTCTCCACCGAAGCGTGCTCGAACACAGATAGATTTAAAAAGTATTCGATCCACTGGACAAGAGTTGGCATTCTGCAAAAATGGAAATGAGAAAGTATTATCATTTTAAAAGTTACAACAACTTCTTCTCATCATCATCATCATCTCTACATTTCTATACTGCCTGTCTGCAGCAGAAGCTCTTTGGATGGTTTATGACAATAATCATAAAACTATGCACTCAAGTTATCCATCCAAATTCTAACCAGGCCTGATCCTGCTTAGCTTCCAAGATTAGGCAGGATCAGGCACTTCAGGTTATGCAGCAGCTCTTTAAACTGGCCTCAAATAGTTTAGGATAGTCACTACAGTGTGTCATAGTCTAGCTGAACACTGTATATTTACCTTAATAACTTGATCCTGTATAATGAATTTCACTAAAATGGCTAAGAATGTTGTGCAATCCCATTGCTAACTGGCATTGTAGTAACTTTAGAAGCACTGGATGTCAAAATTTGCTTCACTGCTTCAACATTGGGCTTCCCAGTTCTTTTATCCAAACACAGGCTACAAAACTCCCACAGTGGCAACTTGAGCATGAAGCAAGAAATTATTATAAGAACTAGGAAACAGGAAATCCTTGACTTCCCTTCTGCCACAAGACTCCTGCTAGGAGGTCTAGAGGATATAAGATGAATCTGCTTTCTTCTACCTAAGAACCACAAGGGAAGCTAGCAGAGAGACACATAGGCTGGGCCACCAAGACAAGGCTAAAATACTGAATTGGAGGATGCTCATAAAATAACATTTTTAATGAAAGAAAAGAGTCCTTACTTTAGACCACTCGACTATACAATCCAAACAGAAGTAATGTACACAGTTTTCAGGTGTTCCAACTGCCTGATCCCTGAATGTGTTGAGGCATATTGGGCAGTTTTCAGCATCTTCATCAGAAGAAGAATTGGCTCCTCCATTAAATTGCTGCTTTGATTTAATTGAGTATGTTGGTTGCTCAGCAGTCATTTCCATTTCTTCTTCTTCCTCCTCCTCCTCTTCATCATCCTCCTCTTCATCATCATCCTCTGAATCTTAATGAACAAGGAAAGAGCCTAGTACTTCTTTCTACATAATGCACTTTGGGTTGGAATGTTAGAGTGCTGTACAACTCTGAAGAGAAGCAACAGCTGAAGAGATTTCTGGACCAGGAATACCCACTTTCAGTGCTATAGCCTTATATTCATAGGGCTAAGCAATGCTGTAATATTTACACAGGACACCCTGAGCAGCCCCATCTACTTTTATGGGTCTCTAACAGACTATGTCCTGTAACTACAATAAATCTTTGTTAATGTACAGCCATCTGAAGGATATATTGTATACCACGCTTGAGGCAAGAAACTATCAGGACTTCTTGTAAAGTCAGAGCATTATAAGGAATTGCATACCAAGGGCAAGGGTGATATAATACTTGAGAATTCATGTCCCTGTTCAACCACAAAAATACTGGATGAGCCTGGGTTCATTTTTATCTCAAATGAGAAGGATCACATATACTGCCCTGTGATCTTTGGAAGAATGTTGGGATAAATGGCTAACAGTATCATTGCAATGATGTCTCCCTTGACTGTTCTAGTACTGTGGAAATTCTATGCAAAATATACAAATTACCAGCAGAATTCTGTCTCATGTCTGCACCACATTTTAGCAGGTAATTCTTGAGTTGCTGGAGTCAACATTATTCCATTAAATACGAGTGCACAAGAGACCCAGTATAATCACCTTCTAGATCTTCATCTTCACCTTCTTCATCCTCCTCACCTCCATCTTCATCAGTAACACCTTCTTCCTCACTGCCTGTGTCATCTGAGTCCCCGCTATTTCCATCACTGCTTTCTTTTGACCAAGAGGAACAAAGAGGGCAGGGAAGAAAAGGTTATGAGTGCACATCATCAACTAGGGTATACAGCAAATAAAAGGAGGCACATTTTTACTAAAGGATAAAGGCACACTTCCACCATGTATAATCAACAACTGTGACCAGCCTGTTCAAACACATCTTGGGGATCTGTCTTTATTCCTCCATGCTGAAAGGGAAAGTAACAGGTAGCTAGTTCTTATGTTTACAAAGACAATCCTGAAAATGTGTGAGCAGTGACTGGCAAAATCTCAGAAGCCAAAAGGAGAGTGCTGAACAGAACTTTGCATGAAGAGAGACCGATATTTCACAGGTATAAATTGCTTCTTGTTCTCCTCTATGAAAAGTAGAAGCAAAAATAAATTAGGAACATTGAAACATAAAACATAGAAACCGAGTGAATTAGAAGGGACCTCCCAGGCCATCTAGTCTGTACTCGGCTCTAGCCGGCTCCGCTCACTAGCCAGAAGTAGATAAAACAAGCAAAAACTTGGGATGTTGACAAATTTACATAGCTATTCCTGTAACAGTAGTTTGCTTTCTCTAGCACAAAAAACCAATGACTACTTCTTTATTTATTTTTGTCAAAATGAAGAAGAAAGGAATTGTGACATTATGTGTTAGGCTCTTTCCAGTAATATAATACTCTTCTACAAAAGAGGTGTTTGAGCAACTGCTAATGACTGCAGATAGGAAAACTGTCTGCTACCAGTGTTAGCTATTAAAATCATTACATATATGAAGCCCTCAGATGGCTAAATGCATGAAATATTATGATTTAAAGAAAAGATTGGGGACCTCTTTTCTGTCGAAGGCCGGACTTCTACAAAGGTGTTAAGGCCTCTTGCCAGCAGTAGGGAAGGACCACAGCTAGAAGTTTGACATTCCCCTTCTCTCTCTCCTCAATCCCCATCCCGGCACAGGAAGCTACAAAGATAGGGACAACCTGCTCTTGCATATGATTCTTTTCATATCTATAACAGAATACCCATGAAATTGAACCAAGGCCACAAGCTGTCTGCACGTGATGCAAAGACAGCCCACTGAGGTTCTTCCTGTGGGAATTGTCAGGATTGCAGCCAATGCTGCTGCTCTGCTGGTGGAAGCATCACCAGCAGAAACTGGGAGGCGTGCAAGTCAGCCTCCCCCATTTGCCACCTCACGTTCACTCAAAATCAGCTCTGGAGCGCTCAGAAACCACCCAAAGCAGATTTTACAGAGGACTGCTGGGGAGCTGAAGGATGAGGGACTTACAGTGGTGAGGAGGAGAGAGGAACGAAGTGCTGTCATACTGACTGACACTGGATTTAACCCTTAGTTTTGTTTGGCATAAAATGATCAAGCTCACACATACAAGAATTAAACCACAAATTAAAACTATGCTTGCATTTAGAGGTAGCCCTTATGAAGCCAGTGAGACATTTCCAGGCTCAAACTCTTAAGGAGATTTTTTAAACTGTAATGCTTCTTTAGAGTTACAAAGAACTGGCAGTTTTTAGAAGAGCTTTCAACTAGTTTTATTTACCTGCATCACTAATAAGCAGTGTGTTTGCTCTTTTGGCTTTACCTATTGCAGCATTCTTGTTTATGAGTTCATCCTGACTGTCATCATCCATTCCGGGGCATTTGGAACTGGCTCCCTGGAAGAAACAAGTCTCAGCTGAAAACAAACATTTGCAAAAATATCTACCTCCAAATACATTGTTTTTTTACCCCATAGATTCAACCTGGACAAGTATACAAACAATTTGGCCAAGGTTTTCTTTCAAAAAACTGAAAATGGAAACACTAAGGTACAGCTTTGACCACCCAGCAAGTCCCAGTGACATGCAACTTCAGGTGGCTGGCCAGCTGCAACCATTCTAGATAGGAATTGGTTTGACTGCAGTGATCCATGGTCTGAAAATGGAGATCCACAAATAACATTTGGATTTTGTAGTCTTTTTTTTTAAGCAGCCACCAAGACTATACTGAAAATGCCTATGTATACATGCAAATACCTTTCCCTCCCTACCAAGTAAATGGTAGCCTGCCACAGTATTAAGATGGGCTAGTAATGCAGATGGTTTTGTTTCTCAAAAGCATGAGTTATCTGCAGGTATCTTTCTGAAAATAAGATATTGCCTCCACTTACCTGATCCCACAGCAAGCATCTGTCCTCAAAATCAGAGTTTAAAAGACTAGGCTAGAACAGTCTTCCCTTCTCTGCCAACAAAATCCATTTCATGTTTCTCTTCCTTCTCTGCAGCTGATCTCCTTTACAGCATGATGCTATGTTTCATTTCTTATATTTAATCAGCCTCAAGAGGCCAAAATAGATGGGTCTTTTTTTTCCTTGATCATGAAAAAGGTGAGTGAGGGAGAGAGAGAAGGCAGCTACAAGCAGTGCTAGTGAACAAGGAAAGGCTGCAGAGGTGGAAACACAATGGAAAAGAAGCAAAAGTTTTCTAAAAAAGGGAGAGCACTATCTGAACTCACCCATGGCCAACTTTCACCTGGTCCCTTGACCAATTTACAAAGGTAAGTTCCTGTTCTTGAATGAACCAACAAACAAGATCTACCAGCAGAAAGAAAGAAGTCACAGGAGTCTGCTGATTAGGAAATAGCTGAAAGGGATACAACCTGAGCATAGGGAGAGACAGGTGAGGCTGCAACAACTCTGGAAGCTGCTGATACTTCTGGGAAGCAAGGAGACTGCACAGGCAATGCTGAGTGCCACCAGATATTGAAAATTACATGGCCAGAATGCTGCCCCCCCCCCCCATCAGATCTGTAGCATTCCCAGGAAGGAAAGAGAAGGGAAAGCAGAGAAACTATTCCCAATGCCCTTCAGAATCAGATAACAAACTTCTTCCCAAAATTGTTCCCTCTGGCTTTCTGGCAGCATAATGCAGCTACTATGATGCAATTTCCTGGCTGAGCATTCTTGCTGACCAAGATCCAAAAGTTTCTTGCTCCTGGTCTGTTAGCAAATGAATTTTGTTGAAGGTAGGCTTATAACCTCCCAGTTGGATTACTGTAAAGCATTATATGTCTTCAAAGATAATTTGGAAGGTTATTCAAATAGCAGAATCTAAACCGATACAGTCATGCATGTCACATCATTTCAATGTTAAAAGAACTACATCGGTAACCTATCTGCTTCTGGGTCAGAATCAAGGAGCTGGTACTTTAAAGTGCTCATCTACTTGGGACCTAAACACTTGAAGAAGTGCCACTTTTCCCCACTCCAAGTTTATTGATTGATTTTTAGCCTGCTGTATTAGCAGGTTAAAAATTAATCACTGGGTGGGTCAAAGCGATTGATCCATCGCTGGGTGGGTCTGTTATTGTAATAACAGACAATATTAGCATGTAAAACATAAAACTTTAGAAACACAGTATTGCAGCTGATATATAAGCCTAAGTTGATAGATGGTGCCTCTGGCCAACAAATACATGCTGAATTCTAACAATAATTCAGGGTCCAGGCACACCCCAACCTATAAATTCTGCCCTTTAAAAGGACTGCGACCCCATCCAGGACAGGTAAGATGTCACACATCTGAACAGACAATTCCCTCACCAACAGTATCTCTGTTTTGTCTGGATTAAGGTTCAGTTTACTGGCCCTCATCCAATCCATTACTGAAGCCAGACCCCAGTTCAAAACATCTGCCACACCTGCATCAGATGAAAAAGAAAGGTGAAGCTGAATGTATGCTGATGACATCTCAGCCCACACCTTCTGATGACCTCTCCCAGCAGTTTTATGTAAATAGAGCCCTGTGGGACCCCACGGCATAAATGCCATGTCTCAGAGCAGCAGTCCCTCAGTACCACCTTCTGGATGTGGCTGGTCAAGTGGAAGCAGAGCCACTGCAGAGTACTCCCAACTCTAACAACCTGTCCATAACAATACCATGGTGAATGGCATCAAAAGCTGTAGAGAGGTCCAAGACAACCAACAGGGTCGCACTTCCCTGTCCTCCTAACAGGATGACCAAGGCAGTTTCAGTCCAAATCCACGTCTGAATTCCAACTGAAATGAATCAAGATGGTCCATTTCATCCAAGAGAGCCTGCAGCTGGCCAGCCACCAAGAAGGGGATATTAGCAACTGCTCTATAGTTGTTAACGTCCCTCAGGTCCAAGTTAGCGTTCTTCAGGAGTGGTCCAATTACAGTCTCTTTTAATGGGGCTGGGACAACTCCCTCTCTTGACAAGGTGTTCAGAGCCTCCAGAGGTGCACCCCTCTTACCTTGCGTGGTCAGCCAAGATGGGCAAGGATCAAGCAAACAGATAGTGGACAAGATCAATTGAAGCACCTTGTCCACATCCTTAGGCGTCAAGAACTGAAACTCATCTAATAAACTTGAAGCGCTAGATACCTCAGCCAAAGGAACTTCAAAAACCATGGAGTCCAACTAGTGACAGATCTGAACGATTTTAACGTCAAAGTGCTGCACAATTTCCTAACAGCAGGTCACTGAAGGTTCCACTGTTTCTTTCCCCAGGCCAGTTTGTAAAAGCCCCTGAACCACTCAGAACAACTTTTCCTTATCAAAAGTTTGCTATGGAATTACAATGCAAAAGGTTTCTTTGCAGTAGCAGCAAACCACTGGAATGCCCTCCTTACGGAGGTACATCTACTTTACCATCATCTTTGCGCAAACTTCAGACATAACTATTTGCCCAGACATTTTGATTGGGATAACTTCACTCTGCTTCTGTAATCGAAATATTTATTTGCTGTTTTTTATTAGGGCTGCTGGATGTTATTTTAAAAACTTCATACATTATAATAAAACTAATTTATTATATGTACTGAGAAAAACAATACAGTGGGAGGAAAATCACTCCAACAGAGATTATACAATGGAAGTAGCAGACTAAAGAATTCTAAAAGCATTCACAAGTGCTAATTTACAAAGACTGGCATATAATCAAATTTAATAGCTTCTTTTTTCTTGGGACCAGAATAAATATTAAGAACCATTTAATAATAAATACTTGGTACTTTCCCCAACCTGATACCCTTCAGATGTTTTAGACTTCACCTCCCATCAGCCCCAGCCAGTATGGCCAATTGTCAATAATTTTGCAAGTTGAAATCCAAACTTCTGGAGGAACCAGGTTGTGGAGGGCTAGATTAGTGCATATACCAAAGGGGCATGGGAGCATCCTTTTAGTTAAAATGAGTTGCAAGGAGAGGTTCCATCATAAATCACACTATTCTACTTATCAAACTCAGCTTCTGTAATCTCCCTGAATTTCACAATGTTGAGGGGTAAATGTCTGATTGCATTTTAGGAAAATACTTGGGAGAAACTATATGTAATATTATGATTTGGTGCTGCAGCAAATTTGCCTTTTTGTTTACTTTTCTTAGAACTTACAAGCCAGAATTACACTCTGGGAAATTCTCAAGTCTGCATTCCAATATTTTATTGTAAAAACCATGTCCACAGGACATCTCATGCTCAGTGAATGATCCAGCTAAAAATAAAGCAGTTTTGCATATTCTCTGGTTGTTGAAAGAAAATATAGCCAATGGAAAGTTATGATACCTTTTTATCCTTGTGGCAGGGATCTTTGAGGCTTTGAGAAATTATGATCTGACAGGTGTAAGGCATTAGTTTCTGGTAGAAGCTTTAGTGCCTTTTATTAAAAACATCCATCTGATAAGCCTATATAAACAACATTAATGAGCTAGGAAAAAGATATACATTTTCTTAAGATGCTGCATTTTATTCTCACTCTCATCTATGTATTCAGGTATCATTTTAATGAGCATAATAAACCACACTTTAAAAAAATGGGTATTTTTGCCAGCTATGAACAAGTAGCAAGAAAGCCATACTTCGTGTAGAGATCTGGAAAATAAGTCAGGCAATAAGAGTATTTCCCAGTTTGATGGTCAATCCTGAAGGGGAGATTTTCTTGGATTTCAAAATAAATGTATATTGATAAAGTCCATGAGACTAAGAATGGATCTTTAAGACTACAGACCCATAGGAGTAAGTCCCACTAGATTCAATGAGTTTGTATCTAAAGAGAGATTACTAGATTATATTGTTAGGCCTGTATTTGTTGAGTTAAGAAAAATCCCAAAAGGACACAGAAATGCTATGATAACACTTACAACAGTATAGGCAAGCCAGTGCATTTCAGATGTTTTGACCTACAATTCCTCGCAGCCACACCCAACATGTCAATTGTCTAGTTATGGCTGTTTAGGTCCCAACCAGGAAGCAATATTTATACATCCCAGCATAAGAAATTTAACGTATTTCCCCATAACAGCTATTAGATTAAACTGTTTTTTTCAGGTTGAGGGGGGGGTGTTGGCAAGAGTCACTTTCCCAATATCAGGAATAGCCTTTACTTCCAGAAGAGCCTTCAGAGGAAAATTTCATTTGGTTATATAATCAACTAAAAATGTTTACCATTACACACTATTCTGTTCTATATATATATGAGGCTTCCAGAAGGATAATACATTAAGAATGCATTTGCCAAGCATTCTCCCCAGACTTTATGCCAATGAAGGACAACAAGTTATATAAAGACTTGCAAATTTTGCTTTACATGAAATTAGCTAAACTTCACTTATTCTACTGTCTCGTCTTAACAAGTATTAGAAATTTGCTTCTGTGATTAAATGGTGCAATGAAAACATGTAGTACTCTTGCATTTTTATTTGAATATTTGTAACATCTTTTCTTAATTAAACAGTAAGTTGAACATCCTCTTCTCATATGAGGTTCCCTTCCTGCCACATTAGAAGGTTGAGGGAGTTCTCATCTGTCATGGCACAAAGAAAACATTGTGTTGAAATTGTTAAGGCCTTCAAATATTGAAAACAAAACTCAAAACAGCTATATGGTAATGTTTTGAGCCAGTCTGATATAATATGGAAACATCTGGTCCTTAACTGACATTGTGCTGCAGCTAGGTTGGCCCTCAGCACAAATGGATGCTCAGTATTTTAAAAGGAGTAAATGTTTTTGTTTAGGCACTTAAATATATTAAGTTTACACCATTTGTGACTAGTAAAGCATAGCTTCTTTTATTTGAGTGCCACTCCCTGGTGGCTTCTTACTGATATGAAAAAAACAATTGTCCTGAGGGTAACATTTCTACAGTAACACAACAGTAGAATTTTGGGAGTAATGTTAATTACTCAGGGCAAGATAGGCCTTATTTGGCCTTGATTCCTACTTCAGGGTACCATGGTTCCAGAAGGTGCCAAACTGGGGCATGCATGGAGGTTATAGAGTCTTTGAAAACAAGTCACATGAATAGATGGCAAAGGAGCCCTACCCTACAAAGGGCTCTTCGTCCCTGCCCTACATTTGGAGTAGGGCAGGGAAAAGAAAAAAAATATTTGAACTCATAATACTGAAGCTATCAGAAAGAGGAGAATGGAATAATACTATATTAAAGTAAGGTCCCCAGTATGGTTATATAATTCATCTACAGTTTATCAGTAAGAGAATGGACTAGCTGGCCTATAGATGACTATGTATTTCCTACAATAAGGAATGTTTATAGCTCAGTACTATATATCCACTCAGGAGTTATTTCAATGGGGCTTACTTTCAAAAAGTAAATATAAGATTGTGGTCTTAAAGCATGAGAAAATTATCCCTTGACTCTAATGAGGTGAACAGTGTCCACAAAAACTTTTGTCAGATATATATTTAGCTTAAAGATGGCACTTGGGAGGGGGGCTGCAACTCACTAACATTTGTTGACTTTTAAATATGAAACATGTCTGTCAAGAAGACACAAAAAAATTCCAAAAAGAAAACATAAGCACCTCACAAAATCCATTGAGTGTGTGTATATGGATTAGAGTAAAACAAGGGTGAACACAAAATAAGATCTCCAGAGATTTTGGACATCCAATTCCCAGCATACCTGACTGCTGGCCATGCTGACTTGTGCTTCTGGAAATCAAATCCAAATCATTTGGAGCACTATCTTCTGCCAACTTTGGATTATGATACCAAATCTTACTCCCAAATTGTTCTTTTTGGTAAAGCTTTCAAAGCCTTCCTGAGAGTATATATATGCTGCATTAACTACTGTTGCTGGTTCTTGTCACCAAGAACAAATATCTATTTTGTTCTTATGAGAAGCAGAGCACTTTTTGTTAACAAAAAAGGACTAACAGGACACATGCTGAAGTCTCTTCACCAGTTAAGCACAAGTATACTCAACTCCAGGAATGCTCTGATGCACTTTTGGTCAAATCTGGTTACCTTTAATGCCCTATAAGTCATAAGTATCTAAAGGGCCAACTATTCTCACATGATTATGACTGTTTGAAGTCATCTGGTAAGGTCCTTTTGAGTTGTGGTCATCTTCAGGGCCCTTTCTGTTGTGGCCTCTATTTATGATATGCACTCCTTAAGGAGACTTGCCTCATGCTGGTGTCTTCAGTATCAGACAATGTCATGTTAACCTAAGGTTACCCCCACCAAAAAAAAAAAACCCCAGATTGTGTGCAGTTTCATTTTAGTTCAACTGTTGCTACCTTTTTTTCTTTTTGGTTTTTTACCGATCTGATGTGTTATTGTATTAATATTCATGAAAGCAGCCTTCGTACCACTGAAACGTTTTCTGAAATAAAACATCATCAACGACAAATCTCACATGCCTAACTAGTAAGTTGGCAGTAGCATCAATTCTTCCCACGTTATTATTTTCATTCCAGGAGCAGCATGCAAGTCCACACCAATAAAGCAAAACCCATACAGAAAACAGCCCCTGGCCCGGACGTGCAACATGAGCATGCACCGGAGAAGGAGTCCTGACAGAAATGGGCAGCTCGCTCTGAATGCTAGGACAGACGCACACCACCCGCAGGGACGGGCTTCCTAACAGAAGAGCTACGAAGTCAAGTAATCAAGCGCAGCACCACACCGCGCGCACAGAGCAGAGCGATCGGGGCCGCTTCACACTCTGCTACGAGAAACCCAAGTTAGAGTTGGAACGTTCTGCACCCCAGAACCTCGACGCCCAGCAACAGGGCATCGGTTAGGGCTACTTCGGCGATATACGCCATCGCCGCCGCAGCCTCCTTCAAGCAAGTGCCTCCCACGCCGTCGTCCCCTCCCCTCCCCCGTCCCGGTTGGTTGGTCGCGTCGAGAGGCTCCCGAGCAACCGCTCCCGCGACCTCCACTCACCTGCCAGGGGGAGACCCCACGAGCCGACGCGAAAAAGCAGGCGAAGAAGCCGGACGCGCTCCGACAGCTGCTTCCTGCTAAGCCGGGCGACCAGAGCGGGCGGAAGAAAACTGGACAACGCCGCACCGACAAGCGCGAGCCCCAGAGCAGGCCGAAACCGCCTCCGGAGCCACCCCGGAAGAGAACGGACACCCCTTCCGGTTAGCTTGCCAGGATGGGCGGCTGACAAGAGAGAAGACGTATTGGACTGTTCCATTTCTGCGCAACAGAGGGGGAGAAGAGACGTCGAGAATTCCAAACGAATCCATGTGTGGGGCATGCGAAAGTGGGAATGTTGCTCGTGTGGGTCATGCTTCGGTCATACCAGTTCTCAAGCAAAGGTGCATTAAAATGGAATTGATTAGCCCGGACCGAAACTCCCAGCCCAACTGTCTCTAGAAGACATGCTTGGGCTCCGATAAGTATTGGTAGTAAGGAAACCATCCTAAAGCATGTTTAAACGATAGCATATAAGATTGCGGTCTGTGACATTTATGAAGCTGCCCGCAACGGCCTGCTTTGACAGGAAAGCTCTCAAATGGGATCTGAAACCCTTTAGGGCCGGGGCGGGCCCTTGGGAACTGGGTGACTCTGGACCAGTCACAGACTTTCAGCCCAACCTACCTTACAGGGTTGTTGTTGAGGGGATATGAATGAGAGCAGCAGGAAAATAATGTAAGCTGCTCTGAGTTCATTGTAGGAAAAAAGGTGGCATATAAATCTAATAAATTAATGTTCAGCTATTGAATAGGGTGGGAGGAGAGGCTATAAGCGGAAGGAACTTTGCACATGCTCAGGAACATTTTATTTATATATGCTTCTGGTCTGACCAGGTTCAAAGGCAAACAGTTCATGTACATGGGATCCTGTGTGAGTTTATTTAGAGACGGACTTAAAATGAAACTTACTCCTAGGTAACTATGCACAGGAGTTCAAAGAAAGGATTTTGTTTGGACAAGTCCAACTTTTCGTGCAGGGGTGAGAAAAGGTACACTGAGTTTGACAGATGATGGGGCTATGCCCAGTTTTTCAACTTGTATTTTATGAAAACAAAAAATACAAATCTGCGGGCTTGTTTTCTTTCCAAAATCCTCATCATTTTAAGTTGGCAGAATTAAGTCATGAGAGAACGTTTAAGCTCCTACAAAACTTCACAAACTCCGTTTTTCCTGCCCCGAAGCTAACCTAATGGGCTCCTTTAGAGAAGAATTCAGACTTGCACGTTGTCGAAAGTGAAAGCACTATGCACATTAATTAAGGCTACAACCCTCTACACGCTCACTAGGGACCAAATCATGCAAACTAAGTGGAACCTTTCTAGATAAGCTTGACCGCGCAGCCAGTATCCTATCCCTTGAGTAAAGCCAAAGGCCGCCGGCGGGGGGATCGTGCAGTTCCTTCCTCTCCGGACCGGTTTCTGCCCTTCCTCTTCGAGCGGCCGGCCGTGCCCTCGCTCCACCACCAGGAGTCTCTGCACTGCCCACCCGCCACACCACGCCCTGCAGTCGAGCGAGAGCGAGTCGTGCGTGTTAAACCCCGCGGAACGGAGGGACAGCGGTGCATGCCAGTGCTGCTCTCTTGCTAAGGAGTTCGGGATTAGAAGGATTATTGCTAGCGCAAGCGGGGCGCCTCAGGTTATTACGGCCCCAAGTCACTCAGTGGACCAAAGCGAAACACGTTCGAGCAAGAACCGAACTGATGGGGAAGGTTATGCTCTCATTTTCGCTGCATGGTGTTAGGCTAACGGAGAATGGAAAGCAACGAATCCGCCACATAGAGATGCAATGAAAAAATGTTTTTTACAGTGCAATTTGCACGTGTCTTCGCTGAAGTAAGCTGCATTGCGTTCAATGGCATTTACTAACGGGCAGGTGTGTATAAGGTATCGGCCTTAGGGTAAAAACCCATGCATAACAGCGGAAAGCTCTACAACTCCCAGCATTCCCCAGCCAGCCTAGGTGGGACATCCTGGGAGTTGCAGGACTGTCTTTCTAAACATGCATAGGATTGCGCCCTGAATCATGTTGTATGGTGTGTCCATCGCACCTAATCTTGTGACAACCTATTCCATACATTGACTGCGTGCTGCATGAAGTTTTTGTATTTTTTGGACCGACTGAATGACTTGCCAATCGATTTCATTGGGTAGTTCGATTAATATGAGGGGTACCAGCCTTTCCGCTGGGTTGTTTAGATAACTTACATCCTGCCTTTCTGCCCAAAAATGGCACTCAAGCCACTGCAGAATTTTACAAGCCTTTTTAACTGTGTTTTAATAGATCTGTCATGCTTTCATGAATGTCTTGTTTTGAATGTGTATTTTATTATAGCTAGCAGTCTTGAGTGTTAATTTTGGCAGAAAGGCAGGTTATAAATAAAACATTAATTGGCTATCATAACCTAAGTTATTCAGAAGTAAGTCCCATTGAGTTCAGTGAGCTTTACTTCCAGTTAAGTAGGTATAGGATTCTTGCAGCCTGGGTTCTAAACTTCTCTCTGTTGTGCCTGTTTGTTTACTCTAAAATGTCTCTTATTCCTTACACACTGACACCTAAAGGTGTCCTCTTAACCCATTGCTACTAAAGGTGGCTTAGAGAGGGACATCACAACCTTTCCAGAAATGCAAATCTGCAGTTAGTGCAGATTTGCACAGTCAGAATAAACCAGGAAGTGTGGGACATTGCAAAGCGTACAAAATGGGGGTCAGATTGCCTCTTGCAGGGACAGAGCAAAGCACGTACACCTAAGTCTTGGGGTGCGGGGGGGGGGGGAGGAAGTCTCGCTGCAATCCTTGCCAATGATGAGGCCTACCTGTGAGATACTGCTGGATAATTTATCCACCCCCTGGAGAAATTTGCTGAGAAGATCCACCCCTGCAATTTCTCTGCCCACAAACAGGGTGACTTTTGAGAGGGTATTTGTTCTCAGCTGTTCTTAGAATTAGGGAACAGGCTGTCTCAGAACACACATCTCGCCAAGCAATTTATTGTTGCATCAGAATCAAGCTGCTCATGCACAAATCCACTCCTGGCTTTCTTTTTCTCTCAGCTTTCTTCACTTCTATAGCCTAATTTGGGGGGGGGGCACTTTTTGTTAGTGCTGTTGTTAAAGGGTGGAACCCCTTACAGACCTGCTGAGAGATCTAATAGTAGGCACTGCTCCGCTTTCTGCCCACCCCTCTAGTGGCCAGGATATATTCTGACCTATAATTAAGCCACATTCTTCAAAACATTTGTAGTGTGGTCCCTCTAAAGGGTCACATGTCCTCTGGTGTCTCATTAGTAATATAATGCTATATGTTATATGTCAGGATTGGGGAATGTGTTGTTGGACTGCAATTCCTATCATACCTTGCCATGCATTATGCTGGCTAGGGCTGATGGGAATTGCATTCCATCTGAGAAAACATACAATGGATCAGTTTTCAAATGGATTGTGTGTTTCACATTGCCTAGAAATTATTTGTAAGACAAGCTCATTTTCTAAAGCAAAGATTAAAAACAGGCACAGAAGAAATCTGGAAAACATACAGAGCACTTTCTCCCTTTGACATCCACATGCTCATAAATCATGAATGGTTCTTGCCTGCCTCAGTATGGTTCCTTGTCATAAAACTCAGAAAAAGGGAGGCTGTTACCAGATACTAAACACAGCTAGGCATGAACTACAGCAGTGTCGGCTCTCCCTTTCTGGCATCTCTGAGAATGAATCAAAGCAAAAGGAGGAAAGAAGAAACTGCCTTTCTAACTATAATTCATGAGAGGTTGAATGTTTAAGACAAAAACAAGGTCCCTCTCCCTGTGAATTACTGCTATGCAATTTTAAGCACTCCCATTTTGAAACAAAGCAGTATTTGTTGCACTTTGAGGATGTTGTTCTTGGTAAAGAAGACAGTTCATTAGGGAATTGTAGGAAGAGGGGCCCAGGGCTGGGAAAAAGAAGATCAAAAGGCCCTAGTACCATGCCTTCACCGCTACAGAACTCCTGCATGATTGTTCTAAGATCCTCACTTCTTAAAAGTACAATAGCATCTTGAAATGCAGAAATAGAGCATATGCTGCTTTTCCTGGCAGGGAGACGAGAAAGCTCCACCTGTGAAATGTCAGCCTGGGAGACTGACGTTAAAAACACAGGAGTAGGTCTGATGAAAAACTGTCCAAGTGACACTGCTGAAGTCTGAACAGAAAGTTCTATGGGTGGGAAAATTCAAAACTAGCTTGCTGAAGTAATATCAAAGGCAAATGAAAAGCATCATAAACATCTGGCACTCCAATTCTAAAAGGATGGGCAACCTGGTGCTCCCCAAGAGACTACAAATCCGATTATCCCTGATCGTTAGCCATGGTGGCTGGGAATGGTAAAAGTTATAGTCCAAAACATCTGGAAGCAACAGATAGCCTATCTCTGCTAAAACAGTTGAAATCCAAAGGCTTCACCTTTGAAATACTATATAGTACTTTGGAATGGAATTGAAATCCCAATTTGGACCACATTAATTAATTATTACAGTTCTGCTCAATAGCCAAAGCTCTCTGGACAGGTGATGACATTTTTGACCAGTTCTTGACTCAGAGCTGACCTTGGAACATCAGGTGAGTTCTGTGGCTAGGACCGCCCTTCATCAGCTTTGGCTGATTTTCCAACAACACGCCTATTTAGACAGGCACATCCTGGCAACCATGACTCATGCCCTGGTAACCTCTCCTTTGGACTATTGCAACACACTCTACATGGGCCTGCCCTTAAAAACGGTCCGGAAATTGCAATTGGTTCAGAACAGATCATTTACCTCCTAACGAGAGGACATCAAGGCACGAGCACATTACGCCGGGGTTATACTACCTTTACTGGCTGTCAGTTGAAGCCTGGGTCTGCTTTAAGGTACTAACGATAAGGCCCTATGTTATTTATGATCTGGATATCTAATGGAACATCTCCTCCCATATATATCTGCCCAAACTGTAAAGTCATTAATAGAGTTCCTACTCTGGGTGCCTGCTGTGAAGGATATAAGGAAGGTGGCTGCCCAGAGAAGAGCCTTTTTGGCCATGGCACCCTGGCTGTGAAACCAGCTTGTCAGAGAGGTGTGCCCAGTGCCAACACTATGCACCTTTTGGCACCAGGCCAAAACCTTTT